CTTCGTTTTTGTCTATTTAGATGACGTCCTGATTTTTTCCAAGGACCCTGAGGTTCACCAGCAACACGTTCGCCAACTTCTTCAATGGCTGTTGGAGAATGAGCTTTTTGTTAAAGCTGAAAAATGTGAGTTCCATGCTGCCACAGTGTCTTTCCTGGGTTATATCATTGAACAGGGACAGTTACATATGGACACTGCCAAGGTCATGGCAGTCACAGAGTGGCCTGCACCCTCCAACCTGAAGCAGCTACAGCGTTTCCTGGGGTTTGCAAATTTCTTACAGATGTTTCATCCACAACTACAGCCATCTGGCAGCACCTCTCACCACTCTCACCTCCACCTCCACTCCGTTCCACTGGACTCCTGAGGCAGAGGTAGCATTCCTGGAACTCAAGCGTCGCTTCACCTCCGCTCCGGTCCTTACTCAGCCAGACGCAGAATTCCAGTTCATCGTGGAGGTGAACGCCTCTGACACCGGAGTAGGTGCTGTCTCAACATTCCCCCTCTGATCAGAAGGTATACCCATGTGCATTCTTTTCCCGTAAACTCTCACCTGCAGAGAGGAATTTTGACATCGGAAACCGGGAACTCCTGGCAGTTAAGCTGGCTCTGGAGGAATGGCGTCACTGGCTGTAGGGCTCTGTAACCCCCTTCATCGTGTGGACTGACCATAAAAACATGTCCTACATCCAGAACACCAAACGTCTGAACTTTCGGCAAGCCAGGTGGGCCTTGTTCTTTGGTAGATTCAATTTCACACTCACTTATCGCCCCGGTTTGAAGAATACCAAGCCTGATGCCCTCTCCCACCAGGTCACCGACAACACGGGTAACAAGCCATAAGCCATTGTGCCATCCACTTGCATCGTTGCCGCCGTCACCTGGGAGATTGAGTCCCGTATCCGCCAGGCTCAGCAGAACCAGCCTGATCCGGGTAACGGTCCTAGTAATGCTCTATTTGTCCCAGATTGTGTTCGCTCTGATGTTCTTCAGCGGGGCCATTCTACTCACCTCACCTGTCACCCTGGTATGAACCGGAACCTTGCCTTCCTGCATCAGCGCTTTTGGTGGCCCACCATGGAGAGAGATGTCCGGGAGTTTGTCTCAGCCTGTTCGGTTTGTGCCCGGAACAAAACCTCCACTAAACCCACTTCCGGTCTGCTCCGCCCTCTTCCCATACCCAGTCGCCCCTGGTCACACATAGCTCTGGACTTCGTCACTGGCCTTCCCCCATTTAACGGTAAGTCCGTCATCCTCACCATTATTGATAGGTTTTCCAAAATGGCTCACTTCATTCCCCTCTCCAAGCTCCCGTCCTCCAGGGAGACTGCGGACCTATTAGTATCCCATGTATTTCGTCTGCATGGCATCCCTACTGACATCATTTCCGACAGAGGACCCCAGTTTACCTCCCAGATATGGAGATCCTTCTGTCCAGCTCTTAGGATCAATGTCAGTCTTTCTGGATATCACCCTCAGACCAACGGCCAGACCAAACGGGCCAACCAAGAGATGGAGTCTGCCCTACGCTCTGTGACTTCTGCTAACCCTTCCTCATGGAGTGCTCAGCTACCCTGGGTTGAATATGCCCACATCACCCTCACCATGCCTCGTCAGGTATGTCATCCTTCGAGTGTGCTCTGGGTTACCAACCCCCTTGTTCCCCGCCCAAGAGGTTGAGGTTGCGGTTCCCTCTGTCCAGGACCATCTGTGCCGTTGTCACCGTACGTGAAGGAAGGGCTGCCCTTCTTCGTGCCTCAGACAGGACCCAGTCCCAAGACAACCGTCGCCGGGCCTCAGCTCCAGTCTACACCCCGGGTCAAAAGATATGGCTCTCATCGAAGGACCTGCCATTGAAGGTGGCATCGAATAAACTTTCCCCCCGATTCATTGGTCCCTTTGAAATTGACCGTGTCATTAACCCCTCTGCGGTGCGTCTGAAACTCCCAGCCTCTCTCAGGATCCATCCTACCTTCCACTTATCCCTGATTAAACCTGTCTGGTCCCCTGTCTCCTCCTGCAGCAGCTCCTCCACCCCCTCGGCTCATCGATGACCATCCTGCCTATACCATCCGGCGGCTTCTGGATGTGCGCCGTCAGGGTCGTGGCTGGCAGTACCTGATGGACTGGGAGGGATACGGGCCTGAGGATCGCTGCTGGGTGCCCCGCCGTCACATTCTGGACCCCTCCCTCTTACGGGATTTCTATACCTCACACCCAGATAAGCCTGGTCGGGCGCCAGGTGGCGCCCATAGAGGGGGGGGGGTACTGTCACATCTGCTCCTGCAACGCCCTCTACTGCTCATCCTGTGTCTCCTTGACCTGCTGTCACTCCCTCAGTACTCTCTCCCGCTCCCTCTCTCGCTCTCTGTGTGTGTGTGATTGTGTGGGCGGAGACAGGTGTGCTGGAGTCAGAGCAGATCCCCACCAGCTGCAACCTGTTCCATAATCAAGACCTCTACAAATACTCAGTCCTGCCACTTCCACACTGCCAGATCGTAATCTCTGCTCAGTCAGTCTACGGTTCTAGCCGTTTGTTACTATTCAGATCCTGTTATCCTGTTGTGCCTGTTTTCTTTGCCTGATGCTGTTTTCCTCTCCGCTACAGTTCTGCCCGCTCTGACTCTGGTCCCTGTCTCCAGTCCCATGCCTCGTCATCCTGCTACTCGGTCCTGGATTCCCCACTCTACTACTCCCTTGGATTCCCCTCCGGACTTGCTCACCCCCCTCGCTCCAGCCTCAGCCAATAAATACCTTGGTTACTTCATCCCAGTCTCCTCGTCTGAGTCTGCTCTTGGGTTCCCCTGTTACACTCCGCAAAACAATTTGACCAAGAAGGAGAGTGATGGAGTGCTGCATCAGATGACCTGGCCTCCAAAATCCCTCGACCTCAACCAAATTGAGATGGTTTGGGATGAGTCGGACCGCAGAGTGAAGGAAAAGCAGCCAACAAGTGCTCAGCATATGTGGGAACTCCTTCAAGACTGTTGGAAAAGCATTCCAGGTGATGTGGTTGAGAGAATGCCAAGAGTGTGCAAAGCTGTCACCAAGGCAAAGGGTGGCTATTTGAAGAATCTCAAATATAAAATATATGTTGATTTGTTTAACACTTTTTTGGTTACTACATGATACCATATGTGTTATTTCATAGTTATGATGTCTTCACTATTATTCTACAATGTAGAAAATAGTAAAAATAAAGAAAAACTCTTGAATGAGTAGGTGTTCTAAAACTTTTGACCGTAGTGTATATCTGTGAATTTAATCTATTTTAGCTCAGTTAAATTAATCCAGCCGCTATCACTGTAACATGCAAGACTAGAGCTAAGTGTAGTGTCACAAAACTCTTTCTCTGTCGCTTTTTGACTGTTGTGAAATCATCTCAACTTTCAAACATGTCGAAAGATCAACCTGCTCTTTGTTTTATCTCATACTATTTCTCTCTCTCTCTCTCTCTCTCTCTCTCTCTCTCTCTCTCTGTCTGTGCCTCTCTCTCTCTCACCCTCTCTCTTCTCTCTCTCTCGCTCCATCTCTCTTTTTCCAGGTGCAGTCACGATGCAGCAGCAAAGAAAATATCCTAAGATCAAGTAAATACTCTACCACACGTCCTTAAGAGGCGACTTAGAGCGTCCCTTGTAGAAAGACAATCCTGTGTGTCTGTGCATGCATGCGTGTGTGAGTGTATGTATGTGTGTGTGTGCATACAGTGGGGAGAACAAGTATTTGATACACTGCCGATTTTGCAGGTTTTCCTACTTACAAAGCATGTAGAGGTCTGTAATTTTTATCATAGGTACACTTCAACTGCGAGAGACGGAATCTAAAACAAAAATCCAGAAAATCACATTGTATGATTTTTAAGTAATTAATTTGCATTTTATTGCATGACATAAGTATTTGATCACCTACCAACCAGTAAGAATCCGGCTCTCACAGACCTGTTAGTTTTTCTTTAAGAAGCCCTCCTGTTCTCCACTCATTACCTGTATTAACTGCACCTGTTTGAACTCGTTACCTGTATAAAAGACACCTGTCCACACACTCAATCAAACAGACTCCAACCTCTCCACAATGGCCAAGACCAGAGTGCCTTGTAAGGACATCAGGATTAAAATTGTAGACCTGCACAAGGCTGGGATGGGCTACAGGACAATAGGCAAGCAGCTTGGTGAGAAGGCAACAACTGTTGGCGCAATTATTAGAAAATGGAAGAAGTTCAAGATGACGGTCAATCACCCTCGGTCTGGGGTACTTATGTCATGCAATAAAATGCAAATTAATTACTTAAAAATCATACAATGTGATTTTCTGGATTTTTGTTTTAGATTCCGTCTCTCGCAGTTGAAGTGTACCTATGATAAAAATTACAGACCTCTACATGCTTTGTAAGTAGGAAAACCTGCAAAATCGGCAGTGTATCAAATACTTGTTCTCCCCACTGTATGTGATGTTGTGCCAAGAACTGAGTAAGGCTCATGTTTAGGAATGTGAAAATATGCTATGGAAGCATACGTTTAAAGGAGAGGAATTGGGTCAAGAAGCTTCTTTCTCTTCTCTGTGCTGCGAGGCAGAGGCAGAGAGAAAGCAGGAGAGAGAGATTAAACATTAGTTACACCTTGCTTTGTTCTTCCACATGATCGCTGTCAAGAGCTGAAATCATGCGGCTGTGTGTGTGTGTGTGTGTGTGTGTGTGTGTGTGTGCCCGCCTACTTACATGAGTGTGTGTCTCATGTTTTGGTATATATGTGACTCTCTGTGTAAGACCCTGTCGCTGTCCCCCCTTTCTCTCTGTCTCTCTTTCTCTCTCTCTGTTTCTCTCGCTCATTCTTTCTCTCTCTCGCTCTCTCTCTCTCTCTCTCTCTCGTTCTCTCTCTCTCTCTCTCTCCTTCTCTCTCTCTCCTTCTCTCTCTCCTTCTCTCTCTCTCTGTCCTGTCTCTCTCTGTTCTGTCCCATCAGGTCACAGCGCGGTGGACATCACCAAGGTGGCCCGGAGACACCGCATGTCCCCGTTCCCCCTTACCTCCATGGACAAGGCCTTCATCACTGTGCTGGAGATGACCGCTGTCCTGGGGACTGAGATCATCAACTACAGAGGTGAGGAGGGGCATGCACACACACTCACAAACACACACAAACACACACACACACACACACACACACACACATCAGCGATACACTCTAAGAAAAAAAGGTGCTATCTAGAACCTTAAATGGTTATTTGGCTGTCCCCATAGGAGAACCCTTTGAATAAACCTTTTTGGTTCCAAATAGAACCCTTTTGGTTCCAGGGAGAACCCTTTTGGTTCCAGGTAGAACCCTTTTGGTTTCCATGTAAAACCCTTTCCACAGAGGATTCTGCATGGAACCCAAAAGAGATCTACCTGGAACCCAAAAGGGATCTCCACTGGGGACAGCCGAAGAACCATTTTGGAACCCTTTTTTCTACGAGTGTAGAGGTGAACACACACACATACTGTAGACACACACTGTACACACTGTACACACTGTGTACACACACACACGCACACACACTGTACACACACACACACTGTACACACACACACACATACACTGTACACACACACACACACACACACACACTGTACACACACACACACTGTACACACACACATACACTGTACACACACTCACACACACACACACTGTACACACACACACACTGTACACACACACACACTGTACACACACACACACACACACACTGTACACACACACACACACTGTACACACTGTACACACGCACGCACACACACTGTACACACGCACGCACACACACTGTACACACACACACACACACTGTACACACACACACACACACACTGTACACACACACACTGTACACACTGTACACACACACTGTACACACTGTACACACACATCATGTACACACACAACTACAGAGGTGAGGTCAACTATATACAGTAACACACATACGTCACACATGCATATACTATAGTCTGTATTGTACTGGTCAGACTGAGGCAGATTACTGTTTATATCACCTTACTGAACACATCAACTATAGATATACTATAGTCTGTATTGTACTGGTCAGACTGCAGCAGATTGCTGTTTATATCAAATCAAATTGTATTTGTCACATGCGCCGAATACAACAGGTGTAGACCTTACCGTGAAATGCTTACTTACAAGTCCTTAACCAACAATGCAGTTCAAGAAATGGAGTTAAGAAAATATTTGCTAAATAAACTAAAGTAAAACATAAAATAAAAAGTAACTTGACTTGTTCCACATTTTGTTACGTTACAGCCTTATTCTAAAATATCTTAAATATTTTTTTTCACTCATCAATCTACACACAATACCCCATTATGACAAAGCGAAAACAGCTTTTTATAAATTTTTGCAAATTGTATTCAGAGCCTTTAGTATGAGACTCAACATTGAGCTCAGGTGCATCCTGTTCCATTGATGATCCTTGAGATGTTTCTGCAACTTGATTGGAGTCTACCTGTGGTGAATTCAATTGATTGGACATAATTTGGAAAGGCACACACCTGTCTATATGAGTTCCCACAGTTGACAGTGCATGTCAGAGCAAAAACCAAGCCATGAGGTCGAAGGAATTGTCAATAGAGCGCCGAGACAGGATTGTGTCGAGGCACAGATCTGGGGAAGGGTACCAAAAATTGTCTGCAGCATTGAAGGTCCCCAAGAACATAGTGGCCTCCATCATTCTTACATGGAATAAGTTTGGAACCACCAAGACTCTTCCTAGAATTGGCTGCCCGGCCAAACTGAGCAATCGGGGGAGAAGGGCCTTGGTCAGGGAGGTGACCAAGAACCCGATGGTCACTCTGACAGAGCTCAAGAGTTCCTCTTTGGAGATGGGAGAACCTTCTAGAAGGACAACCATCTCTGCAGCACTCCACAAATCAGGCCTTTATGGTAGAGTGGACAGACGGACGCCATTTCTCAGTAAAAGGCAAATGACAGCCCGCTTGGAGTTTGCCAAAAGGCACCTTAAGACTCTCAGACCATGAGAAACAAGATTCTCTGGTCTGATGAAACCAAGATTGAACTCTTTGGCCTGAATACAGTGAAGCATGGTGGTGGCAGCATCATGCTGTGGGATGTTTTTCAGTGGCAGGGACTGGGAGACTAGTCAGGATCGAGGCAAAGATGAACGGAGAAAAGTACAGGGAGATCCTTGATGAAAACCTGCTCCAGACCGCTCAGGACCTCAGACTGGGGTGAAGGTTCACCTTCCAACAGGACAATGACCCTAATGCACACAGCCAAGACAACGCAGAAGTGGCTTCAGGACAAGTCTCTGAATGTCCTTGAGTGGCCCAGCCAGAGCCCGGACTTGAACCCGATCTAACATCTATGGAGAGACCTGAAAACAGCTGTGCAGCGACGCTCCCCATCCAACCTGACAGAGCTTGAGAGGATTTGCAGTGAAGAATGGGGAAAACTCCCCAAATACAGGTGTGCCAAGCTTGTAGAGTCATACCCAAGAAGACTCTAGGCTGTAATCGCTGCCAAATGTGCTTCAAGAAAGTACTGAGTAAAGGGTTTGAATACTATAATGTGATATTTCATTTTTTTGAAAAGCTGTTTTTGATTTGTCATTATGGGGTATTGTGTGTAGATTGATGAGGGAAGTGACTATGCATAGATAATAAACAGCAAGTAGCAGCAGTGTAAAAACAAAGGGGGGGGGGGTTCAATGTAAATTGTCCTGGTGGCCATTTGATTAATTGTTCAGCAGTCTTATGGCTTGGGGGTAGAAGCTGTTAAGGAGCCTTTTCGACCTAGACTTGGCGCTCCGGTACCGCATGCCGTGCGGTCTTATTTATTTTGGGCCTTCCTCTGACACTGCCTGGTATATACAGTACCAGTCAAAAGTTTGGACACACCTATTCATTCAAGGGTTTTCTTTATTTTTACTATTTTCTACATTGTAGAATAATAGTGAAGACATCAAAACTATGAGTTAACACATATGGAATCATGTAGTAACCAAAAAAGTGTTAAACAAATCATAATATATTTTATATTTGAGATTCTTCAAAGTAGCCACCCTTTGCCTTGGTGACAGCTTTGCACACTCTTGGTCTTCTCTCAACCAGCTTCACCTGGAATGCTTTTCCAACAGCCTTGAAGGAGTTCCCACATATGATGAGCACTTGTTAGCTGCTTTTCCTTCACTCTGAGGTCCAACTCACCCCAAAGCATCTCAATTGGTTGAGGTCGGGTGATTGTGGAGGCCAGGTCATCTGAGGCAGCACTCCATCACTCTCCTTCTTGGTCAAATAGCCATTACACAGCCTGGAGGTGTGTTTTGGGTCATTGTCCTGTTAAAAAACAAATGATAGTCCCACTAAGTGCAAACCAGATGGGATGGCATATCGCTGCAGAATGCTGAGGTAGCCATTTTGGTTAAGTGTGCCTTGAATTCTAAATAAATCACATACAGTGTCACCAGCAAAGCACCCCCACACCATCACACCTTATCCTCCATGCTTCACGGTGGGAACCACACATGCAGTGATCATCCGTTCACCTACTCTGCGTCTCACAAAGACACGGCGGTTTGAACCCAAAATCTCAAATTTGGACTCATCATACCAAAGGACAGATTTCCACCGGTCTAATGTCCATTGCTCATGTTTCTTGGCCCAAGCAAGTCTCTTCTTCATATTGGTTTCCTTTAGTAGTTGTTTCTTTGCAGCCATTCGACCATGAAGGCCTGATTCACACAGTCTCCTCTGAACAGTTGATGTTGAGATGTGTCCGTTACTTAAACTCTGTGGAGCATTTATTTGGGCTGCAATCTGAGGCTGGTAACACTAATGAACTTATCCTCTGCAGCAGAGGTAACTCTGGGTCTTCCATTCCTGTGGTGGTCCTCATGAAAGCCAGTTTCATCATAGCGCTTGATGTTTTTTGCTACTGCACTTGAAGAAACGTTCAAAGTTCTTGAAATGTTCTGCATTGAATGACCTTCATGTCATAAAGTAATGATGGACTGTCGTTCCTCTTTGCTTATTTGAGCTGTTCTTGCCGTAATATGGACTTGGTGTTTTACCAAATAGGGCTATATTCTGTATACCAACCCTACCTTGTCACAACACAACTGTTTGGCTCAAACGCATTAAGAAGGCAAGAAATTCCACAAACTAACTTTTAAGAAGGCACACCTGTTAATTGAAATGCATTCCAGGTGACTACCTCATGAAGCTGGTTGAGAGCATGCCAAGAGTGTGCAATGCTGTCATCAAGGCAAAGGGTGGCTACTTTGAAGAATATAAAATATATTTTGATTAGTTTAAAACTTTTACATCATTTAGCAGACGCTCTTATCCAGAGCAATTTACAGTTAGTGAGTGCATACATTTTCATACTGGCCCCCAGTGGGAATCGAACCCACAACCCTGGCGTTGCAAACGCCATGCTCTACCAACTGAGCTACATGGGGGGGGCCATGATTCCATATGTGTTATTTCATAGTTTTGATGTCTTCACTATTATTCTACAATGTAGAAAATAGTAAAAATAAAGAAAAACCCTTGAATGAGTAGGTGTCCAAACTTTTGACTGGTAATGTAGGTCCTGGATGGCAGGAAGCTTGGCCCCAGTGATATATTGGGCCGTACGCACTACCCTCTGTAGCGCCTTACGGTCGGATACCAGGCGGTGAAGCAACCGGTCAGGATGCTCTCGATGGTGCAGTTGTATAACTTTTTGAGGATCTGGGGACCCATGCCAAATCTTTTCAGTCTCCTGAGGGGGAAAAGGTGTTATCGTGCCCTCTTCACGACTGTCTTGGTGTGTTTGGACCATGATAGTTTGTTGGTGATGTGGACACCAAGGAACTTAAAACTCTTGACCCGCTCTACTACAGCCCTGTCGATGTTAATGGGGGCCTGTTCGGCCGTCCTTTTCCTGTACTCCACGATAATCTCCTTTGTCTTGCTCACATTGAGGGAGAGGTTGTTGTCCTGGCACCACACTGCCAGTTCTCTGACATCCTCCCTATAGGCTATGTTATCGGTGATCAGGCCTACCACTGTTGTGTCGTCAGCAAACTTAATGATGGTGTTGGAGTCGTGCTTGGCCACGCAGTCGTGGGTGAACAGAGAATACAGAAGGGGACTTAGCACGCACCCCTGAGGGGCCCCGGTGTTGAGGATCAGCGTTGCAGATGTGTTGTTGCCTACACTAACTACCTGGTGGCGGCCAGTCAGGAAGTCTAGGATCCAGTTGCAGAAGGAGGTATTCAGGCCCAGGGTCCTTAGCTTAGTGATGAGCTTTGTGGGCACTATGGTGTTGAACGCTGAGCTGTAGTCAATGAACAGCATTCTCACATAGGTGTTCCTTACTGAACACATCAACTATAGATGTGTGAGAGACAAAGAGAGGAAGTGTGTATGTGTTTCAATAGGATGTCAGTAGCACCTGGTCAGGCTCAACCACCACACTGACAATATGAACTACACATGACAGGGTTTAAACTGTCACTGTGCCAGAGTCACTCACCTCACTGACTCTGGCTCTGTCTGCAGGCTTGGATGTCTTACACACGCCCTGAATATCGAGTTAGAGTGCACCCACACACACACACATGTTCACGCGCGCACACACACACATACATTCAGAGGAGTTCAAAGAAGCACCCACACACACACACATTCAGATTCCAAGCGCGCACACACACACACACACACACACACACACTGGTGCTGGAGCATGACTGTCCCCCTAGCTCTTCCTTGGCACTAGCCTCAGGGCCATAGTCAGAGGATCTTAAGGCCATAGTCTCCCCCCTGGCTGTGTCACATCATTCTGGTGGTGGATACACAGTTTGGACAGGGCCAGGGGGCAGGGCTTGGACAGGCCAGGGGGCAGGGCTTGATTGAGCTCTGTCTCAGTCATAAATATTAGAACAGCCATGGTGGTGTCTCTGTCTCTGTCTGTCTGTCTGTCTGTCTGTCTGTCTGTCTGTCTCTCTCTCTCTCTCTCTCTCTCTCTCTCTCTCTCTCTCTCTCTCTCTCCTCTATTTTTCCCCTCTATTTTTCCCCTGTATAGCGATGTTTCATTTTGTTTTGAGACAGAGATGTTGGATTAAATATTTAGACAGGAAACAGATGGAACAGCTCCCCTGCTGTTGGGGAGAGGGGTTTGTGTCGGGGTAGGGGAGGTTGTGTGTGTGTGTGTGTGTGTGTGTGTGTAAATCACACTCTCTCACACACTCACACACACATACACTCACACACTATTTATAGGCTATTAGCAGTTTATGGTATTTTAGTGCAGCGCTTTCTTCTTCCACCCACTCTCTCTTTCTCTTTCTGTGTCTTTCGCTCTCTCAATCATTCTCTCTTCATTCTATTGTTCTCCCTGCAGTCTAATCTGCAGTCTAATCTGGAGTATAATCTTCATTCTAATCTGCAGTTTAATCTGCAGTCTACTCTGCAGTCTACTCTGCAGTCTAATCTCCAATCTAATCTACAGTCTAATCTTCAATTTAATCTTCAATCTAATCTGCAGACTCATCTGCAGTCTAATCTTCAGTCTAATCTTCAATGTAATCTTCAGTCTAATCTGTAGTCGAACCTTCAGTCGAATCTTCAGTCTAATCTTCAGTCTCATCTACAGCCTCATCTAGTCTCATCTGCAGTCTCATCTGCAGTCTAATCATCAGTCTAATCGTCAGTCTAATCTGCAGTCTAATCTTCAATCTAATCTGTAGTCTAATATGCAGTCTCATCTTCAGTCTCATCTTCAGTCTCATCTGCAGTCTCATCTGCAGTCTCATCTTCAGTCTAATCTGCAGTCTAATCTGCAGTCTAATCTGCAGTCTAATCTTCAATCTAATCTGCAGTCTAATCTTCATTCTAATCTGCAGTCTAATCTTCATTCTAATCTGCAGTCTAATCTTCAATCCGATCTGCAGTGTAATCTGCAGTCTAATCTTCTGTGTAATCTGCAGTTTAATCTTCAATTTAATTTGCAGTTTTTAATGATTCTTATACAGATACATATATTTTCAACATTTCTACTTTTAGATTGTTACATGTGGGGAATTGTGCGCAAGGGACAAGAGGTGTGTGTGTGCATGTGTGTGTGCATGTGTGTGTGTCCTGTTCTGGTCAGGTGGTGAGTCACAGAGATATTGATGAGAGGTGTCACACTCTCTCACTAACACACACACCTCCGGCACATGTCTCTCCGTATCTTCATCTGAATTAGATGCTCCCTCTCCCTCTCCCTCTCCCTCTCCCTCTCCCTCTCCCTCTCTCTCTCTACCTTTCTTTCTCCCTCCCTCATTCTCTCTCCATATCTCTCCCTTCCTTCCTACCTCTCTCTCTATCTCTGCCTCTGCTCCCGCTCTCTCTCTCTCTCTCTCTCTCTCTCTCTCTCTCTCTCTCTCTCTCTCTCTCTCTCTCTCTAGATGGGATGGGTCGAGTCCTGGCTCAGGAGGTTTATGCCAAAGACAACCTGCCTCCTTTCCCTGCCTCTGTTAAGGATGGTTATGCTGTAAGAGGTCTGTACTGTGATGCACTGTAGCCTACACACACACACACAATGTACACACACACACATTGTACTCAATCTCAGGTCATATTGGCCCCCGTGTAGCTCAGTTGGTAGAGCATGGCGCTTGCAACGCCAGGGTTGTGGGTTCGATTCTCACGGGGGGCCAGTATAAAAAATAAAATAATGTATGCACTCACTAACTGTAAGTTGCTCTGGATAGGAGCGTCTGCTAAATGACTAAAATGTAAGTACTGTACTGCTGATATGTCCTTTCTGTTCTGAGTCAGGAGGCACTGAAACACACAGGCAGCTAAATGACACACACACACAGCAGCATAATCAGACAAACTCATGTCATTACATTAAAACATGTCTTCCTTTTTAGCGGCTGATGGCCCAGGCGACCGCTTCATCATCGGAGAGTCCCAGGCTGGAGAACAGGTCCCCCCACCACCCCCCCCCCCCCCCCCCCCCCCCCCACACACACACACACACACACACATACACAAACACACTGTCTATACAGGTGCAGCAACTGGCTTCCCTCACATTCCCCCCTGGACAGACGTTGTATATTGAAGTGAGACTGTGCACATTCCCCCCTGGACAGACGTTGTATATTGAAGTGAGACTGTGCACATTCCCCCCTGGACAAACGTTGTATATTGAAGTGAGACTGTGTCAGACCGACAGATGTTGGTGTGTGTTTGTTTGTTAGGAACACACCCCTTTAGCGTAGCGATACCATACTGACTCAGCTTACTGAATTACCCAGCAGCCTACTCCAACGCAGGTGGACCGCCAACCCAAGCTTATTATACACAGTACCACACACACTGACGCATGACACAGTATCATACACATACACACACACACACTGACACATGACACAGTATCACACACACACACACACTGACACATGACACAGTATCACACACACACACTGACGCATGACACAGTATCATACACATACACACACACACACTGACACATGACACAGTATCACACACACACACACACTGACACATGACACAGTATCACACACACACACACTGACGCATGACACAGTATCATACACATACACACACACACACTGACACATGACACAGTATCACACACACTGACACATGACACAGTATCACACACACACACACACTGACACATGACACAGTATCACACACACACACTGACGCATGACACAGTATCATACACATACACACACACACACTGACACATGACACAGTATCATACACATACCCACACACACACACTGACACATGACACAGTATCATACACACACATACACACACACACACACACACACACACACACACACTGACACATTAATACACCTGTTGTATGTATGATGAGATGTGTTGTTGTGCCGTTGCTAAGTGTTTGCCTTGCTGTGATTGTTTGGTTGGTTTGATGTCTTGGCCAACGTGATAAACATTCCAACGTTTTCTGATTCTAAGAGCGCCTAGGGATCGCTTTCTTTGAAAATGGGGTCGCGAGAGAAATAAATACAAATCCGTCAGTAACCCCCCGGTAGCCTCTAGATGCGTTTGTAAGAAAGAGAGCGCTTTCTGTTTTCTTCCTACAAATGTGGCTTTATCTTCTGAATGGTTTAAGCTACAAAATATTAGGATCCCGTCACTGAAAGATAAGAACAAGTATGTGTCTTCTGTTTCCTTCTACAATGCCCTCACGCCACGCAGGCCTCCTGTAGCTCAGTTGGTAGAGCATGGCGCTTGCAACGCCAGGGTTGTGGGTTCGATTCCCACGGGGGGCCAGTATGAAAAATGTATGCACTCACTAACTGTAAGTCGCTCTGGATAAGAGCGTCTGCTAAATGACTCAAATTTAAATGTAATTAGAACAGAATGGATAAGACCAGACTCTAAATCAGCCTGGGGGAAAAACATCATCATCGATGATATTCCTTTCTATACAGAAGATCATACGAAATTATTGCCTGATGATCTTCTGAACATCCCAATACCTTTCTGATGGATTTCAGTCAATTCAAACCATATTTCCTTCAGATTGTAAAAAACTGTAAAAAAGTAAACATTAGCCTTTGATTACATCACTTTGTCTATGTAATCAAACCCCTTTTTGATATTAAAATGTGGTTACGGGCTAAAAAGGCTTGGGAACCCCTGGCCTAGAGGGACATTCCACAGATACATTTGCAGTGTGTGTGTACGTGTGAGTTTGTGTCTGTACATTTGCATGTATGTGTGCGTATTTGACACCAGTCTCTCTCTTTCTCTCTCTCTCTCTGCAGCCCACCCACACAGTGATGCCGGGCCAGGTGATGAGGGTGACGACGGGGGCTCCTATCCCCTGTGGGGCAGACGCTGTGGTGCAGGTGGAGGACACAGAGCTGCTCCGCGAGTCTGAGGACGTAAGTCTCACCTTTGACCCCTGACCCTTAGCCATATGGAGAGGGACTTAAGAGGATCTATAGAGGTACGGTGTAATAATAACACAGATATATTCAGGAGGGATAAGTAAGTCAAGTAAGGAAGTAAGCCTTGTCCGAGCCAGAATGGCCCATAGGGAAGCAATAGTGCAATAGGACCTAACTACTGCTGCTTCTACCAAGGGAGATAGGGCCTAGTTCCAGGGTATAGGGTCAAGTTCATGGGGTCCTGGGACTTTGCAGTGTGGCCAGGCAGGGCTGGTGGGAGGATGTGTTGAATGGAAAAGTAGTGAAGGTGATAACAGTAGTGAAGGTGATAACAGTAGTGAAGGTGATAACAGTAGTGAAGGTGTTAACAGTAGTGAAGGTGATAACAGTAGGGAAGGTGATTACAGTAGGGGAAATGATTACGGTAGGGAAGGTGATTACAGTAGTGAAGGTGATAACAGTAGTGAAGGTGATAACAGTAGGGAAGGTGATTACAGTAGGGGAAATGATTACGGTAGGGAAAGTGATTACAGTAGGGAAGGTGATAACAGTAGTGAAGGTGATTTTGTGTGATAGCTCCTTACAGGTATGTTGGTTTGTCCTTCTCAGGGCACAGAGGAGCTGGAGGTGCGGATCCTCGTACAGGCCCGTCCCGGACAAGACATCCGGTGTGTGTGTGTGTGTGTGTGCGTGCGTGCGTGCTAGCCTGCTTCCATGTGTTTGTGTGTGTGCGTGTAATAGTGCGTGAAAGTGTGTTTCGATGTTCCTCTGAATACATACCCCCCCTCTTTAACCTTCCTGTTAAACGTCCTTGTCTCCCCTCCCCTCCAGGCCCATAGGTCATGACATCAAGCGTGGGGAGTGTGTCCTATCTAAGGGAACCCACATGGGCCCCTCTGAGATCGGCCTGCTGGCCACCGTAGGAGTCACTGAGGTGGAGGTGCAGAAGTTCCCCGTGGTGGCTGTCATGTCCACAGGCAACGAGGTGAGACAGAGAGTTCCAAACCTCTCAGCTAATAACAGCTAGTTTATAGGTTTTATATCCCATTAAGCCCCTCCACTCTGGTGGATTGATCCGGGCACCACAATCCTAACTGTGGATAATGCAACGCTCTGGTGCCCTTCCCCGCTCCACTCAGACTACTCCCAGACAGGTCTATCTAAATTCTTGCTTGAGAAAGTTTTCTGTTAAAAATATTTTTTTGTTTCTTTTTGACCATTTTAATAGCAAGCTATTACAGTAAGTTACTTAATTGTTATCCAGAAATTAGATTTTTTTTTAAACAGCTGCACTGGGCCTTTAAAACATTTAGCAACAGAAAATGAAAATGAGTGTTTCTTATTGGACAAATCCAGGTAGTCCCTCCCTGTTTCAGGCTGTTTTCTTCTGTTTGGTGCCTAACGAACACATCCCCTGCTGTCTCTAGCTGTTAAACCCTGAGGACGACCTCCACCCTGGAAAGATCAGGGACAGTAACCGTTCCACACTGCTCGCCACCATCCAGGAGCACGGATATCCCACCATCAACCTGGGCATCGTGGGAGACAAGTAGGACTTCACACTCCTCTTCCTGTTCCTCCTGTTCCTCCTCCCTTTATCTCTTCATTCTCTCATCATCTTCTTTCTTATTGTCTTTACGATCCTCCTCTTCCTCTTCCTGTTCTCCCTGTTCCTCCTTTTTCTGTTCGTCTTCCTCTTCCTCCTCCCTTTATCTCTTCAATCTCTACCATCTTCCTCTTCCTCCTACTCCTATTTCTCTCTTTCTTCTCTCCTTTCGTTTTATATTCTTCTTCCTTCCCCTACTTCGCCTCCTCTTCTATGGTGTGTGATGGTAACAGGTAACTGTTCCCTGTCTATTGGCCCCACAGCCCAGATGACCTCCTCTTCATCTTCTGCCTCCGCCTCTTCCTCCTTTTCCACCTCTTCCTACTCTTCCTCATCCTCTTCCTCCTCATCTTCCTCACCCTTCTCCTCTTCCTCCTCATCCTCTTCCTCCATCTCCTCCTTTCATCTATCCCTCTAGGGGTGGCGGTCTGTGTATATTTGTAAACAGTGCACGATATCTAAGGAAGTCTCGAGGTTTTGCTCGCCTGAGGTAGAGTATCTCATGATAAGCTGTAGACCACACTATCTACCAAGAGAGATTTCATCTTTATTCTTCGTAGCTGTCTATTTACCACCACAAACCGATGCTGTCACTAAGACCGCATTCAATGAACTGTATACGGCCATAAGCAAACAGGAAAATGCTCATCCAGAGGCGGCGCTCCTAGTGGCCAGGGACTTTAATGCAGGGAAACTTAAATCCGTTTTACCTAATTTCTACCAGCATGTTAAATGTGCAACCAGAGGAAGAACAACTCTAGACCACCTTTACTCCACACACAGAGACGCATACAAAGCTCTCCCTCACCCTCCATTTGGCAAATCTGACCATAATTCCATCCTCCTGATTCCTGCTTACAAGCAAAAACTAAAGCAGGAAGCACCAGTGACTCGGTCAATAAAGAAGTGGTCAGATGAGGGCAGATGCTAAGCTACAGGACTGTTTTGCAAGCACAGACTGGAATATGTTCCGGGATTCTTCCGATGGCATTGAGTACACCACAACAGTCACTGGCTTCATCAGTAAGTGCATCGATGACGTCGTCCCCACAGTGACTGTACGTACATACCCCAACCAGAAGCCATGGATTAGAGGCAACATCTGACGCTTTCAAGGAGCGGGACTCTAACCCGGAAGCCTATAAGAAATCCTGCTATGCCCTCCGACGAACCATCAAACAGGCAAAGCGTCAATACAGGACTAAGATCGAATTGTACTACACAGGCTCCGACGCTCGTCGGATGTGGCTGGGCTTGCAAACTATTACAGACTACAAAGGGAAGCACAGCCGCGAGCTGCCCAGTGACACGAGCCTACCAGATGAGCTAAATTACTTCTACGCTCGCTTCGAGGCAAGTAACACTAAAACATGCATGAGAGCATCAGCTGTTCCGGACGACTGTGTGATCACGCTCTCCGTGCCGATGTGAGTAAGACCTTTAAACAGGTCAACATTCACAAGGCCGCAGGGCCAGACGGATTACCAGGACGTGTACTCCGAGCATACGCTGACCAACTGGCAAGTGTCTTCATTGACATTTTCAACCTCTCCCTGTCTGAGTCTGTAATACCAACATGTTTCAAGCAGACCACCATAGTCCCTGTGCCCAAGAACACTAAGGTAACCTGTAGCCATGAAGTGCTTTGAAAGGCTGGTCATGGCTCACATCAACACCATTATCCCAGAAACCCTAGACCCACTCCAATTTGCATACCGCCCCAATAGATCCACAGATGATGCAATCTCTATTGCGCTCCACACTGCCCTTTCACACCTGGACAAAATAAACACCTATGTGAGAATGCTATTCATTGACTACAGCTCAGCGTTCAACACCATAGTACCCTCAAAGCTCATCACTAAGCTAAGGACCCTGGGAATAAACACCTCCCTCTGCAACTGGATCCTGACGGGCCGCCCTCAGGTGGTACAGAGGGTAGTGCGTACAGCCCAGTACATCACTGGGGCCAAGCTTCCTGCCATTCCAGGACCTCTATACCAGGCGGTGTCAGAGGAAGTCCCTAAAAATTATCAAAGACTCCAGCCACCCTAGTCATAGACTGTTCTCTCTGCTACCGCACGGCAAGCGGTACCGGAGTGCCAAATCTAGGTCCAAGAGACTTCTAAACAGCTTCTATCCCCAAGTCATAAGACTCCTGAACATCTAATCAAATGGCTACCCAGACTATTTGCAGACTATTCGGCACATGTGACAAATAACATTTGATTTGATTTGATATCCCTATAAATGGTGTGTGATGGTAACTGGTAACTGTTCTCTGTCTATCGGCCCCACAGCCCAGACGACCTGCTGAATGCCCTAAACGAGGGCATCAGCCGCGCTGACGTTATCATCACCTCTGGAGGGGTGTCTATGGGAGAGAAGGTATGTGAGCAAATAGTGAGTATGAATGGTCATTGGTCATGACATTGCACTATTCTGACATCTTGTGGTCGGGGTGGGGAATTGTGGTGTTAATACTATGTGGGGGGGGGGTGTTGAATTAATTACAATCTCACACAGAACATGATCATATTTATTTATTGGGATTGGGAATTGTGGTGTTTGATATTTCTGTTTTTACAGCTATTTCATTACATATACAGTACATTTTACACACATTTTACATACGTACATGACATTGTTGAGTTAATACTATGTGGGCTCACACAGCACAGGGTTGTATTTCTAAGGCCCAAAACGAAAAACATTTTGCAACAAAAAAAAAGTACATATTTTTTTCTTGATATACTGATCCAGATACTCGCTTCCTGTTTCAGTGAGTTTTTTTTTTCTCGTTTGGTGCCTGATGAATACACCCCGGTGGTGCACAAGTCTTATGTGGGTTTTAGGTACACATACACTATAACTGTTTTCATCTAATGTTTATATGTACTTTAGAATACTCCAAAATGTGTGATCCTCTTTTTCAGGACTATCTGAAGCAGGTGCTGGATATTGATCTGCATGCCCAGATCCACTTTGGACGAGTCTTCATGAAACCAGGGTGAGGTGGAGGGAGGGAGGGATGGACAGGTGGACCGGTGGATGGATGGATGGATGGATGGATGGATGGATGGATGGACAGGTGGACAGGTGGACCAGTGGAGGGAGGGATGGATGGACAGGTGGACCGGTGGATGGATGGATGGATGGATGGATGGATGGATGGATGGATGGATGGATGGATGGATGGATGGAAGGATGGATTGTTCATTGATGACCATGTTGTTCTTCTCTTCTCCCATCATATTAGTCTGCCGACAACATTCGCCACTTTGGATATGGACGGTGCTCGCAAACTCATCTTTGCCCTCCCAGGTAGTGTGTAAAGTAAAGAGAAAGAAGGAATCAGACACTCATTTCCAGACTGGTTTCTAACACACTCTTGTTTTCTCTCTCTCTCTCTCTCTCTCTCTCTCTCTCTCTCTCTCCCCCCCCCCCCCCCCCCCCCCCCACGGCCCAGGTAACCCTGTGTCTGCTGTGGTGACATGTAACCTCTTCGTCATCCCCGCCTTGAGGAAGATGCAGGGGATCCTGGACCCACGGCCCACCATCATCAAAGCCAGGGTAAGAACAAAGGCACAGGACTCCATCAATCTTTTGCAATGTGTCTTTCCTCCATTGTTTTCTCTATCCTCGCTTTCCTCTCAAAATTCATTGGTCAGAGGTCAGAGGTGAGAGATCTTCTCCTCCAATGCGTTTTGAGAAGGTAATCCAGAAGAGCCCGTCTACCTGGAAGTAGAGGCCAGGAGTTTTGTCTGACCACACTGACTTGACCATGTGGCCCATTGACTTGAGAAATCTCTCAGATACGTTTGCAGTGTGTGTGTACGTGCGAGTTTGTGTGTATTTACTGTATATCCTTTCAGAGTTTTTACTGTCCAGACCAGATGGTTATTTAGGGTGGCAGGTAGTCTAGCGGTTAGAGTTTTGGGACAGTTCGCTAGTTCGAATCCCTGAGCCGACCAAGGTGAAAAATCTGCCCAAGTGCCCTTGTGCAAGGCACTTTACCCTAATTGCTCCAGGGTCACCGTTGATAATGGCAGACCCTGGCCGTGACCCCACTCTCCGAGGCTGGCTCAGGGGGAGTTGGGATATGCAAAAAAACACATTTCCAATTCACACATGCGCATTAATACAAATATGTGGGGAGTAGTGAACGAGTGCACACTTCAGGAGGGAGGAGAGATTATTGGGATACACCCCCTGATGTGATGTCATGATGAGGTCATCATGTCATGATGAGCCCTGTTGATTGTGTGGTTTGTCTCCTGTAGTTGTCATGTGACGTGAAGCTGGACCCTCGCCCTGAGTACCACCGCTGCATTCTGACATGGCACCACCAGGAGCCTCTGCCATGGGCCCAGAGCACAGGTACTGATGGAATATCATTCTATTCCATTGTATTATTTTATATTCTATTCTATTGTGCACTGCTATAAGGAACGATACACTTCTATACTATACGGCATGTGTGGTCACAGGCTCAATGGACTCTCAATGGACTGGTCATTGGCTTTGTTCATGGGCAATTGTAGAGGGGTAAGCTACAGTCCTCTCATCTAACAAACCCTCTGGCTGTGACTATTTTCACTGTTTTGTATTACATGTAATATTCTATTGCATAAAGAACTACAATTGGATACTGTAGTATTAGATAGTGTAGTATTAAATACTGTAGTATTAGACAGTATAGTATTGAATACTGTAGTATTAGACTTTGTAGTATTAGACTTTGTAGTATTAGACAGTGTAGTATTAGACAGTGTAGTATTAGACAGTATAGTATTAAATACTGTAGTATTAGACAGTGTAGTATTAGACAGTGTAGTACTAGACAGTGTAGTATTAGACAGTATAGTATTAGACCGTATAGTATTCAATACTGTAGTATTAGACAGTGTAGTATTAAATACTGTAGTATTAGACAATATAGTATTAAATACTGTAGTATTAGACAGTGTAGTATTAGACAGTGTAGTATTAGACAGTGTAGTATTAGACAGTATAGTATTAAATACTGTAGTATTAGACAGTGTAGTATTAGACAGTGTAGCATTAGACAGTATAGTATTAGACAGTATAGTATTAAATACTGTAGTATTAGACAGTGTAGTATTAGACAGTGTAGTATTAGACAGTGTAGTATTAGACAGTATAGTATTAAATACTGTAGTATCAGACAGTGTAGTATTATACAGTGTAGTATTAGACAGTGTAGTATTAGACAGTGTAGTACTAGACAGTGTAGTACTAGACAGTGTAGTATTAGACAGTGTAGTATTAGTAGGCTCTCACTCCCTTGCATGCTGTGGTAGCGAGGTCATCCTGACTGTCATGGGTTTAATCCTCCTGGACATGTGTTGTACTGGGTACTGGCAGAGGGCCTAAAGTGCATTTATTCTCTATCTCTCTATCTCTATCTCTATCTCTATCTATCTCTCTACCTCTCTACCTCTATCTCTACCTCTATCTCTATCTCCATCTCTATCTATCTCTCTACCTCTACCTCTATCTCTATCTATCTCTCTACCTCTACCTCTATCTCTATCTCTATCTCTATCTCTATCTCTATCTCTATTTCTATCTATCTCTCTACCTCTACCTCTATCTCTATCTCTATCTCTATCTCTACCTCTACCTCTATCTCTACCTCTATCTCTATCCCTACCTCTATCTCTATCTCTATCTATCTCTCTACCTCTATCTATCTCTCTACCTCTACCTCTATATCTACCTCTATCTCTATCTATCTCTCTATCTCTATCTCTATCTCTATCTCTATCTCTATCCATCCATCCATCCTGTAGGAAACCAGGTGAGCAGCAGGCTGATGAGCATGCGCAGCGCCAACGGTCTCCTGATGCTACCTCCAAAAACAGAGCAATACGTGGAGCTGCACAAGGGAGAGGTGGTCGACGTCATGGTTATCGGTCGGCTATGATGTCATCAAAGGGGGACATTGAGATGGCTTCATAGAGAGAGAGGGGATTCGAATGGGTGGTTCACGGTGCATGTCCACATATCATTGACTATTCTGTAATATGCAACGGCACAGCTAGTTTTTCTTGATTTGGATAACGTTGAGGTATAGTCAACATCTCCATCACAAACCTAGGTACATATGATTAAAAAAAATATTATTAATTTAAAAGATTATAATAGTATTTCAAACAAAGAAAATATAACTTTTAAAGAAAAAAATCTAATTATAAAAAGAGATTTATTCTGTAATATATTATTATGATTCTTCTTATTCTTCTTCTTATCATTATTAGATTATAAGGCAACTTTGTTCCTTTCATTGCAATTGCTTTGTGTGTTCAATGCTAGACCTTATCAATAGTAGTAGCATTTTAATAGAGCTGTAGGTGCCTGCCAGGACAAAAAAAAAAGAAATATTATTTTCTAATTTTAGTGGAAAAAAAGTATCTGTTTTTTTTTTTTTTATATGAAGAAAAACACTGAGGAAGACTCCAGATTTCCCACGGTGCTCGTGTAAGAGGAAGGAGGGTAGGGTATAATCTAGGTGTACTTCCTCTGTGGTGTGTCGCTTGAAAGGTGACACCACACACTTCTATTTTTCTCTCGTTAGTATGCATCATAATGGCTTCACAAAGAGCTTTGCTTGTTGTTTATCTTGTGAGTCTTGTTTATGTGCGCAGTGCCAAATGCCTGGGCAAGGATGAGGGTGGTGCTGGGAGAGAGGGGGGAGGGGGACAGTCACCCACCCACCAACCTGCCCAGACCCTGAAGCTTCCTTATTTATCACCTGACCAGGTGCAACTCCGCCCCCGACTCCCCAGGGAGCGTGGTTACCTGGGAAAAACAAAAACAATATTTTATTTTAATCGACTAAGAGAAAGGGGGAAAACACACTGAATAAAAAGAAACAGCTTCTTTAAGTGCTGACAGCCTTTTTAACCAACTTCACAAAAAAATGTACAGAAAAAAAGAATATGAAGATGAACCATATTGTACAGATATGTGACCAGCACTCCTAAGGAAATTACTATTATTAAGCAATGAGGAGACATTGAACAACGCTGTACTACAATACATTTTCTGTAATGATATGAAACTGATGAAAGAGACTACGATAATAAAAATCCTTGATCATTATGTAAAAAAAAATATTGTTGGGTTTCCTTTTTTTTAAATAAAATATATTCAAAGAAAAATAAGTGATTTTGTTCATTGATGCATGCAGTAACACCTTGTTTGAGGGTGGTCCACTAACATGATCAAGTTCATGACCAGTTCCTTCATTTGTATTCATGAAGCATCTCAGTAGGAGTGTTGCCTTTTACATTATAATGAATAGACAAGGGGTACTGATCCTAGATCAGCGCTGCTACGCTGAGACACCTTATGAACGTGGGCCCTTAACTTCCTGCATCTGGACGTAGCCTACGTGAAGAAGCCTATAGGCCATTGAAAGATCAAACCCTAAAAAGAGAAAGAGGTTAAGTATACAAATGTCACTGAGAGATGAGAGCGGATTACCCTCATAGAAAATACAGTCAAAATATTGAAGCTGTGTGTGCGCAGACAGATACCGTGCAGGTGACGCTGACTGACTGTCCCTAGAATCATTCATCCTGAAAGCGCCAACATATTTTTAGCTTAGAAGCGCCAACTAGGGTCTTTTTTTTTTTTGTTGCAAAAATTATTTCAAGCATTAACACTTTTAATTTCATTAACCTTTTGTAACACAAGCAAATTGTTTGAATTCCCCAAAAGAAGCATATATTTCTTTAGAATTTTCACACATTTCAAATTTGATGTTGAACAGATATTTTAATCAATTTCATCCATAGCCACTTGTACTGAAAAGTGTCTGTTATTCATTCATAGTGTTGTGTTTCTGTGATACTCAGAGGCTGAGAAATTAGCGATTGAGCTAATCTGACATACCGGTACGACCTAAAAAGGCCAACAATATGGGCGCCGGTGCCATCAGACTTTTACGGCATTGCCATCAGCCATTGAGGAAATGCTTCCTTTGAAATCAATGAAAGCTGCTATACTGCCCGTGTTGCACTCGCGTTGTGTCACGTCCAATGGCATTGTCCAAGCTCAAGAATCGCAGAGGTTAAATTCTCCATGGCTGAGGGGCGCGTTTATTCTATCTTGTGTATTGAAATAATTAGAAATAAAGTTGATTTTGGTTGCATATGGTCTCATCTATACACCACTGGTTATTTTTCATTAAGATTTATGAAGTCAAGAACCAACATTTACTAGCTAGCAGAAGCTAGCTAGCTACATTGACTATGTTCACAATGTAAACAAAAGCAACTTGTGTAATTAGAGTATCATATAGTACAACCACTACCAAATATTTTATTAGTACTTGCGAAAAACTGGACCAAAGCTACTGTACTTACACATAATGGATGAATGTGTTAAAGTACAGTACAGTACAGGACAACACAGTACAGTACAGGACAACACAGTACAGGACAGGACAGGACAGTACAGGACAGGACAGGACATACAGTACAGGACAGGACAATACAGGACAGTACAGGACAATACAGGACAGTACAATACAGTACAGTACAGGACAATACAGGACAATACAGGACAGTACAATACAGTACAGGACAGGACAATACAGGACAGATACAGTACAGGACAGGACGACACAGACAGTACATACGTGACTACAGTACAGTACAGACATACAGTACAGTACATACAGGACAAACAGTACAGACCGACATGAAAATAGACAGTACATGACAAGGAATAGTCATACAGGACATGTACCATACAGGCATACAGTACAGACAGGACAATCAGGAACAGTACAGGACAACAGTACAGACAGGACAGGACAAATACAGTACAGACAGGACAATACAGGACAGTACAGGAAATACAGGACAGACAATACAGTACAGGACAGTACATACAGGACAGATACAGGACAGGACAATACACAGTACAGTACAGGACAATACAGACAGACAGGACATACAGGACAGGACACGATACAACAGGACAGTACAGTACAGGACAGACAAGTACAGGACATACAGTACAGGACAGAATAGGACAGTACAGGACAGGACAATACAGTACAGTACAGGACATACAGCGACAGTACAGTACAAACAGGACAGGACAAGTACAGACAGACAGTACAGCGACAGACAGGACAGGAACAGTACAGGACAGTACAGGACAATACACAGGACAGGACAATACAGTACAGTACAGACAATACAGGGACAGACAGTAATACAGTACAGGACAATACAGGACATACTAGGACAGGACAGTACAGGAACAGACGGACATACAGGACAGGACAATACAGTACGACAGGACAGTACAGACAACAGGACATTACAGACTAAGGACAGTACAGACAATACAGACAGTACGTAACAGGACATACAGGACAGTACAGCGGACAGGACAATACAGTACAGACAGGACAATACAGACAGACAGACATACAGTACAGACAGTACAAGACATACAGGAATACAGACAGTACAGGGACAATACAGGAACAGGACATACAGTACAGGACAGACAGACAGGACACGAAGACAATACAGGACAACAGTACACGGACAGGACAACAGGACAGTACATAGTACAGACAGGACAACAGGACAGTACAGACAGGCAGGACAATACAGACGACAGGACAGGACAGTACAGTACAGTACAGGACAGACAATACAGACAGTACAGTACAGTACAGACAGGACAGGAACAGGACATAGTACAGGTCAGTACAGACAGACAGACAGATACAGTACAGTACAGTACAGTACAGTACAGTACAGTACAGTACAGTACAGGACAGGACAGGACAATACAGGACAGTACAGTACAGTACAGGACAGGACAGGACAGGACAATACAGTACAGGACAGGACAGTACAGTACAGGACAGGACAGGACAATACAATACAGGACAGGACAGTACAGTACAGTACAGGACAGGACAATACAGTACAGTACAGGACAGGACAGGACAATACAGTACAGTACAGGACAGGACAGGACAGGACAGGACAGGACAATACAGTACAGGACAATACAGGACAGGACAACACAGTACAGTACAGGACAGGACAGGACAATACAGTACAGTACTGATGAGTTTTAGCTCTAACTTTGGATAATATGGGCTATAACTAAGTTCCAACTACATCTGAAAGATGAGACTCTCGACATACATCTACCTCTCTACCAAATTTGGTGCTTTTATCACAAAGTTGACTATTGATTCCACATTTTCAGCTTTAGGCGCCCGCATACAAGGATCGATTTGCTCCTACCAGATCTCAGCTACGCGAAGCGAACGTCTGTGCCTCGCATCCACCCTTAAAGGACCTTAGCTTGAAAAACTTGAAAAAAGGCAATATTACTGTTTGTCCTGCTTGAGATGCTGCAGCAACAACATAGCCAGTATTCACTTCCTCAAAATAGTTTGAATTAATCTACGATAAATCAAGACATCTGCAGTGGTGTAAAGTACTTAAGTAACAACTTTTACTTTTACTTCACTACATTCCTAAAGAAAATAATGTAGTTTTTACTCCATACATTTTCCCTGAGACCCAAAAGTGCTTGTTACATTTTGAATGCTTAGCAGGACAGGAAATTTGTCCAATTCATGCACTAATCAAGAGAATATCCCTGGTCATCCCTACTACCTGATCTGGTGGATTCACTAAATACAAATGCTTCGTTTGTAAATTATGTCTGAGTGTTGGAGTGTGCCCCTGGCTATCCGTCTGGTTTACTTAATGTAAGGAATTTGAAATTATTTATACTTTTACTTTTACTTTTGATACTTAAGTACATTTTATCAATTACATTTACTTTTGATACTTAAGTATATTTAAAACCAAATACTTTCAGACTTTTACTCAAGTAGGATTTTACTGGGTGACTTTCTCTTTTACTTGAGTCATTTTCTATTAACGTATCTTTACTTTTACTCAAGTATGACAATTGGGTACTTTTCCCACCACTGGAAATTAATTTTGTCATTTTTGCCGAGGAGATCTTAGTCGCGAAATTTTACAACTAACTAAGATGTTTGGTGCAGTATTTCTCAAGTGAAAAAATGTGCATGAAAATGAATTATCTCTTGTTGAATGACAATAAACACTTCATTGAATAATCCCATCCATAGTTCCCACTCCTACTAGGAGTAGTACAATCACCAACAAAGAGGCATAGACTTTGGCTACCAAACTTCGACTTGCCTCAAGAAAAAATATTGTGCGCTCCAACAGCTGAAAAAAACTCTGCCGAACATCAAAACGTCACAACATTTTGTCATAATATATATGCTAACTGTTCCAACTGGGAAGCATGTGACAGGCTTAACCCAGATAGCAAATCATTTCCTCCCGCTTGGTATTTGGCAGATGCTACCTTGCATTCTGTCAAACAGTCTTGCCATCGCCACATCCTGGACTGGGGGATAAGGCCTATTTCAGGGACTTGTTTCTGAAGACCATTCTTCACAGTAACTTTTGATATTATTAAATGTGTTTGTCACGCCCTGACTCTGGGGACTCTTATTTGTTGAGTTAGGGTGTGTATTTTTATTGTGGTGTATTGTCTATGTTGTATATTCTAGTATGTGTATTTCTATGTTGGCCGGTGTGGTTCCCAATCAGAGGCAGCTGTCGCTCGTTGTCTCTGATTGGAGACCATACTTAGGCAGCCTATTGGCACTAGTGGGTTGTGGGATCTTGTTCCGTGTTAGGTATGTTGTTTGTGTACCTTGGACTTCACGTTTCGTTTCTTGTTTTGTCGTTGTGTTTAATAGTCAAATAAACATGTATGCATGTCATGCTGCGCCTTGGTCTGACCCGTCGATGAACGAACGTGACAGAAGATCCCACCAAACGAGGACCAAGCAGCGTGTCCAGGAGCAGACAGCCTGGACATGGGAGGAGATTCAGGCCGGGATGGATCGCCGTCCTTGGGAGGAGACAGTGGAGGCGCGGTATAGAGAGGAGCAGCGGCAACGCAGAAGGCGCCGGCCGAGGAAGAAGCCCGAGAGACAGCCCCAAGAAAATGTTTGGGGGGGGCTAAAAGGGTGGTTGGCGGAGCCTAGTGTTAGAGCAGAGCCAACTCCCCGTACTCACGCGAGGAGGCGTGTGACTGGGCAGGCTCCGTGTTATGCGGAGCTACGTACTGTGTCGCCAGTGTGCCGGCACAGTCCTGTACGTCCTGTACTAGCACCACGCACGTGCCGTGCGAAGATGGGCATCCAGCCAGGACGGGGTGTGCCGGCTCAACGCTCCTGGTCTCCAGTACGCCTCCTCGGTCCCGCATATCCTGCGCCGGTTCTACGTACTGTATCGCCAGTACGCGTGCACAGCCCAGTGCGTCCTGTGCCAGCGCCCCGCACGTGTAGTGCGAAAGTGGGTAGCCAGCCAGGACGGGTTGTGCCAGCTCTCTGCTCCAGACCTCCAGTCCGCCTTCGCAGTCCGGTCCGGCCCGTTCCTGCTCCTCGCACCAAGCCAGTGGTGCGCGTCGCCAGCCCGACCCGGCCCGTTCCTGCTCCTCGCACCAAGCCAGTGGTGCGCGTCGCCAGCTCGGCCCGGCCCGTTCCTGCCCCTCGCACCAAGCCAGTGGTGCGCGTCGCCAGCCCGGCCCGGCCTGGCCTGTTCCTGCCCCTCACACCAAGCCAGTGGTGCGCGTCGCCAGCCCGGCCCGGCCTGTTCCTGCCCCTCGCACCAAGCCGGTGGTGCGCGTCGCCAGCCCGGTCCAGCCTGTTCCTGTCCCTCGCACCAAGCCGGTGGTGCGCGTCGCCAGCCCGGCCCGGCCTGTTCCTGCCCCTCGCACCAAGCCGGTGGTGCGCGTCGCCAGCCCGGCCCGGCCTGTTCCTGCCCCTCGCACCAAGCCAGTGGTGCATGTTTCTAGTCCGGTTCGGCCCGTGCCTGCTCCTCGCACCAGACCAGTGGTGAGTGTGTCCAGTCCGGCATGACCCGTGCCCGTTCCACCGGTGCCTGGTCCGGCACCAGTCAGCAGCTCCAGTCCGGAGTCAGAGCAGTCCGCTTTAACAGTGCCTGATCCAGCTCCGGTAAGCTGCTCCAGTCCGGAGCCAGAGCAGTCCGCTCCACCGGTGCCTGATCCAGCTCCGGTCAGCGGCTCCACTCCGGAGCCAGAGCAGTCCGCTCCACCGGTGCCTGATCCAGATCCGGTGAGCGGCTCCAGTCCGGACCCAGACGTCAGCCCCTCTCCAGGTTCGGGGTCTCCCACACCAGGGTCCAGACAGGGCTTGGAGTATAGTGGGAGGAAGGAGAGGGGAAGCAGCGCGCCGAGGTCCAGACCAGACCAGGGGCGCAACAGGGAGGCGGAGAATAGGTGGTTGTTACGCCCGGAGCCGGATCCGCCTCCGAGGCGGAATGCCCACCCGGCCCCTACCCTGTTTAGTAAAGGTTGTGCGGTCGGAGTCCGCACCTTTGGGGGGGGGGGGGGTACTGTCACGCCCTGACTCTGGGGACTCTTATTTGTTGAGTCAGGGTGTGTATTTTCATTGTGGTGTATTGTCTATGTTGTATATTCTAGTATGTGTATTTTTATGTTGGCCGGTGTGGTTCCCAATCAGAGGCAGCTGTCGCTCATTATCTCTGATTGGGGACCATACTTAGGCAGCCTATTGGCACTAGTGGGTTGTGGGATCTTGTTCCGTGTTAGGTATGTTGTTTGTGTACCTTGGACGTTTCTTGTTTTGTTGTTGTGTTTAATAGTCAAATAAACATGTATGCATATTACGCTGCGCCTTGGTCTGACCTGTCGATGGACGAACGTGACAGTGTTACACTTGTTTTCTTAACTTTTTAAGTAAATTCTTAAAACCATATGTTTGATGTATTTGATACCATTCCACTTATTCCGCTCCAGCCGTTACCACAAGCCCGTCCTCCCCAATTAAGATGCGACCAACCTCCTGTGACTGAGTATACAAAACATTAAAGACACCTGCTATTTCCATGACATAGACTGACCAGGTAAATCCAGGTGAAAGCTATGATCCCTTATTGATGTAAATTGTTAAATCCACAAATCAGTGTAGATGAAAGTGAGGAGACAGGTTAAATAATTATTTTTAAGCCTTGATGTTTTGTACACTCAGTGTATATGTTACTTATTTGATTACTGTCACTTTTGTCGCCATTGAACTGTAGGGCCTACATGACAATAACATTTGATTTGACTGGATTTGATTTGTCATCACCAGCGGATCCAGGTGACCAGGACTGGCCCTTGTTATCTGATATATTTTTCACACACATAATCATTTACAGTACTTTTCCAAATGGACATCCAATGTACCTTAAATAATAAAAATCTATAAATATATACTGTGTATATATATAAACAAAAATAAGTGGTGACGGAGTAGGCATGCCGCTGGCTGGCCCGTGTACACAAGGGTCGAAACAACGTGGTGAAACACCGCCTCCCATTCATTTTCGATGGAAGGAAAGCGGTGAAAAGGGGACCGTTGGGAGGCGAGAACGTGGCATGGGAGGTGGTGAAAAAGTTCACGGCCTGTGTACGCTGGCACACGGAAAATTGCCGCATGCCGCTTCAGCCGCCCAGAGTGGCTCGCTTGTGGGTGTCCTGGCAGCATATGGCAGCATATAGCAATAGTTTGGTTGTGCATAAAAAATTCAGCATAGTAAATGTGTATGAAGGTCTGGTTATTAAATGGTTAAATAGTTTAATCCATTCTCCTTTCATGAATTTATTCAAGGTAAATAGTCATATGCTCTAAACCTCTCTGGTGACAAACACACTTTGCTGCCCTGTTTCCAATCATCCACATGGCTGAGAGAACCTATTCAAGTAAGTAAATACATTTTGAAAATGTAAAATAAACTGAGGTATTATTAGCTATCTAGCTACTGTACAGTGCAGGCTAACTCAAATTAACTGCTAACATAGCTAGCTAGCTATCTAGCCAACTTTACATACTGTATAGCTAGCTAGCTAAGTGAATTCAATATCACCAGCTACCTAACTTCATATTAGCTAGCTATCGTCATTGTAAAAAACAAACTCCAAATGCATTTGTAGGTAGCTAGCTAACAGCCATGGAGGAGGGTGAAAGGATAGCAGCCCCAACTGTCAAAGGGGAGAGAGTAGGCTATTCTGGATAGGGCAGGTACTTTTGTGTAGTTCCAGTCCCTAGAAGTGAGGAATGAGATAATAGTAACATAATATTCAGTGCTGTCTAATTTGAGTATAATGAAGTCTGTTTCTTGTGAGGTTTTCTGTCCTCAGATACAGAGAGCTGTGAAAGCCTGTCTGCAGATGAAGAGGTCCCAATGAAGAGCAGTGGTTCTCAGTCCTGGTCCTGGGGACTCAAAGGGGTGCAAATTTTTGCACTACAAAGCTGATTCAAATGATCAAGTCATCATCAAGCTTCAAGTGGCATTTATGTATTCATTTGTGATGCTATCCTTGAAATGATCCTGCTGTTGTCCCATGCTACATTTACATTTACGTCATTTAGCAGACGCTCTTATCCAGAGCTATGGGGGGGTATTCAATTATCCTTTTGATGTGAGAGAGGATGCCAACCTCCAGTCCCATCATCGCCACCTCACCCGCTCTAAGATAACCCGCCCAAGGCTGTTTAGGAGACACCGTTAGAGACACTATTATGTAATTGTGATGAACTGAGAGAATATGAAGTTTAGTAGCACTGTAATTCATTAATCATATGCTGTCTTCCCTAGTAGCACTGTAATTCATTAATCATATGCTGTTTTCCCTAGTAGCACTGTAATTCATTAATCATATGCTGTCTTCCCTAGTAGCACTGTAATTCATTAATCATATGCTGTCTTCCCTAGTAGCACTGTAATTAATTAATCATATGCTGTCTTCCCTAGTAGCACTGTAATTCATTAATCATATGCTGTTTTCCCTAGTAGCACTGTAATTCATTAATCATATGCTGTTTTCCCTAGTAGCACTGTAATTCATTAATCATATGCTGTTTTCCCTAGTAGCACTGTAATTCATTAATCATATGCTGTTTTCCCTAGTAGCACTGTAATTCATTAATCATATGCTGTCTTCCCTAGTAGCACTGTAATTAATTAATCATATGCTGTTTTCCCTAGTAGCACTGTAATTCATTAATCATATGCTGTTTTCCCTAGTAGCACTGTAATTAATTAATCATATGCTGTTTTCCCTAGTAGCACTGTAATTCATTAATCATATGCTGTTTCCCTAGTAGCACTGTAATTCATTAATCATATGCTGTTTTCCCTGCTCCTCTGTTCTTATCTCTTTCCCTTTCTGTCTTTTACACTCTCACACCTCTCTCCCACCTCCTCTTTCTTCCTCTGTTTTTATAATGGACACCAGATGTGCATTGAAGTACAGATTGAACTTGTATTTATAATATTACAATTATAATATTTATAATGCATGTATTATGTATTTATAACACTTGGATAATGAACTTCTTTCAATAAAGTATTTCACATTCTCTACTGGAATTAGTTCACATTCTCTACTGGTTGAAATTAAGTATCTCGTTTGATGAAATACTACACCTATCCTATGTCTTCAGATCAGTGCAGATGAAGGAAATTAAATATTGAGATGAATGTGTTTTAGAGTATATACATGATGCATAGGAAGTGTAGTGTACTGTTTTTAAAATTCTGGTTCTGTATATATGAATTACAAATCAGCCTTTAACTAGTTAAATCATGTGTTCCAGTCTATTGTAGAGTTCAATGTGTAACCACTGATGTCCCAGAACCAGGATTGGTAAACACTGTTGAAGTGTACAATTGTAATACATACATGCAGACACAGCATCATTCAAATACAGGATGTTGATACTCCTGGTATTGGATATGACTGAAAAAGAATGTCTCACATACATTCATACCTGAACCATAGCTTTATTTGTCAAGGTAGAGTACATGATCAGTGAATATATTCAATGTACAGGCTACAATGTGGGGGAACTCAAGCTTGGTAATAACTACATGTATATACGACTTGGCACAATAAAGTTATATTATACTCTACTAAATTCACAGGTTTCATTGATGCCATTCAGACTGTTTTGATGTCGATATAACTGACTATGATAGCTGAGGTTCATGGCTAGGTCATAGCTAGGTTCATAGCTAGCTAGCTAATATTGACATTATAATATTGACATGTAACAGTCATGTGTGTAACAGTAATTTTCTGCAGTTTCTTGGGGATTAATGATTAACTGGTGGAAGCATTTAAAACCACTGTTCTGAACTAATATTAATACCAAACATTTTAGGGTCCATACACAGATCGGCTACATAGCTAGCTACATCCATAAGCATACAGGTATTTTTATAATTCACTACACAATAAGACAGAAAATAGTTAGCTAGCCACGTTACTTCAGCTGCATTGCATGGGAAATATCAGCAAGGCAAGCTTACAAAATTGTACATTCAATTCGCAGTAAATGCTTCCCTTACGAAAAAAGATTGCAGTCAGAGTGCAGTATACGTATAAATGTAGTTAGCGTGCAGTATAACTGCAGTATGGTGCAAATACTGCGTCCAAAATAACAGTTATTTTTACTGCAGTTATTCTGCAATTACTGCGTCCAAAATACCACAGCCGACTGCAGTTACTGCACTTTTACTGCAGTTTCAAAACTGCAATCTTTTTTTGTAAGGGTTTAGCTAGCTAGATTCTTTACATCCACTGTTTCACAAGATGACAGCCTGGTTTGGCCGTTTTTATCAGGAGCGCCGCCCACTAGTGTACACCGCCGTGAGTGAGGCGATGGGCAAAAAAGCTGTCGCAAGGCGAGTGACCACCCTGGCGGGCTGCGTGCCTCTGGAGTGATCGTTGCTAGCTGGATAGTAGGCCTATGCAAGGTATATTGTTTTTCATTCCTTAACACAGAAATCATGGTCAATTATGTTTTTTGTCCGTAACTTGACAAAGTCCTTAAATTTTAGAAGGATAAAAAAAGGGTTTCGAAATAATGACATTGTTGATCCCTTGGCAATTTTAGGGTTAATTGCGTCCTTTTTTTATTGACTTCCTGCGCACTGGCAGGTGACATAACTATAATTCTACTAGTCACATATGATGGTGAGGTGCACACTGTACAGTCTATTCTAAATAACTCCACTAATTCAGACCAAAGTCATATTTTTTGTCATATTTATCTTATTATGCAGGCTATTTATATCCAGCTAAAAGTAGTTCACTATTTGAGGAATAGGATGTGAAGTTATCACAGGCTATTGAAAGGCGAACACAGGCTATTGAAAGGCGAACACTTTGGCGCATGACCATTGAAATGGTAAACTAAGTGGCGCTGTGGAGTTGCCTGGAGATGCTCAAACTCCATGCGTAGTTAACACTGCAATGGTGCAAGCCATCCCAACTCACCACAGACCGGCCAAGTAGCTACGATCATAGCTACGATCATGTGAGACCAGCCAGCAAGAAGAATAAAGACAATACGGCTACGCGCATCTTGAAAATGTTCTGTACGCAATAGAACCGATATTTCAGAACCATTGCATATTACGGGATTACTTCTTCTTTAAAGACCTGGAAGCGGTGAGTAGACTTCTCTGTGTAGTAAGACTGTTGAGTCCGATCCGATTGTCTAGAAACATTAATTGAATACTAAGTTCGCCAACTTGATTTGCGCACTCTTGTGTGTGTAGAATGCGCTGTCTATGGTGTGTAATGACCATCTCGCTGTTGGTATTCCAACTTTTTTATTAAAGCAATCACAAACACCGAAATCACAAGGTGGTAGCCTACAACTGCATCAATTTAACTTATATCAAATTGTGCTGTATTTCACAAGTTAAAGTGGATGTTTATCACAATTGAAACTGTACAGGACAGATCTGCACTTCAAATTGAGGATATATTTGTTGTAGTGCCGCTATCTATGTAAGGAGAACCTGTTGTTTCTAGTATTAGCCACTATTTGAACATGTTCATCTGTTGAATGGACATTTAATAATAGGTTTAGCTTTAGCCAGCAGTGAAAGCTCTCGGCTATCTAAGTAGCTATAAGAATGACTTATTTTAACTATGAGCACATGGCTGTTCTTCTGTAGCCTAAATGAATTCTATGGATACATTTCTATGTATCTACATTTTACAGGCCAATGTTGAAAACCTTTCCAATTTCGGCACCCTTTTGACTTATGAGTCCACCTGACATTTTAAAGCCATTTTAAAATAGACTTATACAATCGACTCCGGGGCATGAGTGATTAGTCACTCCGACAAGTAGCTTAGCCACCAGCTGTAAGGAACAGTACTTAATTAGCCACCAATTTGTACCTGTTTTTCCAGAGGGGGCCCCTCTTATCAATGTCCTCCTCAATGAATCAGTTAGCTAGGAGCTAGTGTAATCACAGTCACAGTTAAGCTCTGAGCCCTATGGTCTAGTCTAGGGCCTTCTGTTGGTGAACTGATTTTCTACACTTCTAAATTATATGAGTGAATAGAATCAAATGTATGCCTACATTTTTGATAAAGTTACCCCCACAAAGGGTGTGTATGCGCGCATGCGTGTTTGTGTGCTTGCCTGCATATGGATGTAAATGACTGTGTGTGTCTGTGTGTGTGTGTGTTTGTGTGTGTGTGTGTGTGTGTGTGTGTGTGTGTGTGTGTGTGTGTACATACAAATCTTCATTTACACAAAGTAATCTCATCAGAACCTGTGTAGCTCAGTTGGTAGGGCATGGCGTTTGCAACGCCAGGGTTGTGGGTTCGATTCCCGCGGGGGGCCAGTATGAAAATGTATTCACTCACTAACTGTAAGTCGCTCTGGATAAGAGCATCTGCCAAATGACTAAAATGTAAATGTAAACCTATGCCAGCTCCCATGGTCTCTCCTCAGTGTCATGCTGCTGACAGAACTGGAAGCCTGGAGGACTACATTAGACCAGGAGATCCTTCCTTCCCAGGCTTAACCAACCCCACAGGAGAGGAACAGATGGTCTTGGTGGCTGTCTGTTTGTCAGCCTCGCTGTGTGCTAAACAGATACAGGAGGGGGAGAGAGTAGACCTGCCAGACATGATTAGCTGGGTGAAGGGGTTAGGGGGGTTACCATGTGCCGTGTTTGCCGTGGCTGGCTGCCTCTCTCTGACAGCAGGAATCTCAGAGGTGTCTGTCCAAGAAAAGCTGAGAACTGCCCAAGAAAATCTTGAATTATTACATTGATGACATGCTCATGTTATTTCCTGTTCAAGCCATTTTTTTCTGGGTTTCCTTTGAGTCATGTTATTTCTAGACAATACAAACTTCACCTTTGTGAGAACGTTTTCCTCGCGTCTTGAAATACGTATAATCCTCACACACAAAACGCTTCCTCCTCATCCATTCTCGTCTCTTTCTGAAGAAAGAAATACTGACATTTGGTTGCCCTTGAGTATGGTATACACACCTGCTCACTCTATTTCCCAAGAGAGTGAACATCTAGTAGTCATACAACCATATAGTGGGTTAATCCAGATTAATACTGGGTAACATCCTTAAAATAGATTGTAATCCACAGCAGCAATGGCAGATCAGGTTGGTTGTATTCTCGTAGTGTACCGGTACTGGTTGAGTGCAATATGCTACACTTCCTGTCAAATGTTATATCCCTATTATGGATGGCTGTAGATGAATACAATCAGCCTGAAGGACCCAGGGAGCAAAGAGGTAAGTGGTGAGGGGTTATTCAATGACAGAGAGATACTCAGGCAAGGCCAGGTGGGGACAGAGTGACAGACATAGGGGTGGATGGGCCTGCTGGACTCGAGGGATTGCAGCAGGTAAAGTGAGGGCAGGCCAGGGAGGTTGCCGTGTGAGGAGTTAGATTAGCTCTTCTGTTGATTAGAAACTAGGAGGAGAAAATTGTGGTTCTGGTAGTAATGTATACAGTAGGTGGTTCTGGTAGTAATGTATATAGTAGGTAGTTCTGGTAGTAAGGTATATAGTAGATGGTTCTGGTAGTAATGTATACAGTAGGTGGTTCTGGTAGTAATGTATATAGTAGATGGTTCTGGTAGTAAGGTATACAGTAGGTGGTTCTGGTAGTAATGTACAGTACCAGTCAAACGTTTGGACACACCTACTCATTCAATGGTTTTTCTTTATTTTTACTATTTTCTACATTGTAGAATAATAGTGAAGACATCAAAACTATGTAATAACACATATGGAATCATGTAGTAACCAAAAAAGTGTTAAACAAATCAAAATATATTTTATATTTGAGATTCTTCAAAGAAGTCACCCTTTGCCTTGATGACAGCTTTGCACACTTTTGGCATTCTCTCAACCAGCTTCACCTGGAATGCTTTTCCAACAGTCTTGAAGGAGTTCCCACATATGCTGAGCACTTGTTGGCTGCTTTTCCTTCACTCTGTGGTCCGACTCATCCCAAACCATCTCAATTGGGTTGAGGTCAGGGGATTGTGGAGGCCAGGTCATCTGATGTAGCACTCCATCACTCTCCTTCTTGGTAAAATAGCCCTTACACAGCCTGGAGTTGTGATGGGTCATTGTCCTGTTGAAAAACAAATGATAGTCCCACTAAACCCAAACCAGGTGAGATGGCTTATCACTGCAGAATGATGTGGTAGCCATGCTGGTTAAGTGTTCCTTGAATTCTAAATAAATCACAGACAGTGTCACCAGCAAAGCACCCCCACACCATAACACCTCCTCCTCCATGCTTTACAGTGAGAAATACACATGCAGAGATAATCCGTTCAACCACACTGCGTCTCACAAAGCCACGGCGGTTGGAACCAAAAATCTCAAATTTGGACTGCAAACCAAAGGACAAATGATCACCGGTCTATTGTCCATTGCTCGTGTTTCTTGGCCCAAGCAGGTCTCTTCTTCTTATTGGTGTCCTTTAGTAGTGGTTTCTTTGCAGCAATTCGACCATGATGGCCTGATTCACACAGTCTCCTCTGAACAGTTGATGTTGAGATGTCTGTTACTTGAACTCTGTGAAGCATTTATTTGGGCTGCAATTTCTGAGGCTGGTAACTCTAATGAACTTATCCTCTGCAGCAGAGGTAACTCTGGGTCTTCCATTCCTGTGGCGGTCCTCATGAGAGCCAGTTTCATCATAGCGCTTGATGGTGTTTGCAACTGCACTTGAAGAAACTTTCAAAGTGCTTGTAATTCTCCGTATTGACTGACCTTCATGTCTTAAAGTAATGATGAAGTGTTGTTTCTCAATGCTTATTTGAGCAGTTCTTGCCGTAATATGGACTTGGTCTTTTACCAAATAGGGCTATCTTCTGTATACCCCCTTACCTTGTCCCAACACCACTGATTGGCTCAAACGCATTAAGAAGGAAATAAATTCCACAAATTAACTTTTAAGAAGGCACACCTGTTAATTGAAATGCATTCCAGGTGACTACCTCATGAAGCTGGTTGCGAGAATGCCAAGAGTGTGCAAAGCTGTCATCAAGGCAAAGGGTGGCTATTTGAAGATTATAAAATATATTTTGATTGGTTTAACACTTTTTTTGGTTACTGCATGATTCCATATGTGTTATTTCATAGTTTTGATGTCTTCACTATTATTCTACAATGTAAAAAATAAAATAAAAACCTTGAATGAGTAGGTGTGTCCAAACCTTTGACTGGTAGTGTATATAGTAGGTGGTTCTGGTAGTAAGGTGTATATAGTAGGTGGTTCTGGTAGTAATGTATGCAGGAGGTGGTTCTGGTAGTAAGGTATATAGTATATGGTTCTGGTAGTAAGGTATATAGTAGATGGTAGACAGGAGGTGAGATAGGTAATCAACAAAGATCAGGGTGAAGTAACCAGATTGGTTATTATTGTCTGGACCTTTAGGCCTAAATATACTGGACTAATGTACCATGTGACCCTAACCCTAAATATACTGGACTAATGTACCATGTGACCCTAACCCTAAATATACTGGACTAATGTACCATGTGCAAAATTGAACATCAGAACATTTTAAAGTACTGTATGATTAGTGTATATCAGTAGTCTCAAACCCATTTTGCCCAGGGACCAAATTCTGTGTTCACCGAGGTCCGGAGGGCCGCGATGTATTGCCTTGCCTTGGTTCTGGTAGTAAGGTTCGGAGGGCTGCGGTGTATTGCCTTGCCTTGGTTCTGGTAGTAAGGTTTGGAGGGCTGCAGTGTATTGCTTTGCCTTGGTTCTGGTAATAAGGTCCGGAGGGCTGCGGTGTATTGCTTTGCCTTGGTTCTGGTAGTAAGGTCCGGAGGGCTGCAGTGTATTGCTTTGCCTTGGTTCTGGTAGTAATGTCCGGAGGGCTGCGGTGTATAGCTTTGCCTTGGTTCTGGTAGTAAGGTTCGGAGGGCTGCGGTGTATTGCTTTGCCTTGGTTCTGGTAGTAAGGTTTGGAGGGCTGCAGTGTATTTCTTTGCCTTGGTTCTGGTAGTAAGGTCCGGAGGGCTGCGGTGTATTGCTTTTCCTTGGTTCTGGTAGTAAGGTCCGGAGGGCTGCGGTGTATTGCTTTGCCTTGGTTCTGGTAGTAAGGTCCGGAGGGCTGCGGTGTATTGCTTTGCCTTGGTTCTGGTAGTAAGGTTTGGAGGGCTGCGGTGTATTTCTTTGCCTTGGTTCTGGTAGTAAGGTCCGGAGGGCTGCGGTGTGTTGCTTTGCCTTGGTTCTGGTAGTAAGGTTCGGAGGGCTGCGGTGTATTGCTTTGCCTTGGTTCTGGTAGTAAGGTTCGGAGGGCTGCGGTGTATTGCTTTGCCTTGGTTCTGGTAGTAAGGTTTGGAGGGCTGCAGTGTATTTCTTTGCCTTGGTTCTGGTAGTAAGGTCCGGAGGGCTGCGGTGTATTGCTTTGCCCTGGTTCTGGTAGTAAGGTCCGGAGGGCTGCAGTGTGTTGCTTTGCCTTGGTTCTGGTAGTAAGGTTCGGAGGGCTGCGGTGTGTTGCTTTGCCTTGGTTCTGGTAGTAAGGTCCGGAGGGCTGCGGTGTATTGCTTTGCCTTGGTTCTGGTAATAAGGTCCGGAGGGCTGCGGTGTATTGCTTTGCCGTCAAAATCGGCAGAAACAGTAGACAATGCAGTATACAGCATTTACTATGACAACTCACGGTCGCAGGCCGCAGCTAGCCTGAATGCCACCAGTTTGAGACCCCTGGAGTACATAACATAAATATATTGTGGCTGTAATAATGAATAGTGTAAGCTTGATAAGAAGGAGGTAAATGGTGGTAGTCACTCATCAAATTTCATAGGCCTAGCTAGCTAGCTATCGCAAGACTTCACATTATGGCTCACAAGACTAGAACAGTGGTAATGTTGCTGCTCCATTCTAACCCTGCTTATGCATTTCAGAACCTGCTCACCATCTGAAGACAACTGTCCCAATTGAAGTGCTATGGCCCCTGCTGCAGTGAGGAGTCCTAGCCTCAGGCCTTCATAGTGGACATTGCCCTATCAACACACACAGGTGTAGGCCAGGGTCAAGCTCCCGGAGCAGGGATGATCACTTCTCACCAGAACGGAGGACCCGGATATGTAACAGAGGACCCAATGGGGCCTGTTAATGGCACGGAGGGTCCTGGGAGTGGAGCCAAGCTGCAGCAGAGAGAGAGGGCAGTGGACTGCCCCCCTGGCGACAGGGTGGTGAGGTCTGTTAGCAGCATGGTGCAGGGTTCCCGCTGCAGCGCCCAGAAGGAGAGGATGCAGCAGTACCAGGAAGAGCTGAGGAGGAAGAGGGAGGAGGACACCAACAAAGGGAAGCATGAGATCGATCTCAACGCCTCGCTCAGGCTCAAGAAGCTGGCCCAGAACCCAGCCAAGACGGGTATTGACAACCCCACGTTCGAAGCACCTGAGGCGGGCAAGGAGACCAAGGATGGGAGCCCCCTGCCTGGTGGGGACACGGCTGCGGGTGAGTAGGGTCATGAGTTAATGAAGGGAGGGGGAGGCGGAGGGGTAAAGAGGGGGAGGTGTGTGGGGGAGGAAAGGGGTAAAGAGGGGGAGGGGAGGTGTGTGGGGGAGGAGAAGTGGTAAAGAGGGGGAGGGGAGGTGTGGGGGACGCAAAGGGGTAAAGAGGGGGAGGGGAGGTGTGGTGTGGGGGAGGAGAAGGGGTAAAGAGGGGGGAGGGGAGGTGTGGGGGACGCAAAGGGATAAAGAGGGGGAGGGGAGGTGTGGGGGAGAGGTGAAGGGGTTAAAGGGGGGGGGTGGGAAAGAGGGGGAGGGGAGGTGTGGGGGACGCAAAGGGGATAAAGAGGGGAGGGGAGTGTGGGGGAGAGGTGGAAGGGGGTAAAAGGGGGGGGTTATAAAGAGGGGGAGGGGAGGTGTGGGGAGGCAAAGGGGTAAAGAGGGGGGGGGGGGTACAGAGGGGGAGGGGAGGTGTGTGGGGGAGGAGAAGTGGTAAAGAGGGGGAGGGGAGGGGAGGTGTGTGGGAGGCGAAGGGGTAAGAGGGGGGAGGGGGGAGGTGTGGTGTTGGGGGAGGAGAAGGGTAGTAAAGAGGGGGAGGGGAGGTGTGGGGGAGAGGTAAGGGGTTAAAGGGGGGGGTAAAGAGTGGGAGGAGGGGAGGTGTGTGGGAGGCGAAGGGGTAAAGAGGGGGAGGGGTAGGTCTGTGAGAAGAACAATAGTGGAGTTGGGAACTTTCATGACAATTCTGTGAAACAAAGGAGTCAGAACAGTGTGTAGGGAAAGGGCTGAACCAGGGTCATTGGTGGAGTGAGAATGGGAGATTTACAAGTGAATGTCAACGGTTAGGCTCCCTCCATTTAGTCACATGGAAGTCACTCACTTCCACTCACCTCTGGTAAAGAGGATGGATCCATTTGGAGCGAAACACTTCTGTTTGGAAGTCAATTTTTCAGAGGTACTCTCATTCTTTGCGTTGCACATGTAGGCCTGAAATCTATCGGTTTCATTGGAGGGTGGTTTGTAAATCATATGAAGTGAACTTAATATATTTTGTGAGGTGAAACAAAATAGTTCCTCAGAGAATTTGTTTTCGTGTCAGTTGGCTAGCCTTAGAGGAGTCAGTAGGTTGTGGTTGTTGCTGCGGACCGGTTTTAGTAGACACACACACACACACACACACACACACACACACACACACACACACACACACACACACACACACACACACCCTCCCTGCTTCTTCTTATCTCAGGTCTACCCCCTTATGAGATCACTGTCTAGATAACATTAATCAGGTAAGATGTTGTAATCAGTGGTTTATATGAAATCCATTTCTTAATCCATGTACCTGGTCCCTTAAACAGAACACCTGCTGGTTTAGAACAGTAGAGAGGGCCATGTAAGGAAAGGCTTTAGCCTCCCTTTTCCCTGGTGCTGTGTCTCTGTGCTCCTCAGAGTTGCTGCATGTAGGTGGGACCTTCAGGCCAAACTTGATGCAGATGCCAGGGAGGTTGCCGTGTGAGGAGTTAGATTAGCTCTTCTGTTGATTAGAAACTAGGAGGAGAAAATGGTGGTTCTGGTAGTAATGCATACAGTAGGTGGTTCTGGTAGTAATGCATATAGTAGATGGTTCTGGTAGTAATGTATACAGTAGGTGGTTCTGGTAGTAATGTATACAGTAGGTGGTTCTGGTAGTAATGTATATAGTAGATGGTTCTGGTAGTAATGTATACAGTAGGTGGTTCTGGTAGTAATGTATATAGTAGATGGTTCTGGTAGTAATGTATATAGTAGATGGTTCTGGTAGTAATGTATATAGTAGGTGGTTCTGGTAGTAAGGTATATAGTAGATGGTTCTGGTAGTAATGTATATAGTAGAAGGTTCTGGTAGTAATGTATATAGTAGATGGTTCTGGTAGTAATGTATATAGTAGATGGTTCTGGTAGTAAGGTATACAGTAGGTGGTTCTGGTAGTAATGTATATAGTAGATGGTTCTGGTAGTAATGTATATAGTAGATGGTTCTGGTAGTAATGTATACAGTAGGTGGTTCTGGTAGTAATGTATATAGTAGATGGTTCTGGTAGTAATGTATATAGTAGGTGGTTCTGGTAGTATCACAACCGGCCGTGATTGGGAGTCCCATAGGGCGGCGCACAATTGGCCCAGAGTCGTCCGGGTTTGGCCGTCATTGTAAATAAGAATTTGTTCTAAACTGACTTGCCTAGTTAAATAAAATAAAAATATAGTAGGTGGTTCTGGTAGTAATGTATATAGTAGATGGTTCTGGTAGTAATGTATACAGTAGGCGGTTGCTGTATGTAGGTGGTACCTTCAGGCCAAACTTGATTCCAAATCCTGTCTGGGGTGCAGAATCCCACTGGTGCGCAACCCAAACAGGTTTTGGCACCCGAATTGACTTTGGCGTGACAATATCCCGTTAGTAACATGGTTTTAAAATTCCCACGCTGTCTCCATGCGAGCAAGTGCTTGCTAGCGCCAGAGAGATTTGAAACCGACAGACATGCGATTTACTTTCTGAAAATGCCTTGTGGACAAATGTACGACTTTGGTCTGAATGTTAAGGGTCACGGGCGTTACAGGAAGTTGTGACTCTTGCTTATAAACCTCTCTCTGGCACTAGTAAACAACACCTCGCACAGAGATGAATGATACTGGAAATGAGGCAATTGAGCCTAACCAACCTGTTTTATCATTGTTTTACATAGTTTATCGACTTCTTTGTATTGTGCCTTTACCACATATTGTATTATATTGTTGTGATTTTAATGTGGACTTCTTTGATATTTTACTGCACTGTTGAGATGTAGTTCGCAAGTAAGCATTTCATTACACCGTTTACACCCCGCTGTATCCCGTGTACACCCCGCTGTATCCCGTTTACACCCCGCTGTATCCCGTGTACACCCCGCTGTATCCCGTGTATATGACGAATACATTTAGATTTGGTCTCTCCTTCCCTCTCCCCTCCCCAGAGCTGGAAGAGCTGCTGGAGGCCCTACGGCGGGTGCAGAGCTGCCTGGTGGACAGCCAATCGCAGGCCGACGTGGCCCTGTTGCTGGGCCTGCTGCGCAAGGAGGACTTCCAGAGCGCTTTGGCCATCCACAGCGCCGTGGCCCAGCAGATGCAGCCGCGCGGCAGCCCGCCCTTGCCCGTCACTGCCCAGGCCCAGGGCCTCTGCCTGGAGGTAGAGTGAAATACCCCAGTACGCTAGTGATCTTGATTGATCTAGAAATTTGAATGGATCTTCTTTCACCAATGTATCAGTCAGAAGGTAGGGTGTCAGGAGGGAGGTGGAGCAGTGTTTGGAGAAGGGAGAAGAGGATTTTGGGGGATGAGAGCAGAATATGTGAAGTTGGGTGAAGGAGATATTTTGGGCAAGGAAGAACAGTACAACTGGGTAGGGAAGAGGAGAGGAGAGAGAGATGGGAAGAAGGATAAAAGGATGAGAGGATGGAGAGAGAGAAACTACAAAGATATACAACTGGTCTCTGAGCAGTGCTTGACTTGGGCAGAAGCTCACCAGAGCTGACTACCGGCACGTCAAATGTTCTACTGCTTGAGCTCCTGTTCCTCTTATAGAATATTATCTCAAAAGTATTATGGAGCTCCTGCACCTTAATGTAAACAAAATGAGTACCGGCACCTATTTCAGTCCAAGTCAAGCACGGTCTCTGAGTAAGTAGAAAAAAATACTTCATTGCCAAAATGTCGCACTATCCCTTTAAACACCTCACAGCATATCCCTGCTGGGGTTAATGCTACTCACTGTACCAAGAGTGACAGAGTAACACAAACTCATCACCGTGTGCATGTCCACATCTGTCTGAACCACTCTCTACCTAACTCCTTCAGTGACAAAATACAAGAAAATACCGTAGGTCTTCTGCCACAGCACAACCAGCTGTGATTGATATTTCATATATATATACATCATTCATTGGTCTGGACAGCCACATAGTCTGTCCTGTAGATCTAGCTGACGTCTCACCACATACAGGTCATCAGGTCTTTAGGATTCCATATGACATGATGGAATTTATTACACTGCTTGTCAATGTAGCACAAACAATGTGACTTCTATCAGCCTGTGGTTCAAATAGTATTAGCTTTTCTTCCAAATTATTTAGCTGCACTTGATTGAGCTTGCCTGGCACATTGGAACCAAAGTGCAAACCTCGTCCATTTGGCACTTTGCGGCAGGCTCAATAAAATAATCAGGCATTTTAATGAAAACAAATACTATTTGGACCCAGGTCGGATTTCTATAGGAAAGCTGTCTGTAAAACAGTCAAAATATGATAACTGACAAAGAGACTGCTTTAAAAGGGTTCATTTGGAGGGCACTGAGTGTAGCACATCAGTACCATTGCTCTTGTGATCTGAAGATGACATTAAGGAAGAGGTTGTAGGCTACGATGGAGGGCCTCGGTCAGTGGGATGATGATCTCTCTCTCTCTCACACACACACACCATCTCTGTGCATAGAGTAAATACATGCAGACACTCACCCAGAGCAGCTGGCACAGCGCCAGGAGGTACTTAGCAAGGTGGTAATAGTTTGAGCCAGTGGACGGTGTGTCTAAACTAAGTAGCTGGTGGCATGGGCCTTCCTGATTGGCGCCCGGGGCCAGGTCATCTCCCAGCAGCCCCTGGGTCTGGAAGGAAGTGGCCAGGGATCTGATCTGCCACATCCAGAAAAAGAGGGAGGGAGGGAGGGAGAGGGAATTGTGGATCTGTCTGGATTGTGATAGTTCTGAGGACCATGAAGTTGTTAAAAGACATACTGTAGAAACACTAACATCATGACAGTATAACCAACTCCTCATGATTCTATTTTGACCTCGCATGTTTGGAGATGAATTCAGGGTCTTTATTTTCCAAAGCAACAGCCAGAGAGAAGAATAAGGGTGTGTCCCACATGGCACCCTATTCCCTATATACACTCCTATATACACTCCTATATACACTCCTATATACACTCCTTTATACACTCCTTTATACACTCCTATATACACTCCTATATACACTCCTTTATACACTCCTTTATACACTCCTATATACACTCCTATATACACTCCTATATACACTCCTATATACACTCCTTTATGCACTCCTATATGCACTCCTATATACACTCCTTTATACACTCCTATATACACTCCTATATACACTCCTATATACACTCCTTTATACCTCCTATATACACTCCTATATACACTCCTATATACACTCCTTTATACCTCCTTTATACACTCCTATATACACTCCTATATACACTCCTATATACACTCCTATATACACTCCTTTATACACTCCTATATACACTCCTATATACACTCCTTTATACACTCCTATATACACTCCTATATACACTCCTATATACACTCCTTTATACACTCCTATATACACTCCTTTATACACTCCTATATACACTCCTATATACACTCCTATATACACTCCTTTTGACCAGAGGGTGACATTCAGGGCGGAGACTAAGTCCCGTTACAGTAGAGGAACTTCCCTGTCTGGAATGGGAAACCCCACTGTGACTTATTAGAGAGCAGCCAACTAAGGTCAGGTGTGTGTGTGTGTGTGTGTGTGTGTGTGTGTTGTGTGTGTGTGTGTGTGTGTGTGTGTGTGTGTGTGTGTGTGTGTGTGTGTGTGTGTGTGTGTGTGTGTGTGTGTGTGTGTGTGTGTGTGTGTGTGGAGATGTGTTTGTGAAGGAATCCAGTTGATTATCTTAACAGCAGAATGGTAGTTTAACATGACCTTCATGTAAGAACAAAATATTTGCAGATTAAACAACCTTGATTATAAGGCAAAATATATTTACTGTTATGGCGTTCATATTTTGACAAACTACCTCTGATAGCACATGGGAGCTCAGTCATAAAGCTTACACTGTCTGCACAATGACTTTCAAGTTTTATTAGTCGTATGTACGGGATATGCATGGTATACATCATCCAACGAAATGCTTACTTGTACGTTCCTTCTCGACAATGCAACAACAATAAGAAATAGTAAAAAATAAGAATAGGAACATAAAGTAAAGAAAATGTCTCAGTAGAATAGAATAATACATTTTAGCATCAGTATAATACAGGATGGCACACTTTATAGTCCAATATTTACACGTGTTTTGGGGAAGACAGTGACAAGCATAGCAGATGTACCATTAGTGGTTTTAACAATGATGTACTGAGAAGTCGCTTCTGAGAAATGACTAAAGCCTTGGCTGGCTTGTTGGCAACGTGTCGACTCATGACTGATGGTCAGGAAGTTGTATAATTGAACTGTCATGTTGAATCACACATAGAGCCTCAATAAGGAGTATTCAAGATTGCTGTGTGTCTACTAGTTCCTGGCTGGTGATGTTATTAACTCATTAACACTTTGAGCTGCATCGCTATTCCAGATGACCAATGATGCTGATTTAGTGCTACTTATACAGTTACCTTAATCTGACCCCTTCTCTCTCTCTCTCTCTCCCACCATCTCTTCACCTCTCTTGGACTCTCTCCCCCTCTCTTCCTCTCATTCCCTCCCTCCCCTCTCTCTCCCTCTCTCTGTCCAGGTGCAATACATCCTCCAGTCCAGTCAACATAAAGAGGGTATAGAGCTCAGCAACCTCCTCACCTCTCCCCACCTCCAGGTAAGAGACCAGGGACGCACCAGAACTCAACCCTTAACCTTGTCAGTGTTCCTGAGCTGGCCACCTGAGAGGTACTCTGGATCATATCCCGATATGGTATTTGTCAGTGTTACTCAGATATATGTGAATATGCTCCATATACTGTACCATAGGCTCCATATACTGTACCATAGGCTCCATATACCATAGGCTCCATATACTGTACCATAGGCTCCATATACCATAGGCTCCATATACTGTACCATAGGCTCCATATACCATAGGTTCCATATACTATACCATAGGTTCCATATACTATACCATAGGTTCCATATACCATAGCTTCCATATAACATAGCCTCCATATTCCATAGGCTCCATATACTGTACCATAGGCTCCATATACCATAGGTTCCATATACTATACCATAGGTTCCATATACTATACCATAGGTTCCATATACCATAGGTTCCATATAACATAGCCTCCATATTCCATAGGCTCCATATACTGTACCATAGGCTCAATATACCATAGGATCCATATACTGTACCATAGGCTCCATATACCATAGGCTCCATGTACCATAGGCTCCATATACCATAGGCTCCATATTCCATAGGCTCCATATACCATAGGCTCCATATACTGTACCATAGGCTCCATATACCAAAGGCTCCATATACTATACCATAGGCTCCATATACCATAGGCTCCATATACTATACCATAGGCTCCATATACCATATGCTCCATATACCATAGGTTCCATATACCATAGGCTCCATATACCATAGGCTCCATATACCATAGGTTCCATATACCATATGCTCCATATACCATAGGTTCCATATACCATAGGCTCCATATACCATAGGTTCCATATACCATAGGTTCCATATACCATAGGCTCCATATACCATAGGTTCCATATACCATAGGTTCCATATACCATAGGCTCAATATACCATAGGTTCCATATACCATAGGCTCCATATACCATAGGCTCCATATACCATAGGTTCCATATACCATAGGTTCCATATACGTTCATGTGAAACCCTGAGCCTTCGTCATGTGTCTGACTGTATCCAATCCTGACATCAGCCTCCTCCAGAGGAGCTAAGGGAAGTCACTGATCAGTGGGTTTTATATGGCTCGGCTCTTTAAGTGGCTTGAACTTAGCTCTGTGGCTGAACTAAAGGGCATGGGAAACAGCCCTAACTCTATGGGTCGCCCTGTCATAGTCTTTAATAACCTCTTGTATAGGTGATATAACAGGGCATCATGGGTTTTGTAGTTTGGATGGTTAACATGATGACAGTGTATCCACCTCGCACACAGAAATCCCTTTGTTTGGGCTTCCAGCCGAGCATGTCATTGATTTGTGGAGTAGCCTAAGAGTTGCCTTTTGAAACTTGACTCTGCCTTGCTGGTCAGTGTCCAGCCCAACACGCATACAGACCGGTCACTCAGTATGGATGGCTTACCGCTGACTTTTACAAGAATGACCCCAGGGCCGTGTGCCATCCTAGTGTTGACACCGCTGACATAAAGCCACCCACACTGCACTGTCATGCCATTGAGGAAAGAGATTAGACATGTCATAGGCGGTGAGGAGGAGGGATGGGGAGATGCATGTCATGGATGAGGAAAGAAATAACATGCTACAGCTGGGCAGCTGAGAGGCTCAACTCCTACTGTGTATCACAGGTGGCTGGTGGCACCTTAATTGGGGAGGACGGGCTCATAGTAATGGCTGGAACGGAATTAATGAAATGGTATCAAACACATTGTTTCCATGTCCACTCACTTCATTCCAGACATTATTATGAGCCATCCTCCCCTCACCAGCCTCCTGTGCTGTATACCCTAGAAGGTGCAATCAGTAGCATATAGAGAGAGGATCTTGTGTGCTAGTCTCTCTAGATAGACGGGTTGCCTCCCACAATGTACCAATGAGCTGTTGCCCTAGGTCTGGGAATTCCGAGACTAGTTGCGTCTCGACACGTGATGGTGTGAACTGCCAACCCCACTGTTGCCCCATTAACTCCACTAGGCATCATGTCCAGTAAAACACAGGCATTTGCCACACCGGCAACCAACCGGGAGTAGATTATCCATCCCTCCGGTTACGCTGCGGAATGTGACCCTTCCCCCTCTCTGACCCCGGTTAACGACCCTCACCCTCGCTACCCACACACACACACACACACACACACACACACACACACACACACACACACACAGAGATCCACAAACCCCCATACAAAATGGTAGTGAATAGGTAACCCGCTAGAAACACAAAACTGCCTCCCTCCCTATTCCCCTTCCTCCTCTCCCTCCCTCCCTCCCTCTCCCCCATTCCCCTTCCTCCTCTCCCTCCCTATTCCCCTTCCTCCTCTCCCTCCCTCCCTCTCCCCCATCTCCCTTCCTCCTCTCCCATCCCTCCCCTCTCCCCCCATTCCCCTTCCTCCTCTCCCTCCCCATTTTCCTTCCTCCTCTCCCCTCCTTCCCTCCTCCCCCATCTCCGCTTCCTCCTCCTCCTCCTCCCTCCCTCCTCCCTCCCCCCATTCCCCTTCCCCCTCTCCCTCCTCCATCTCACCCATTCCCCTTCCTCCTCTCCCTCCCTCCCTCTCCCCCATTCCCCTTCCTCCTCTCCCCCCTCCCTCTCTCCCCATTTCCCTTCCTCTCCTACCCTTTCCCTTCCTCCTCTCCCTCCCTCCCTCTCCCATTCCCCTTCCTCCTCTCCCTCCCTCCCTCCTCCCTTCCCCTTCCTCCCTCCCTCCCTCCCTCTCCCCCATTCCCCTTCCTCCTCTCCCTCCCCTCTCCCCCATTTCCCTTCCTCCTCTCCCTCCCTCTCCCCCATTCCCCCTTCCTCCTCTCCCTCCTCCTCTCCCCCATTTCCCTATCCTCCCTCTCCTCTCCCTCTCTCCCCATTCCCCTTCCTCCTCTCCCTCCCTATTCCCCTTCCTCCTCTCCCTCCCTCCGCTCTCCCACCATTCCCCTTCCTCCTCTCCCTCCCTCTCCCCCATTCCCCTTCCTCCTCTCCCTCCCTCTCCCCCATTCCCCTTCCTCCTCTCCCCCATTCCCCGTCCTCCCTCTCACCCATTCCTCTCCCTCCCTCTCTCCCATTTCCCGTCCTCCTCTCCCTGCCGGCTTCCTTCCTTCCTTCCTTCCTCCTTCTCGAGATTGAGGTATTTTGATGATTGATGTAGGCGAATCCTGCCTCCTAAATGCAGGGCAGATTAAGAGGGATTGTGTGTACGCTGGAAGCTTAGCCAGCCCTCCTCTCTGCCTTCTCAGGTCTCTCTTCTGCAGGATAAAGACACTAATTTGGCTCGACGGTTATTAACTGCGGCATACGGAGCGCCCGTCACCTTAAATGAAGTGAGGGGGAAATCTTTTTCTTGTTGGCTTAGAGGTGGAGTCTGCTGTCGGCTGGTGTGGAGGGAGTGAGGGAGGGAGAGACAGGGTGGGCTTTGGGTAAAAGGTACATGTTTAAGCATGAGGGATGGGAGCCGAGTTTGTTTCCCCCTTGGCATTTTACAATAACTAGTGAATATGAAAGTGTGTGTGTGTGTGTGTGTGCACTGTGTATCATGTAGTGAGAGAAGATCAAAAGCTCCAATTCACCCAAGTCACTACTACAACAATCAAATTCAAATAAAATGGAATAAACACACAGTCCCCAGTTTCCACGGCACACACACTCCTTGTCCCCCATGTACCTGTGTGTGTGCTGTCTCTCGCAGGCTCTGATACAGGCCCACGACAGGGTGGCGGAGCAGGAGTTGGAGCCAGAGCCAGAAGAGAGTGTGATTCAGTACATGGGAGAGACAGTCAAACTGGTGCGGCTGGAGAAGGCCGGCGACATGCCTCTGGTAAACCACCCCCCATCTCATACACACACACATCTTATCTGATTAAAACGATCAAGAATATCTGTGCAAATGTACCAATAAAGCAAGTAATGTATTGTATTGTATTGTATTGTATTGTATTGTACTGTATTGTATTGTACTGTATTGTAATGTATTGTATTGTACTGTATTGTAATGTAATGTAAATTCCCTGATGTAGACTTGTCTTTCTAGTTGGTGTGTCTTTGTGTCAAGTACATCTAGGTGGTTTGTGCTGATAAGTCTATCTGACAGGTAGTGTATTTGCCTGTGTGTGCTGTCCCCAGGGAGCCACAGTTCGTAACGAGATGGACAGCGTGGTGGTGAGTCGCGTGGTGAGAGGAGGGACAGCCGAGCGGAGCGGACTACTGGCCGAGGGAGACGAGATCCTGCAGATTAACGGCGTGCCCGTCCGTGGGAAAAACATCAATGAGGTCCATGACCTTCTGGTGAGGAATTGGTTAACTGAGAATCGCTCACACTGTGCCCATTGACTGGTGTCAGTATGTCGCATTGATGCCATCAAATCTAATGAATATAACATTTTCTGTAGCCTCGGCTCGCCCCCATCTTTCCTCAATCTTGAAACCACAAAACATAGTACAGTACGTGAGACTACACTGTGTAATACTTAGTGAATTTGAGTGAAGCTGATTCCATGTCATTGTTCTCTCTCCTCAGACAGAGATGCATGGCACTCTGACCTTCCTTCTCATCCCCAGCTTTCAGAACAAAACCCCACACAGAGAGATGGTGGTAAGGCTCCTAGGTGTGTGTGTGGTGGTGTGTGTGTGGTGTGTGTGTTGTGGTGTGTGGTGTGTGTGTGTGTGTGTGTGTGTGTGTGGTGTGGTGTGTTGTGGTGTGGTGTGTGATGTGTGTGGTGTGTGTGGTGTGGTGTGTGTGGTGTGTGTGTGGTGTGTTGGTGGTGTGTGTGTGGTGTGTGTGTGGTGTGTGTGTGGTGTGTGGGTGTGTGTGTGTGGTGTGTGTGTGTGTGTGTGGTGGTGTGTGTGTGGTGTGTGTGTGGTGTGTGTGTGTGCTTGGTGGTGTGTGTGTGTGTGGTGTGTGTGGTGTGTGTGTGTGCGTGCACAACATGTGTGTTCAATTATTAAATCATAAGCAGTTACTAAACTCTTCTGAGAGATGATGATGATGGTGATGATGATGTCACCCATGTGTTCAGATGCACGTGAGGGCCTACTTTAACTACGACCCGTCCGATGACCCATACATGCCGTGCAGGGAGCTGGGCCTGTCCTTCCAGAAGGGAGACATCCTCCACATTATCAGCCAGGACGACCCCAACTGGTGGCAGGCCTACAGGGATGGAGATGAGGACAACCAGCCCCTAGCCGGGCTAGTACCAGGTACACGACCCTAACTCCAACCCTAACCAGCCCCTAGCCGGGCTAGTACCAGGTACACGACCCTAACTCCAACCCTAACCAGCCCCTAGCCGGTCTAGTACCAGCTACACAACCCTAACCCCAACCCTAACCCCAACCCTAACCCCAACCCAAACCCTAACCCCAACCCTAACCAGCCCCTAGCCGGGCTAGTACCAGGTACACAACCCTGACCCTAACCCCAACCCTAACCCTAACCAGAACTACCCCATCATTTTTTTCCCCAAGTCAATATTTCTGTTTCCCTTCCCGCTCTTGCAGGGAAGAGCTTCCAGCAGCAGAGAGAAGCTATGAAGAAACCCATTGTGGACAGGAATCCTGACAGCCCAGGTCAGGGGATTACTGTATATACTGCCTGCTCAGTTACACACTACGGGCACTATCACAAGCTGCCTGCTCAGTTACACACTACGGGCACTATCACAAGGGTCTAACCACAAACATACACACAATCATTATGATCTGATAGGCTCTAAATCATTATGATCTGATAGGCTCTAAATCATTATGATCTGATAGGCTCTAAATCATTATGATCTGATAGGCTCCACATTTTTAAAAACATTTTAGTCATTTAGCAGACGCTCTTATCCAGAGCGACTTACAGTTAGTGACTGCATACATTATTTTTCATACCCCCCGTGGGAATCGAACCCACAACCCTGGCGTTGCAAATGCCATGCTCTACCAACTGAGCTACATCCCCGCCGGCCATTCCCTCCCCTACCCTGGACGACGCTGGGCCAATTGTGTCATTATGATCTGATAGGCTCTAAATCATTATGATCTGATAGGCTCTAAATCATTATGATCTGATAGGCTCTAAATCAGCCATTGATAATGGTCCACTTCTCATTTTCTCCAGGGAAGCTCTGGAAGAAGAACAAGAAGCAGAGGAAGAAGACCATGTGCAACCCCAACAGCAACGTTGGTAAGGCTAGTTCTTCCTCCCACATCGTTTTGGTCCAATCCCAAACTAACTACTAGACCCCTATGCACTTGTGGAGATTTGATTGGTGTGAGCAATATGGTGAACATTCCCCTATCAGAGGGCAAGGTGGAGCTATTACCATATTGCTCACACCGTCAAGTCCTCTCAGATATGCATAACATAGGGGGGAATAGGTCATAGACACATTCAGATAGAAATGGATTGGGTAGAACATATATGCCTCTCTGACATGTACCCAGAAATCATGCCTGCTCTATATACATGTATATCTGCGATGTTCACCCTCAGCTGAATGTTGTGGAATATTCTGATAGGTACAGTATATCTGTTCTACATAACATATTTCTATATAGAGTAACATTTCTGCAACACCTCCAGTAAACCCCCACCTCTCTACTTACCTCTGTCCCGCCCAGACTACTCCGGCGATGACATCCTGACCTATGAGGAGATGGCGCTCTACCACCAGCCGGCCAATCGCAAGCGACCTATCGCCCTGATTGGTTCGCCCAACAGCGGGCAGGACGAGCTGCGGCGGAGGCTGCTATCAATCCAACCGGACAGGTTCTCCGGTGCCGTGCCACGTAAGTAGACCAATCAGAGCAGGGGATTGGGGGTTAGAGGGCGGGGCAAGACTTGAGATGGGAACAAGATCCACTTGTTCTTGTGTGATGTTCAGTTCATGGCCTGTTAGGTTTTCTATATCTTTTAAGTGTTGTGATTATTAAACAGACTTTAAATAAAGTTTGATTGAGTTTGATAGCTTGAAGCATTGACAAATTACTACAGCAATTGAATCGGGTAGGGTAAACGTTACCAATACATACAGCTTAGTTTATACCAAATTCTCATGTCTTTTTTCGTGTTAAACTGTTTATTATAATAGACCAGACAAAAACATAATTATACATTTAATATATCAAATTCTTATTTCACAATTGTTATCACTCAGATACAACGAGAAGCCCACGGATACATGAGAAGAACGGGAGGGAGTACCACTTTGTGAACCGGCTGGCGTTTGAGACGGACGACGCAGCAGGGAAGTTCATAGAGTCTGGGGAGTACGACCGGAACCTGTACGGCACCAGCAGTGACTCGGTTCAACAGGTCATCAACTCAGGCAGGATCTGTCTGCTGTGCCTGCACACTAAGGTAGGAAAATAAGTCTTCATAAGCCCTACATAGCACTTCATAAGCACTACATAGATGCTTCAATAATCATGTGTAAGTAAGTAATTCTACATAAAGGGTGATAGGTCCTTACATCTGGTCCTTAGCCCTTGGGCCACACTTTATATAGCATGCCATTTTAAACATCTATACAGGCCTTATAAAGGCTTCATAAGCCGTAAAAGTTGTGTTTGGTTTAAAGTGGGACTGTTAGCCGTTAGTTAAGAATAAGTTGTGGAGGTTTTGAAAGCATACTAACCATGCTGCTACTCCTCTATTCTCTCCATTCCTTTTTTCTAACTTTCTCCTCTCCTGCTGCTGTTTCCTTTCGTTCTCTCTGTCAGTCACTGCGGGTGCTGCGGTCCTCCAACCTCAAGCCCTATGTGATCTTCATCGCTCCTCCCTCTCAGGAACGATTGCGCTCCCTGCTGGCCAAGGATGGCAAAAACCCAAAGGTTACTTCCTGTTCTGCTTATCTCACACAAAAAAAAAGCCCTTTATCAGCATCAGCAAGTACCCTAGATACATTAATATCCACAGTGAATGTATCACATGAATCACACATCATATTGATCATATATACCTGCGAGAAGCTATAATTATTATTTCTCCTCTGCTAGGACAGTAATAGTTCTGCCTTGTGCTGATATCTCTAACCCTGCATTTCCCAAACTCGGTCCTGGGGACCCCAAGGGGTGCACGTTTTGGTTTTTGCCCTAGCACTACACAGCTGATTCAAATAATAAAAGCTGTGTAGTGCTAGGTCAAAAACCAAAATGTGCACCCCTTGGGGTCCCCAGGACTGAGTTTGGGAAACGCTGCTCTAACCCCTGTCCTTCCATCCTGTTTCCTTACATCTAGCCAGGATATCTCTAACCCCTGTCCTTCCATCCTGTTTCCTTACATCTAGCCAGGATATCTCTAACCCCTGTCCTTCATCCTGTTTCCATACATCTAGCCAGGATATCTCTAACCCCTGTCCTTCCATCCTGTTTCCATACATCTAGCCAGGATATCTCTAACCCCTGTCCCTCCACCTGTTTCCCTACATCTAGCCAGGATATCTCTAACCCCTGTCCTTCCATCATGTTTCCCTACATCTAGCCAGGATATCTCTAACCCCTGTCCTTCCATCCTGTTTCCTTACATCTAGCCAGGATATATCTAACCCCTGTTCTTCCATCATGTTTCCCTACATCTAGCCAGGATATCTCTAACCCCTGTCCTTCCATCATGTTTCCCTACATCTAGCCAAGATATATCTAACCACTGTCCTTCCATCCTGTTTCCTTACATCTAGCCAGGATATCTCTAACCCCTGTCCTTCCATCATGTTTCCCTACATCTAGCCAGGATATATCTAACCCCCTGTCCTTCCCTCCTGTTTCCATACATCTAGCCAGGATATCTCTAACCCCTGTCCTTCCCTCCTGTTTCCATACATCTAGCCAGGATATCTCTAACCCCTGTCCTTCAATCCTGTTTCCCTACATCTAGCCAGGATATCTCTAACCCCTGTCCTTCCATCCTGTTTCCATACATCTAGCCAGGATATCTCTAACCCCTGTCCTTCCATCCTGTTTCCATACATCTAGCCAGGATATCTCTAACCCCTGTCCTTCCATCCTGTTTCCATACATCTAGCCAGGATATCTCTAACCCCTGTCCTTCCATCCTGTTTCCCTACATCTAGCCAGAGGAGCTGAAGGAGCTGATGGAGAAGGCCTGGGAGATGGAGCAGGCCTACGGTCACCTGTTTGACACGGCCATCGTTAACAGCGAGCCAGACACAGCCTTCCACGAGCTGCTGCGGCTCATTGACAAGCTGGACACAGAGCCCCAGTGGGTGCCATCCTCCTGGTTGTGCTAGGGGTCAGGGGTGATGGTTCACCCTAGAGGTCAACCCCAGGGAGCCTCATGAAGGAGAGTGTGGCCTGGGTCGTGTTCATTAGGCACCAAAAGGAAGAAAACAGATTGAAACAGGAAGGGACTACCTGGACTCGTCCAATAAGAACCACTTGTTTTCGTTTTCAGAAAATAAGTGAACGTTTCACTACGGTGTACCCTAATGAACATGACCCACAGCTCGGGAGGAACGACACTAAAAGGAAGAATGGACAATGATCGCTGAGGCCACCGTTAGACCATCGTGGAGCCTTGCTGACACAAAATAGAGGGCCCGTGCCTTCTCTGACCGAAAGGGTGACTTGTCCTTTAACGAGCCTTCTTATGGAAGGTGGACTTTACTACATTTGCAGGGATGGATACTTTCTTATATATGTTTGTTCTGTCTGTGTTTATCTTTGTGAATGTTATTTTGGGTTTTTGTCAATGTTGTCAACATTTCCAGATTCCAGTAGCCTATGCAAAGACATTTATCCAAAACTGTAGAAAACATATTTTCATTTCATTCCAATCTCAATAGTTATTTATGATTGTAAAATGTGTATTTTTAGAAGAGATGGTAAACAAATGTGGTTTACCATTACCTCAGACCCCAATGTAATGTATGGTGTGTTTGTGTGTGGTATAGAAGACAATGCAATGCACAGGAACACTATCTCTCAATGGAGGACCAAATTGCTACTGGGGAACTATGTAACTTTCTCCTAGAAGTGAGAACCAAAGAGGAAGCCGTTGTATTCTAAATATGGTAAGGTACTTGCTGTGTATCAACGATTAGTATTATGTTGTGATATCTTGAGCTGCTGCGCTTGTACCTCACAGACCTCAAGAATCATTAATCATCAGTAAAGATCACCTTCATATATATTGTAGAGTCCGTGTATCTTGGGGCTTGATTAAATCATTATCGCCGAAGATCAGCGCTTTGACGTGCTTGAAGTTGAAAGGTCATTTCCAAATGAGCCGACATATGCAGCGTTTACTGTGAGTGCAGTCTCCGCAAACATGGGAACGTTGCCTTTCTATTTCAATCGCACTATAGCGCTGAACTTCGGTGTTACAGATTGAATCACGCGCCTAGTTGTTTGTCTGACCACAGACACTAACAGTGTGAACAATTAGGCGCTTTAGCCTACATCAACATATCAATTCATCTGACAAACCTGTTGAGCACTGTTTCATAATGGTGGACATTAAAGTTACAGGAATCCTAGTTTAGCAAGTAAATGTATGCTTTTGGAATATACTTCATAAATATTCATTGTGTATGAGTGTATGCCGAGTTATCAAAACATTTAAGTAGGAAAAAGAATGAGTGCATATAAATTAACATTAATTTAACAGTTCCTTGACAACCTAATACAGCGTGTTACATTTAGTGCTTCAATGCAAAATGGCTGCCATTTCACACACAGGTGTGCCCTAGATAAATGTAGGAGGTAGTCTCAGGCAGCCATTACTTAGTTCGTTTCCAGCACAGCTTTGTCAACATACATCAGCTGATCTTTTTTAGACTAATAGGTCTTTTGAACAATCAAATCAGCTCTGAAAAAGACCTGATGTGATTGGTCAAAAGTCTAATTAGTGGGAATAAGATCAGAATTGGGCTGCCTGTGTAAACGCAGCCCGATGCACAAATTATGGCTAAAACATATAAAACTAATCTGAGAGAGTAATAGAACCACAAAACGACACTTGAGGAATATTTAGTTCTTTATTTGGATGAAGTGTTGACACAGGTGGGGTTGTACAGCAGCTGGTTACAGGGGGTCAGGTACCTACATGTTAGCCATCCTCGGTCAATGCCATAGAAATAGAATGTAGTTCTATGTTCAATACACGCCCACTGACATGGAAGGGACTAGCCTCCACAACACTCACACTTCGGAGGAAAAGGACCACCCTGTTATAAATGTACAGAATGACGGCATGCATTGACTTGAGTGTTCTGGTGAAACCGTAAACTTTACATAGCCATCTATGTCCTCACCCAATCAGATGGAATGTTCAATACAGTTCACATAAGTAAACCATGACACTTTACTAATATATATATATATTTGCTTCTTTAAGTATTCAAAAGATAACTGTCCGATTCAACAATGTCAACACACTAGTGAACTGATGTGATTGCGGTTAGCAGCAAAGTTCTGACTTTAAAAGTTTAAACCACTCAGTTCTATACAGGGATCCATCTGGGACACATCCCCAATACTGAAAACGACATAAAACATCACCGGTGTACACAAAAAAACTAAAACAATTTTTTTGGGGGGACAAGACAACATCAATAAATAGGATGACGGTAACGGGAATGACAGCATGTCACTCAAACAGCAGGTCCTCGTCGGTTTCCTCCATCAGCATGTTGGACGGCTCAGTGATGGGGCCCAGCTTGGCCAGACGGGCGGCGATCTCCTTCTCAGTCCTCTCCCTCATCTGTTTCTTCTTCTCCTGGATCTTCTTCAGCCTGAGGAGGTGGAGTTAGTTAGAGGCCTCAACTTGGATAGAACCCGTTTCAGCATGGACACTGAGGGCTTCCACCATTTAAAAGGAGTCAACTAGGTGGGGATTCCGATTGGTTGGGAGAGATCAGCCAATGATCAGAGCATTGCCTTCTTTAAATAATGTGCTATGGTTTGTAATATGGCTTTAAACTACTATGTCACCGCCATCTAGTGGCTACAATAAATTACTACATTAGGTTCAGGACTCCAGCACTGCAGGTGGCAGTAAATCACCAGTATAGCTTGACACTTTTTTCAAACACAAAAGGAGAAAATTGACCACTTTAAAACGGAGATAGCCTCAATTGCGCTGCCCATACGGTCACAGATGCCAAAATGGCACAGATACAAAGATGAGACCTCTTTCCATCTCTATGGACACACCATAGAAACGGAATTAGAACCCTTTGTATCTCTATGAGATACAGACAGTGATACTCAGGTAAGATGGGGGTTGAGACAAGGATATGGAGTTGAGGATGAGGAGTTTGAGGGGCAAAAAAAATTGAAAGGGAGATGGACAGAGGTGAGGAGAGGGGGGGTCTGGAATTGTAACTTACCTGTAGAACTCCTCTCGTTCCCTCTCATCCAGCTCTGTGATGATGTAGCTGAGGGTACGCTCAATGCGGGGGATGATTACTGTGGACAGTTCAAATCACATTTCAATAATCTCGCTCTCTTCCTACAGCCATTATTGATACATGGTGCAGGCTTTGTTATTGTGCCAAAGCAGGGCGGACTCACCATGCTCGATGGCATTCACACGGCGGTTGGTGATCTTGATGGCTTGATCCAGTGTGACAAAGGAAGTCTGTCGATCAAACAGTGAGACCATGACACTTTGTTGTTTAGTCAGACAAACATTGCATGTTTTACCACAGTCTTGCAACAGACTCACTCCCTGGGGTGATGGTATTTAGGGCACGCAACAGAAAACGTTTTAAAAAGTTTTTTTTGCAATGGGAAAATGAAAATAAGCTTTTCTTATTGGCCAGGGCCTGGTAATCCCTTCCTGTTTCATTCCATTTTATTCCATCTGGCACCTAATGAACATTACCCAGAAGTAACGGTAACACCTTGGTGACAGAGAGCGCCCCCTACCTGTAAGGAGGCCAACTCCACTAGCAGCTCCACTGCTTTAGCATAGTTCCTCTTCAGCCTGGAGAGCTGCTCTCCTCCCCTGGCCAGACCAGTCAGCTCATAACCTAACAAGGAGAGGATGGAAGGAAGCAAATAACACAGTGAGCAGTGACACAAACACACGACATGTTCAATAGCAGGGCATAGATGAAGCTTCCTTTAACCTGTTAAAAAAAAGAGTAAAATAAATAGTAATTTGCCCATAAATGCAGCAATGCCAAAACTTGAGATGATATGATAATAAATTGCCATTTAGATGTTTTTACTCAAAAAGACTCACAGTCATGCGTTCATACAAGTGCCATGCTCTACCAACTGAGCAATACAGGACCAGATCAAATATGACTTACTGTCCCCTCCTTCTTGGTAGAGCTCAAACACAGGTAAAGTGACACCTGTGAGGGAGAGGAGAATCACACAGGTCAGACATTTAGGAGAGACATGCTGTTGTTCTAAAAAGAGAAAGAGAGATAATAATAATATGCCATTTAGCAGACACTTTTATCCAAAGCGACTTACAGTCATGTGTGCATACATTTTTACGTATGGGTGGTCCCGGGGATCGAACCCACTACCATGGCGTTACAAGCGCCATGCTGTACCAGCTGAGATCAGAGGTTCTAACCTGTGTGTGTGTGTTAGGGGTGTGAACGTTTAAACGAAATTGGGATCCTTAACATTAAGAAAAATCCCTAACCGAAAAACCGTTTTTAAATCACAGTACAGATATCACAAAATATTATTTTCTGTGTTATAGCCTAACTAGACGATAGGCTATAAAGGGCCTGGGCAAAGCTGTGTAATTTAAAGGTAGACTCAGCGATATGAAGTAGATGCAGAAAGAAAACAGCATAATGGGTCAATTTCCGCAAACAACTAAGAGCGTTGAAGTGCGAGGCTCAACTTCTCTGCTGTTTTGGTGCCCTGCCTACCATGCTGTGAACAGCCTGAAGCGCACCCATGCAGCACATTCACAGATACTGTGTGTGACTGTGGGAATGAAGTGTTGCATCAGACTCATCTCAATGTCCTAGCCTCTTCATTGATGATAGGCTCTGCCTTACTGAAGTTGTGAGACATTGCAAGTCAAGAAATTGTGAGATGCAGCATTCCATTGCGAGATACAGCTTTTTGATTGCCGATAGATAGGTCTGGTGCACGGTTAAGACTGTCTGCCTAGTGGCTGTCCTGCGTATAATAAGCCCCTCCCCTCTCTCTGTTCCTCCCTCGCTAGCTCGCTATGAAAGATGTGAGTGTTCTCGGAAGTACGGCAACTACTCAGTCTCCTCTGTTCCAAAAATACTGAATCTTAGGAGTGGATTCCTAGCGGCCAAACAGAAATCTTGACACTCAGAAATGGGAGTGAACGTGCAAGGAGTCAAGGAATCCATTCTTTTGGAGTCGACTCTCCTCCACTACGTTGTCAACAGATGGAAAAATGGCAGAGAAAGACAAGCGACAGCAGAGAAGTCCTGTATGACATTACTTTGAGAAGTTAAATGAGAAAGAAATGCAAACTTTGCGACGTGGAATTGAGATGCAGTAATGTAGTACAGGTGCAATGCTGAACCATCTGACTTTGAAAGGGCCGCACCGTGATACCCAAACCGCTGCTGTTTATTTTCTTTATCCATTTATCACATCCCTAGTGTGTGTGTGTGTGGTGGTGTGTGTGGCAAAGTCCAGAGCTGCTAACCTGCCACGTTGTCCTTCTTTGCACGAACCTTCACCTTGGCCTTGTTAACATTCTGGATGACAGTGGTGCTGTGGGAACATTAGGAGAATGTTATGAGAGAACATTGACTAAACATTAGCAAAACACTGACAAACGGCTAAATGAAGGCATCCAATGCACATCCTCTCACCTGAAGTCGCCAGCAGCGAATTTCGCCTCAGCTAAAGAGAAGGCCGCCTCCCTCATCACTTCCCCCATCAAGGTCTTCGTCTAGAGATCGGGAGAGGAAACAAGAGGACTCGAAGTCAATGTGTCATGCCCTGATGACATTAGGATCTGTTATACAAAAAAAAACATTTTACATTTTTACATTTTAGTCATTTTAGCAGATGCTCTTATCCAGAGCGACTTACAGTTAGTGAGTGCATACATTTTCATACTGGCCCCCCGTGGGAAACGAACCCACAACCCTGGCGTTGCAAGCGCCATGCTCTACCAACTGAGCTACAACTTACTTACAGTATATTACTAAACAAGGAATTAGACAATGTTTTAAACATAGAAATAGAACTACAAGAACAGATATTCCCATTCAAATCAATGGTCGGTGATGGGTGGGCCGGCAGCCATATTGAGTTTACCCTTGCCCTTGATCATGTCTCTCAGTTCCATTTCACATAAGAGTCATTGGACGAAGGCGTCTTCTGCACGGGAGAGTTTTGTTAAGAGCCTCGACGGTCGTTCTGAACATGAACGCGCATCGCTTGCGGTTAAATTGATACACACCTTTATAGGGTTAGTGGTTCCCACATGGCCATATCTCCATGTTACAGCACGTGTTTACAGAAGACAGAGGGACCACCTGTAATCATTAGCTATCTAGCTCCGAACACCTGTGCGTAATGGAAGAAGGCCGCCAGAAACGTGTTGTCACCTGAAAAATACTGTCAGCTGCAACTGTGTTAAAACCGTTAAATGTGTACAGTACATGCATATTTTGCATTTGTGAAATAATTTTGATGTGAAGGGCTTTATATTTCTAGAACTGTATCGCAATTGAGACCCAATTCACGTTTAGATGGAGTATTTGGCTGTCAGAGTCAGCGTACCTCTGAAAATAACATAAGGTCATCGAACCTTAAGGAGTAACGGCAGGCTCCTTAAGAGTACATCTTAACGTTACACATTAGAGCAACATCAAATGTCCGGTCCAAAGGTCTGACAGGCTTTTTCCCACTCAAAATATTTTTGTTTCTATAGTTTTAACCCCCCTTGAATTACCTCAATGATCTTGCGGAGGATCTGACGGAAGCGCATGGAGAGAGCATCAGCCTTCTTCTTCAGCAGGTTCCTGCCAGTCTGGGCCCCCTTCAGACGGGCCTTCATGATGGTCTGAGCCCTTCACAGGTGTCAGATAGAGGAAACATGAACATTCTGATTTGAATCATAGTAAGTAGGCCAAAGTAGTTTGACATGGGATAATCTGTGGAAAATATGTTTTGGGGAAAGTGCAGTAGTCCCATAGACTATATGTAAGGCACATAAAAAGCTCTCTGTGCGGTTTGGAAATGATGGCCAGTCATCACGACAGGGGGACATGTCCTATTTAGATGTTCATCATAAAAATGGCAAAGGATTACAATGATTGACAATGCAAAACTCCCCAAAATAACCAATACCTTTGCAAATTGATGCAAAAAAAATGCAAAGGTTTCGTTTTTCATAATTAATTAAAGGCCTCACAATTGGCTGCACTCAACTAGCTAGCTAACAACTAGTTAACAACTGGCTTAGATTATTGATCTGTCATTGTGCCCATTTAATTATTTGAATGCATGATTTCAAAATTGGGCTCTGCCTAACAACTAGCTAGACCAGGGATGGGCAACTTTGATATGAGTGGGGGCCACAAAATTCTGAACTCATCATGAGGGGTTATCTGAGTGAGACTGACTAACAAAATCAAATGGGGGCCCCTTGGACGGTAATTCGACCTACTAAACCATATACAGGAGATAGCCCTATTTGGTAAAAGACCAAGTCCATATTATGGCAAGAACAGCTCAAATAAGCAAAGAGAAACAACAGTCCATCATTACTTTAAGACATGAAGGTCAGTCAATACGGAACATTTCAAGAACTTTGAAAGTTTCTACAAGTGCAGTCGCAAAAACCATCAAGCGCTATGATGAAACTGGCTCTCATGAGGACCACCATAGGAATGGAAGACCCAGAGTTACCTCTGCTGCAGAGGATAAGTTCATTAGTTACCAGCCTCAGAAATTGCAGCCCAAATAAATGCTTCACAGAGTTCAAGTCACAGACACATCTCAACATCAACTGTTCAGAGGGGACTGTGTGAATCAGGCCTTCAAGTTCTTGAAATGTTCTGTATTGACCGACCTTCATGTCTTAAAGTAATGATGGACTGTCATTTCTCTTTGCTTATTTGAGCTGTTCTTGGCATAATATGGACTTGGTCTTTTACCAAATAGGGCTATCTTCTGTATACCCCACCTACCTTATCACAACACAACAGATTGTCTCAAACGCATTAACCTCTACGGGATTGGTGTCCCGTATACGGGACGGTTGAGCTAACGTGCGCTAATGTGATTAGCATGACTGCTGTAAGTAACAGTAAACTTTCCAGGACATAGACATGTCTTATATGGGCAGAAAGCTTAAATTCTTGTTAATCTAACTGCACTGTCCAATTTACAGTAGCTATTACAGTGAAGAAATACCATGCTCTTGTTTGAGGAGAGTGCACAACAACAAAAAACGTATCACGTCAACTGGTTTGATACATTCAACTCTGAAGGTAAATAACGTCCTTATATTCAATAATCTTGCTCTGATTTGTCATCCTGAGGGTCTCAGAGTTAAAATGTAGCATAGTTTTGTTTGATAAAATAAAATGTTTATATTCAAATGTAGGAACTGGGTTCTACAGTTTGAACCACTGTTGTCTCTGGCTCCACACCCACCCCGCCCGCCATCTAGATGTGTGAAAGTTAGTGTATAAGCTAATGATCCATCATGTACGACATTCCTGGGAGTGTGTAAACTTACATTCTGTATTACCATATCATTTTTGTATGTTCTCTATAGTTATGTACATGAAAATGTATCAGTTGACCAATTCGGCACATTTGGGCAGACTTGATACAAAATAGTCCAGTATTGCAATGCTTGAATGGATCAATCTGAAACTTTGCACACACTGCTGCCATCTAGTGGCCAAAATCGAAATTGCACCTAAACTGCAAAATTATATTGTGGCCTTTCTCTTGCATTTCAAAGATGATGAAATAAATAAATAATACTATTTTTTTGGTTTGTATTATCTATTACCAGATCTAATGTGTTATACTCTCCTACATTAATTTCACATTTCCACAAACTTCAAAGTGTTTCCTTTTAAATGGTATCAAGAATATGCATATCTTTGCTTCAGGTCCTGAGCTACAGGCAGTTAGATTTGGGTGTCATTTTAGGCGACAATTGAAAAAAAGGATCCGATACTTAAGTAAAGAAATTCCACAAATTAACTTTTAAGAAGGCAAACCTGTTAATTGAAATGCATTCCAGGTGACTACCTCATGAAGCTGGTTGAGAGAATGCCAAGAGTGTGCAAAGATGTCATCAACGCAAAAGGTGGCTATTTGAAGAATCTCAAATATAAAATATATATTGATATGTTTAACACTTTTTTGGTTACTACATGATTCCATATGTGTTATTTCATAGTTTTGATGTCTTCACTATTATTCTACAATGTAGTGTATGTATGTATGTATGTATGTATGTATGTATGTATGTATGTATGTATGTATGTATGTATGTATGTATGTATGTATGTATGTATGTATGTATGTACAGTGGGGAGAACAAGTATTTGATACACTGCCGATTTTGCAGCTTTTCCTACTTACAAAGCATGTAGAGGTCTGTAATTTTTATCATAGCTACACTTCAACTGTGAGAGACGGAATCTAAAATAAAAATCCAGAAAATCACATTGTATGATTTTTAAGTAATTAATTTGCATTTTATTGCATGACATAAGTATTTGATCACCTACCAACCAGTAAGAATTCCGGCTCTCACAGACCTGTTAGTTTTTCTTTAAGAAGCCCTCCTGTTCTCCACTCATTACCTGTATTAACTGCACCTGTTTGAACTCGTTACCTGTATAAAAGACACCTGTCCACACACTCAATCAAACAGACTCCAACCTCTCCACAATGGCCAAGACCAGAGAGCTGTGTAAGGACATCAGGGATAAAATTGTAGACCTGCACAAGGCTGGGATGGGCTACAGGACAATAGGCAAGCAGCTTGGTGAGAAGGCAACAACTGTTGGTGCAATTATTAGAAAATGGAAGAAGTTCAAGATGACGGTGAATCACCCTCGGTCTGGGGCTCCATGCAAGATCTCACCTCGTGGGGCATCAATGATCATGAGGAAGGTGAGGGATCAGCCCAGAACTGCACGGCAGGACCTGGTCAATGACCTGAAGAGAGCTGGGACCACAGTCTCAAAGAAAACCATTAGTAACACACTACGCCGTCATGGATTAAAATCCTGCAGCGCACGCAAGGTCCCCCTGCTCAAGCCAGCGCATGTCCAGGCCCATCTGAAGTTTGCCAATGACCATCTGGATGATCCAGAGGAGGAATGGGAGAAGGTCATGTGGTCTGATGAGACAAAAATAGAGCTTTTTGGTCTAAACTCCACTCGCCGAGTTTGGAGGAAGAAGAAGGATGAGTACAACCCCAAGAACACCATCCCAATCGTAAAGCATGGAGGTGTAAACATCATTCTTTGGGGATGCTTTTCTGCAAAGGGGACAGGATGACTGCACCGTATTGAGGGGAGGATGGATGGGGCCATGTATCGCGAGATCTTGGCCAACAACCTCCTTTCCTCAGTAAGAGTATTGAAGATGGGTCGTGGCTGGGTCTTCCAGCATGACAACGACCCGAAACACACAGCCAGGGCAACTAAGGAGTGGCTCCGTAAGAAGCATCTCAAGGTCCTGGAGTGGCCTAGCCAGTCTCCAGACCTGAACCTAATAGAAAATCTTTGGAGGGAGCTGAAAGTCCGTATTGCCCAGCGACAGCCCGAAACCTGAAGGATCTGGAGAAGGTCTGTATGGAGGAGTGGGCCAAAATCCCTGCTGCAGTGTGTGCAAACCTGGTCAAGACCTACAGGAAACGTATGATCTCTGTAATTGCAAACAAAGGTATCTGTACCAAATATTAAGTTCTGCTTTTCTGATGTATCAAATACTTATGTCATGCAATAAAATGCAAATTAATTACTTAAAAATCATACAATGTGATTTTCTGGATTTTTGTTTTAGATTCCGTCTCTCACAGTTGAAGTGTACTTATGATAAAAATTACAGACCTCTACATGCTTTGTAAGTAGGAAAACCTGCAAAATCGGCAGTGTATCAAATACTTGTTCTCCCCACTGTATGTATGTATATATACACATACATACACAGTTGAGGTCGGAAGTTTACATACACCTTAGCCAAATACATTTCAACTCAGTTTTTTTCACAATTCCTGAAATGTTATAGTAAAATATTCCCTGTTTTAGGTCAGTTAGGATCACCACTTTATTTTAAGAATGTGAAATGTCAGAATAATAGTAGAGTGATTTATTTCAGCTTTTATTTCTTTCATCACATTCCCAGTGGGTCAGAAGTTTACATACACTCAATTAGTATTTGGTAGCATTGCCTTTAAATTGTTTAACTTGGGTCAAACATTTCGGGTAGCCTTCCACAAGCTTCCCACAATAAGTTGGGTGAATTTTGGCCCATTCCTCCTGACAGAGCTGGTGTAACTGAGTCAGGTTTGTAGGCCTCCTTGCTCGCACACTCTTTTTCAGTTCTGCCCACACATTTTCTATAGGATTGAGGTCAGGGCTTTGTGATGGCCACTCCAATACATTGACTTTGTTGTCCTTAAGCCATTTTGCCACAACTTTGGAAGTCTGTTATCATTGTCCATTTGGAAGACCATTTGCGACCAAGCTTTAACTTCCTGACTGATGTCTTGAGATGTTGCTTCAATATATCCACATTATTTTCCTTCCTCATGATGCCATCTATTTTGTGAAGTGCACCAGTCCCTCCTGCAGCAAAGCACCCTCACAGCATGATGCTGCCACCCCCATGCTTCACGGTTGGGATGGTGTTCTTCAGCTTGCAAGCATCAACCTTTTTCCTCCAAACATAACGATGGTCATTATGGCCAAACAGTTCTATTTTTGTTTCATCAGACCAGAGGACATTTCTCCAAAAAGTACGGTCTTTGTCCCAATGTGCAGTTGCAAACCGTAGTCTGGCTTTTTTATGGCGGTTTTGGAGCAGTGGCTTCTTCCTTGCTGAGTGGCCTTTCAGGTTATGTTGATATAGGACTTGTTTTACTATGGATATAGATACTTTTGTCCCGGTTTCCTCCAGCATCTTCACAAGGTCCTTTGCTGTTGTTCTGGGATTGATTTGCACTTTTCGCACCAAACTACGTTCATCTCTAGGAGACAGAATGCGTCTCCTTCCTGAGCGGTATGACGGCTGTGTGGTCCCATGGTGTTAATACTTACGTACTATTGTTTGTACAGATGAACGTAGTACCTTCAGGCGTTTGTAAATTGCTCCCAAGGATGAACCAGACTTGTGGAGGTCCTCCATTTTTTTTCTGAGGTCTTGGCTGATTTATTTTGATTTTCTCATGATGTCAAGCAAAGAGGCACTGAGTTCGTCCACAGGTACACCTCCAATTGACTCAAATGATGTCAATTAGCCTATCAGAAGCTTCTAAAGCCATGACATCATTTTCTGGAATTTTCCAAGCTGTTTAAAGGCACAGTCAACTTAGTGTATGTAAACTTCTGACCCACTGGAATTGTGATACAGTGAATTATAAGTGAAATAATCTGTCTGTAAACAATTGTTGGAAAAATTACTTGTGTCATGCACAAAGTAGATGTCCTAACCGACTTGCCAAAACTATAGTTTGTTAAGAAATTTGTGGAGTGGTTGAAAAACGAGTTTTAATGACTCCAACCTAAGTGTATGTAAACTTCCGACTTCAACTGTATGTGATATATATACACACACACACACACACACACACACAGTGGGGGAAAAAAAGTATTTAGTCAGCCACCAATTGTGCAAGTTCTCCCACTTAAAAAGATGAGAGAGACCTGTAATTTTCATCATAGGTACACGTCAACTATGACAGACAAATTGAGAAAAAAAAAAAAAAAAAAATCAAGAAAATCACATTGTAGGATTTTTTATGAATTTATTTGCAAATTATGGTGGAAAATAGGTATTTGGTCACCTACAAACAAGCAAGATTTCTGGCTCTCACAGACCTGTAACTTCTTCTTTAAGAGGCTCCTCTGTCCTCCACTCGTTACCTGTATTAATGGCACCTGTTTGAACTTATCATCAGTATAAAAGACACCTGTCCACAACCTCAAACAGTCACACTCCAAACTCCACTATGGCCAAGACCAAAGAGCTGTCAAAGGACACCAGAAACAAAATTGTAGACCTGTACCAGGCTGGGAAGACTGAATCTGCAATAGGTAAGCAGCTTGGTTTGAAGAAATCAACTGTGGGAGCAATTATTAGGAAATGGAAGACATACAAGACCACTGATAATCTCCCTCGATCTGGGGCTCCACGCAAGATCTCACCCCGTGGGGTCAAAATGATCACAAGAACGGTGAGCAAAAATCCCAGAACCACACGGGGGGACCTAGTGAATGACCTGCAGAGAGCTGGGACCAAAGTAACAAAGCCTACCATCAGTAACACACTACGCCGCCAGGGACTCAAAGCCAGACGTGTCCCCCTACTTAAGCCAGTACAGGTCCAGGCCCGTCTGAAGTTTGCTAGAGTGCATTTGGATGATCCAGAAGAGGATTGGGAGAATGTCATATGGTCAGATGAAACCAAAATAGAACTTTTAGGTAAAAACTCAACTCGTCGTGTTTGGAGGACAAAGAATGCTGAGTTGCATCCAAAGAACACCATACCTACTGTGAAGCATGGAGGTGGAAACATCATGCTTTGGGGCTGTTTTTCTGCAAAGGGACCAGGACAACTGATCCGTGTAAAGGAAAGAATGAATGGGGCCATGTATCGTGAGATTTTGAGTGAAAACCTCCTTCCATCAGCAAGGGCATTGAAGATGAAACGTGGCTGGGTCTTTCAGTATGACAATGATCCCAAACACACCGCCCGGGCAATGAAGGACTGGCTTCGTAAGAAGCATTTCAAGGTCCTGGAGTGGCCTAGCCAGTCTCCAGATCTCAACCCCATAGAAAATCTTTGGAGGGAGTTGAAAGTCCGTGTTGCCCAGCGACAGCCCCAAAACATCACTGCTCTAGAGGAGATCTGCATGGAGGAATGGGCCAAAATACCAGCAACAGTGTGTGAAAACCTTGTGAAGACTTACAGAAAATGTTTGACCTGTGTCATTGCCAACAATGGGTATATAACAAAGTATTGAGAAACTTTTGTTATTGACCAAATACTTATTTTCCACCATAATTTGCAAATAAATTCATTAAAAATCCTACAATGTGATTTTCTGGATTTTTTTTTCTCATTTTGTCTGTCATAGTTGATGTGTACCTATGATGAAAATTACAGGCCTCTCTCATATTTTTAAGTGGGAGAACTTGCACAATTGGTGGCTGACTAAGTACTTTTTTCCCCCACTGTCCTTATTTCCCTCATTAAAATGCAAATCAATTCATAACATTTTTGACATGCATTTTTCTGGATTTCTTTGTTGTTATTCTGTCTCTCACTGTTCAAATAAACCTACCATTAAAATTATAGACTGATCATTTCTTTGTCAGTGGGCAAACGTACAAAATCAGCAGGGGATCAAATACTTTTTTCCCCTCATGTGTGTGTGTATATATATATATATATATATATATACACACATACATACATACACACGTGTATATATACACACTACATTACCAAAAGTATGTGGACACCTGCTTGTCGAACATCTCATTCCAAAATCATGGGCATTAATGTAGAGTTGGTCCCCCCTTTGCTGCTATAACAGCCTCCACTCTTCTGGGAAGGCTTTCCATTAGGTGTTGTAACATTGCTGCGGGGACTTGCTTTCATTCAGCCACAAGAGCACTAGTGAGTTCGGGCATTGGCAGCGGGGAGCTTTATACCACTCCAGCCGATGTTTGCCATTGCGCATGGTGATCTTAGGCTTGTGTGCGGCTGCTCGGCCATGTTAACCCATTTCATGAAGCTCCCAATGAACAGTTATTGTGCTGACGTTGCTTCCAGAGGCAGTTTGGAACTCGGTAGTGAGTGTTGGAGCTGAGGAAAAACGATTTTTACGCGCTAACACAATTACTTCAAACTGAAGCTGGAAAGACTGCAAATTAGCTGCGTTTCGTTGTACCTTTTTTCATGGACATTTTTTTTGTATTTATCCATAAAATTGATGGCAGCTTATTCATTATTTCGACCGGCTGAGAAACGCTGCCTGCCTGTGTCTCGTCCCAACTCATTCAATACTATGGGACAGCAGATACAATTTGAATATTGAAACAATGTTGCAACAATGTTGAAAACTAAATGTTAGTCTAAAAGAAATGTGAGATAATGTTTACATGCTTTTTATAGTGGAGATCAAGTTTATAAAGTACCTGGCAGGGCTGATGAGACAGTGGATTGCACAGTCAGATGGAACAGAGTAAATAGGCATTTTAATGTCATAGATTTTGCTGGCGGTAACTTGTGGAATAGACACCGGCTGGAATGCAGTTTTAAGCAATCACCATTCAGGATTAGACCCACCCCTTGTATAATTCACAATAACAACACTTACAGTTGACCGGGGCAGCTCTAGCAGGGAAGAAATGTGACTTGTTGGACAGGTGGCATCGTATGACAGTGCCACGTTGAAAGTCACTGAGCTATTCAGTAAGGCCATTCTACTGTCAATGTTTGTCTATGGAGATTGCATGTCTGTGTGCTCGATTTTATACACCTGTCAGCAACAGGTGTGGCTGAAATTGCCGAATCCACTAATTTGAAGGGGTGTCCACATACTTTCGTATATATAGTGTTTTTTTTGTTGATCCGGGAGCCTTCAAAAGTGGGGTGGCCCGTGGGCCGCCAGTTGCCCATCCCTGAGCTAGAAGGCCATGTAGATTCATATCAAATTGGGGAGCATAAACTCGCAAACCTAGCTAGACAGCAAGGACTAGTTAGAAATGTCAATCTATGCTCAAACATGCTAACTAGCTAAGCTAGCTAGCTACTTACATTCTAGAGGGGAATACGTCGATCCTCTCTTTTCCTGACATCTTGTTCAGCTGCAAACAGTCTTCTGTACTTCAATTCCGTCTGGATGACGAGACGGCTAACATATATTTCTAATAATAAGATAAGTTATTGCACAATTTGTATTACACCTTGAGGATGACAGATTTGTAACCGATGTCGTGATCTTATTCTAGTGCGAAAAGACATCAGCTGGTTAGTAGTCATGTGACTGTGTTGTTACCTGCCATTGCGCTTGCGCATGTCAACCCAGGCGCTTTCTCTTCCGGGTGGAAAAATGAGCGTACCGATTAATTTGAAGTTGTAGCAATCGGGCACAATTCGCAGGCTACGTTATTGAAGAAAACAATGTAATACAGGACATTCCACCGCATTGTTCTGTAACAATACGATACAGGTGAGACGTCTACTCGAGTCACCGCGAACAAATCAGCTTTTTGCCGGGATTGTGAAGAGTTAATTGGCAAGTTAGGCGCATGTGCGAGTTAATGTAATAATGTTAATAGGTTAGCTGGGTGGCACTTTTGTGTGGTCAATGTTGACGTCTAGAGATTTGAACAAATTGAAGGGGAGGAGTTTTTTGGACATGGAGGTATGGTCAGGTAACGCTAGATTGAAATATCAGAACAAAATGTCATCTCACAGTCATGGAACTATCCTTGTAGCGTACTAAACTCCACGGTGAAGGAAGTTTATTATGAACTTGTGGAATGTAGCTCCGACGACATTGATTCGTCCAAAGTCAATTTTATTAAACCTTTTTTTAAATCAGGGAGGCATATTGAGACCAATGTCTCTTTTACAGAGGAGCCCTGCATTACATCATTTACAGAAAATACACACAATATAAATATACTTAACAAAAATATAACGGATGAATCCCAGTTTCATGAGCAGAAATAAAATATCCCAGAAATGTTCCATATGCACAAAAAGCTTATTTCAAATGTTGTACACAAATGTGTTTACATCCCTGTTAGTGAGCATTTCTCCTTTGCCAAGATAATCCATCCACCTGACAGGTGTGGCATATTAAGAAGCTGACTAAACAGCATGATCATTACACAGGTGCACCTTGTGCTGGGGACAATAAAAGGCCACTCTAAAATGTGCAGTTTTGTCACATATCCCAATGCCACAGATGTCTCAAGTTTGAGGGAGCGTGCAATTGGACTGCAGGAATGGCCACCAGAGCTGTTGAATATTCATTTCTCTACCATAAGCCACCTCCAACGTCGTTTTAGAGAATTTGGCAGTACATCCAACCGGCCTCACAACTGCAGACCACGTGTAACCACTCCAGCCCAGGACCTCAACATCCGGCTTCTTCACCTGCGGGATCGTCTGAGACCAGCCACCCGGACAGCTGATAAAACTGTGGGTTTGCACAACCGAATAATTTCTGCACAAATTGTCAGAAACCGTCTCAGGGAAGTTCATCTGCGTGCTCGTCGTCCTCACCAGGATCTTGACCTGACTGCAGTTCGGCGTCGTAACCGAATTCATAGGGCAAATGCTCACATTCGATGGCCACTGGCACGCTGGAGAAGTGTGCTCTTTACGGATGAATCCCAGTTTCAGCATGTATGGCGTCGTGTGGGCGAGCGGTTTGCAGATGTCAACGTTGTGAACATGCCCCATGGTGGAGGTGGGGTTATGGTATGGGTAGATATAAGCTACGGACAATGAACACAATTGCATTTTATCAATGGCAATTTGAATGCACAGAGATGGCGTGACGAGATCCTGAGGCCCATTGTCGTGCCATTCATCCACCGCCATCACCTCATGTTTCAGCATGATGATTATGCACAGCCCCTTGTCGCAAGGATCAGGAACTGAAAATGTCCCAGTTCTTCCATGGCCTGCATACTCAGACATGTGATCTATTGAGCATGTTTGGGATGCTCTGGATTGATGTGTACGAGGTGTTCCAGTTCCCACCAATATCCAGCAACTTCGCACAGCCATTGAGGAGTGGGACAACATTCCACAGGCCACAATCAACAGCCTGATCAACTCTATGCGAAGGAGATGTCACACCAGATACTGACTGGTTTTCTGATCCACACCCCTACCTAATTTTGGTTGAGTGAATGCCAAGAGTGGGCAAAGCTTTCACCAAGGCAAAGGGTGTATACTTTTAAGAATCTTAAATATAAAATATATTTTGATTTGTTTAACACTTTTTGGTTACTACATGATTCCATGTGTGTTATTTCATAGTTTTGATGTCTTCACTATTATTCTACAATGTAGAAAATAGTAAAAATAAAGAAAAACCCTTGAATTAGTAGGTGTGTCCAAACTTTTGACTGGGACTGTACTTCCAAGACTAAAGATCAGACTGATGAGACATTTTTACACTTTTACTGTAACCAATAATTATTGTAATTATAATTTATAAATAATGAGAATGTAGCTATTCCATGTATTGTCCTATCTGATGTGACTGTCCAACCAAATGTACATCCCATTGACCTTTTATTCAGTTGCGCTCTACTAGAGTTTCATCAAAGCCAGTTTAAAACCCATTGTAAGTCAATGGAATAGCATATCTCAACATTTAAAATGTCTCTGGTTTCATTATATTGACCTCTATGCTATTGTTTCCCTCCCAGCAATGCCGAACCTTAGCTGTAGGTTCTACCAGCATCGGTTCCCTGAGGTGGAGGATGTTGTGATGGTGAACGTGCGCTCCATCGCCGAGATGGGCGCCTACGTCAGCCTGCTGGAGTACAACAACATTGAGGGCATGATCCTGCTGAGCGAGTTGTCGCGCCGACGTATCCGCTCCATCAACAAGCTCATTAGGATCGGTCGCAATGAGTGTGTGGTGGTCATCCGAGTGGACAAAGAGAAGGGTGAGGTGGGGTTTGAGTGGGTCTGGTCGGTGAAATAAAGATTGTGTGTTTTAGCCGAGTTTGATTGTGTCCAGTGAAAGGAAGACCACCTGTGTGTGTGTGTGTGTGTGTGTGTACACATCTTGTGTTAATTTCGGTAAGTCAAAAACATATTCTCTGATATTTGTCGATCGTCAACTCTCCGCAGGGTACATTGATTTATCAAAGAGAAGAGTTTCGCCAGAGGAGGCTATCAAATGTGAAGACAAATTCACCAAATCTAAAACCGTAAGTCAGGTTCACCGTCAGCACTCTGCCACATGCCGGAGGATGCTGTAATGTACAACTCTATTTATCATTCCGTTCCACCGATGTCATAAACTCTCACGATTGTGTAGCCTGGTCCCAGATCAGTTTGTGCAGTATAGCCTACTCCTGGTTAGGATAACAATGACCATAGGAGTCGGCAAGATGGCACAAACAGGGCCCCTATTCATAGCGTCTCAGAGTAGGAATGCTGATATAGGATCAGTTTAGCCTTTTAAATCATAATGAATGGACAGGGGGCACCTGTTCCTAGATCGGCACTCCTACTCTGAGTCGCTTTATGAAATCGGGCCTAGATCTGGGACCAGGCTAACATTTTGTGAGTTTTAACCACTTGACCAGAGGTGACATGGAGTGTAAATGTTTTATGGCGTGGCAGGTGTACAGTATTCTTCGGCATGTGGCTGACGTGCTGGAGTACACTAAGGACCAGCAGCTGGAGAGTCTGTTCACACGCACGGCCTGGGTGTTTGACGAGAAGTACAAGCGTCCGGGGTTCGGCGCCTACGACATCTTCAAACAGGCTGTATCGGGACTCTTCCTATAACCTTTTCACATGACTGAGCCAAACCAAGCTGTACTAGGCTGGTCTGGTTACACATCCACCATAGTAGCTGGAGCCGTGCTAGGAAGGACAACGTGGACAGAGAATATGGTAGCCAGCAGAGTATGGCTTTGGATCAGCCCTGGAGTGGGAATCAGACAATGAGGTTTATAATGAGACTAAGAACTGTCATTCTTAGGGTGCGTTCGTAAATTCACTTTGGCCCTCTATTTCCGATTTCAGAACACTCTCGTCTGAGTGTGCCAGAGCGCAGAATAACTGATGAATTTACTAACACTCAACACCCGTTGAATATGTCCGGTGTTGGCAAAAAGGCGTAATTAAATTGTTGCCAACAGTCAATCACCAACGCTCTGGATAACATAAAGACAGCCTAACCAGCTCTGCAAGGACGAGTAAAATGGTCAGTGAGCTGTTCTCTCATTTGTGTCTGGAAGTAGCTAGCCATCTCCTCATATCATCTAGTCAGATATACATGCCCAAAGTGTTTTATATTTCCCAGAGACCCTGCCATTCTGGATGGGCTGGACCTGACAGAGGAGGAGAGGGCCGTGCTCATAGACAACATCAACAGGCGACTCACTCCACAGGCGGTCAAAATCAGAGCAGGTCAGAGACTACCGCACAATCAACATTAAGATACACTACACACACGTTACAGAGGATCAGAGGGGGAAGGCCTGTACATGGCATGGATCCTTTTTTTAAGTAAAGGAGGCCTGTACATGGTAGGATCCTGTTTTTAAGTGAAGATGAAGGCCTGTACATGGCATGGAACATGTTTTTTAAGGAAAGGAGGCCTGTACATGGCATGGATCCTTTTTCTAAGTAAAGAAGGAGGCCTGTACATTGCAGAGATAATACTTAAGTGAACTATAAAAATATTCACAGAGGTAAAAGCAGATAAGCATATTTAGGTTGCAGGAGGACGCATACTGCAACGTGTTTCAACCAAACAGGGCTTCTTCAGGCAGCGCTCATTCCCTACCTGAGGAAGCCCTGTTGGGTCTGTATTTCCATATTTGATGTGTGTAGTTAAATGTTTAAAATAACATTTACTACACAAATATGGAAGTTGGAGTGATGTGCTACACGATTTACATTGATTTGTTCTCCAGAGTGGCATGTTGAACTCGTCTGAAGTGTTGAATTGGAAACATGGAGGCTTGACGCTGTATTTATTTTAATACATTTGAACCATCATTCTTGCAGACATTGAGGTGGCATGCTATGGGTATGAGGGCATCAACGCAGTGAAAGATGCCCTGAGGGCGGGGCTTAGCTGCTCGACAGAAGCCATGCCCATTAAGGTAGTTTGCATCAAGGAGCTCTCATAACCTATTAGGCATGGCTGCGCCCGTGTCAATCCCATAGAAGTATAATCTATTCCATTCGCCATTCTATTTCTATGGTCGACCCCAACTTTCTTGACGGTGTTCATTGACCGCTCAAGTGCTTTCTCCTTCTAGATTAATCTGATAGCGCCGCCACGCTACGTGATGACCACGACCACTCTGGAGCGCACCGAGGGCCTGTCGGTCCTCAACCAGGCCATGGCGGCCATCAAGGAGAGGATCGAGAGGAAGAGGGGCGTCTTTAACATCCAGATGGAGGTGAGACTGAGGATACCGTTACAGTAGATGGTTGGCTGGGAAAACGATGGAGAGATGGGTGATCTGTTTGCCAGTAGTGCGAGGGAATGCCATAGTACATGTGAAAGAGTGGCGGAAGGTGGTTTCTCTCTCTGAGGCCACTTCACATGAGGTGAATGTGTCATGTCCAACTATGTAAATAAAATACACTGAACTTTTGTACCATCTTTTCTAACTAGCACCGATTTTGCAGTTAGCGGCTATTTTAAGGTTTTTACCTGCAATTACAGATGGTTGTTTTACCGACCTTAAACACTGAATATAAGTGGCTCTGGATAAGAGCATCTGCTAAATATGGTATAATGTTCATTATTCCCACCTCAAGCGAAGGTGGTGACGGACACCGACGAGACAGAGCTGGCCCGTCAGCTGGAAAGGCTAGAGCGGGAAAACGCTGAGGTGGATGGAGATGACGAGGACGGAGAGATAGAGGCTAAAGCAGAGGACTAGTCCGTCAGCCCTGAAAGAAGGGATGTTGGGAAGAAAACAGAGCAGGCTGGACAGACCTGCCATGGTCACACTGTCCAAAAGATGTGTAACTCTCATATTACAAAAATAGGTATTCAATGGCAAATGTCCCTAACTGTCAATTTAGAGGGGTTTCTCGGAAGATGGAAACATGTATCACTAACCACTCGAGTCTAGAAATGGACAGAAGGAAATGTTTAAACGCAAACGATAAGCCAAACTACACCAGTAAGTAACCATTTTACAGTGTTGATACTGTAATCAATTATACCCATATATGCAGCAAACTGTTTACAAGCATTGGCCGTTTACTTTCTTCTTGCTGAAGAGCCCCAGTGTCTTCAGTATCCATGGCGATGTGTGTAGAGGGAAGAGGTATAGGCTGTTGTGTGTCGGTTTGGGTGACACGTGCTCTTCCAGTACTATGGACTTTGCTCGTGTAGCTCACATGACATCAATAAAGTTCTGGAAGTTTTGAGCAATGATTTTATTGTTGGTAACTATGTGGAGTTTGGTATCAATTGCTAGCCTGGGTACCAGTCTGTTTAGCGAACATTCCACTCCTTTTATTCCCTGTCATTTGTTTAGCATGAGAAGGAGTGGGATGATAACTGAACAGACTGGTACCCAGATTGTGTATTGTGTAGAATAGGGAATCACATTCACATTATATTGCATCAAATTGAACAAGCCCCTAGATTACTTTGACGGCAATCTTAAAGTGCTTCTACCATGTCTCCATTGCACACAGTGGTTCGTTATACTGTTGGGATCTATTTTCTTATAATTAGATGTGATGCCTAGCTTAAAAATAATACATTAATGATTAAACATAATAGGTTTGTGCTGTACTGATATAGATTGTTTAACATAACAAGCTGTGATTAATGTGAGGAACCGTTAGGGGGTAGGCTGAGATAGACTTGTGACACAGACACACACACACTGCCTCTTTGTTAAACCGCTCAAGGACATGTGTACTGCAACAATGAAGAAGAGGAAACTATGTCTGAGGGTTGCTGACTCTCGAGACAAGTTGCAAAAAACAACTAATGCCCGGCAACAGTGAAGCACCAAGGGTCTGGGACCAGCCTGTGCGCCAACGATAGGCTGAGTAAGTTTAAACCACGCTCAGCCTCTACTCTGACAGGCCCGCTTTGAACAGGAACTATCTCTGTCAGAGTATTAAAATAATAACTTTGGGTTGGGACAGTTAGTTCTCTGTTTTGCCCTGCGAGGTGTTACAGTGAACCCGTATAGACGAAAATTGCATTTACCATTTATTCGCTTGACTAATTATATTAATAAAAAAGCTGAGAATATATTCAGTGACTTAGTGTTAAATTCTGTTCTGATACCAGATTCGAATTACGCAACTTAACAATACTACACTGCCAATACTGGTAAAATAAATTGAGGCTTCCTTACCAATGACTTACTCTATTGGTGTATGCACTTGGCACCATCAAGACCTTTCTCTATTGACAAAACCAAGTACACAGAACTATACAAAAATTCTTTATTCAAAACAAATTTCCACTGGTACAAAAAAACAATGGCGACAATGTTTTCACAAATCACTATCCTTTCAGCTGGTCTTCCAAATGAACCTTTCCTATACAGTGTTCTGTCAGGTGGTGGTTCTTATTCCTGTGTGTTACAGTATGAAGAGGGAGACCAACCAATCACCAAGTCAGAAAGTAAGACCTAACGTTCAGTAGCTGGCCTATTTTCCTCCTTAAATAGCATTTTTAGAAAGTGTTATTTGTAATACAAAAACAAACCTACTCCACTTAAACAGAAGTTTCAGCAGATGCCAATGACTAATCATTTGAGCTGTTATTGAAGTTGGATGTTTCTAAATATCACAAAATTAATAGAGAAATGGAGACCAGTGAGATACCTTTCAGTGAACGTCCTTCCACGGCTTGGTAGCCATGTTATCTACTTCAACCGTTAGCCCCTTATCTGCCAGCTCCATCCCAACCCTCGGGACAGCCAACTCAAGCCAAGAGACTATAGTAAAGCCCATTGTCAAAGTGGTTGCTTGCATGCATCTTCAATAAGCACTTGTTCAAAGTCATTCAAGCACACACGTAAGGCTATACAGTCAGCAGCTGCAGTAAAGAGACATGACATGTACCAGAGTCTATTGGAATAATGGGAAAACGGGAGCTCAATACTGTCTGTAGGAGAAAGCCGTTGTTGGGGTATTAGGATGAGCCCATTCTTTGATTTTAGGCTGCTCGAAATGGAGAAGTTGTCTTTTTTGGTGACTGTTAACGCTAAAGTCGGATTACTCTATTAGAAAAAGTTGGTTCAGTGCTTTCTTGGGTTACTTATTTCACCAGCCCAATCTTCTTGGCTTCCGTTTCATAGATCAGCAACCTCCACATCTTGACGATGAAGACCTCTGCTTCTTCATCCAGAACCTTGGTGTAAAGAAACAGCATTTCAATTGGATCAATTACTTTTTTAAACTTTTGCTTAAAATCAGACCACCAAACCGGTTCCACAAGGCTCTGTTTTAGGGCATCGATCTAAACTTGATGATCAGCGTATCAAAAATGATCAAATGGAGACCATTTTGAGAATGTTTGCGATACTCACCATGGCAACATCATCCAAGATACCCTGTGGTGTACCATGAGCCATCACCTGGGGATAAGAGGTCAAAATGAATGAATCAGAATGAACTCCTATACCAAGAACTCCCACTTCCCCCAGTAGATTGCATCACAATCAAGCTTACACACCTTTGAGCAGACAAAATCCACTAGCGTAGCCTCTTCTTCTCCAATGTACTCAATTATCTTTTTATTGATCCAGGGGCGTATGCGTCGATCCATCAGAGTCTGGGAAGGACAGACATACAGTTCTTTAGTCACTGCACCAGAGACTATCAGTATTGTAGGGAAACAACACATTATTAAAATATTTATGGTTTGTCAAAGTAGAAAAAAAGGCTATATCAGCAATTCCCTTGGACTTCAGCTTCTAGTCGTTGGATTATCTAACCAACCAGTGTTCAGTCTGCCATCTCTGGTCTCCCCACCTCTCTGCCATATCTCCTCTCTGGTTTCTCCACCACTCTGCCATATCTCCTCTCTGGTTTCCCCACCACTCTGCCATATCTCCTCTCTGGTTTCCCCACCACTCTAGCCTGGTTTCCCCACCACTCTAGCCTGGTTTCCCATCTATTTATGCTCTCTTGCCAACACATTATGGAATCAGTTGGCAAGAGAGCAGAAAGACTGGAAACCAGGGTACCGCCACATCCTATCCCTCGTCCCAATCTCTTTGATCTTTACCGAGTCCACGGCGGACCAGTCCAGCGGGTAAGAGAACAACTCCGTCTTGCCCGTGGGGATCTTCTCGATCAGGCTCTTGATGTGCTTGCGCTTCTCCTCAGTGTTGGCGCCCTTGATGGCCGCCAGTCCCGAGGCACCGTCTACCACGCTCTGGAGGATTTTGTCATCGTCGCCGTAGTCCAGCGGCACCAGCTTGCGCTTGCGGGGCGCCTCGTCCGCCTCTTCGTCGTCGAATTTGTTGAAGACGCTGTCCACAGTGAGCTTCTTGCGTTTGATGGCCACATTGGGCTGGCTGGGGCTGGTAACGTTAGGGGCTCCTGTAGAGAGATATTAAGAGAAGAAAGGCTTAAAGGTCCAATGTAGCCGTTTTTATCTCATTATCATATCATTTCTGGGTACCTTACTGTGATTGTTTTAAATGGTAAAAAATAAACATAAATAGCTTTTTAGCAAAGAGCAATTTCTCAAGCAAGAATTTAGCTAGGACTGTTGGAGTGGGGAAGGGAAAATGTAAAACTAGCCATTATTGGCAGAGTTTTGGAACTCTTTCTTATTGGTCTATTAACTAATTTACCACCTGGTGATGTCAGCAGGCAGGCCCAAAACTAAATCTCACCAAAGCAGGCTGAAATTTCAGGCGGTCTTTTCAAAAAGCTCTGACACTAAAAGGGAATGATCATTTTCACAATTTCACAGTATTATTCCAACCTCAGTGTGGAAATGTATGTAAAACACAGGAAAACACGTTTAACTGCACTGGGCCTTTACAGTTTAACTGAAATATGATAGTTACATTTAGTTGATTTAGACAGCAATAGTAATGGCGTCTTTTTGTAGGCACTAACTCCGCCATGGTTCGTTGGATAAAGCCTATGGGAAAATAACGTTTTTGTAGGGTTTTTGGATAAAAGCCAAAAATATGGTACGTGGTAAACACGGGCTTATGAGATCTTATACGTTTTGTTCTATGAGAATCTTCCTTAGCTAACATCACTTTTTGAAGCATTTATGTAATTTAAAAAAGAAAGCACAAAGGTTTCATAATTCATAAAGGTCATGTTAACTGACTGATATTCTCTCAGAACAAAACGTATAAGATCTCCTAAACCTGTGTTAACCTCAGACCTTATTTTCATCGCTTATCCAAAAACCCTATTCTTTCCCCCATTGGAATGGCTGAACAAACCAGAGGTAACTAATTTCCAGGTTTTAGGACTTAAAGCTGGCGAGCTCTATTACCTTAAAGCAGTTTGAGTGACAGCTCTCTCCAGAATCAAAGTTTGTCAAACCTGGTCCCCAGGCTATTCTGCACAGCGTATATACAGTTGAAGTCGGAAGTTTACATACACTTAGGTTGGAGTCATTAAAACTCGTTTTTCAACCACTCCACAAATGTATTGTTAACAAACTATAGTTTTGGCAAGTCGGTTAGGACATATACTTTGTGCATGACACAAGTAATTTTTCCAACAATTGTTTACAGACAGATTATTTCACTTGTTCAGTGGGTCAGAAGTTTTCAAAAGTTTACATACACTAAGTTGACTGTGCCTTTAAACAGCTTGGAAAATTCCAGAAAGTGATGTCATGGCTTCAGAAGCTTCTGATAGGCTAATTGACATAATTTGAGTCAATTGGAGGTGTACCTGTGGATGTATTTCAAGGCCTACCTTCAAACTCAGTGCCTCTTTGCTTGACATCATGGGAAAATCAAAAGAAATCAGCCAAGACCTCAGAAACAAAATTGTAGACCTCCACGAGTCTGGTTCATCCTTGGGAGCAATTTCCAAACGCCTGAAGGTACCACATTCATCTGTACAAACAATAGTATGCAAGTATAAACACCATGGGACCACGCAGCCGTCATACCGCTCAGGAAGGAGACGCGTTCTGTCTCCTAGAGATGAACGTACTTTAGTGTGAAAAGTGCAAATCAATCCCAGAACAACAGCAAAGGACCTTGTGAAGATCCTGGAGGAAACAGGTACAAAAGTATCTATATCCACAGTAAAACGAGTCCTATATCGACATAACCTGAAAGGCCGCTCAGCAAGGAAGAAGCCACTGCTCCAAAACCGCCATAAAAACGCCAGACTACGGTTTGCAACTGCACATGGGGACAAAGATCGTACTTTTTGGAGAAATGTCCTCTGGTCTGATGAAACAAAAATAGAACTGTTTGGCCATAATGACCATCGTTATGTTTGGAGGAAAAAGGGGGATGCTTGCAAGCCGAAGAACACCATCCCAACCGTGAGGCACGGGTGTGGTAGCATCATGCTGTGGGGGTGCTTTGCTGCAGGAGGGACTGGTGCACTTCACAAAATAGATGGCATCATGAGGAAGGAAAATAATGTGGATATATTGAAGCAACATCTCAAGACATCAGTCAGGAAGATAAAGCTTTGTCGCAAATGGTTCTTCCAAATGGACAATGACCCCAAGCATACTTCCATAGTTGTGGCAAAATGGCTTAAGGACAACAAAGTCAAGGTATTGGAGTGCCCATCACAAAGCCCTGACCTCAATCCTATAGAAAATGTGTGGGCAGAACTGAAAAAGTGTGTGCGAGCAAGGAGGCCTACAAACCTGACTCAGTTACACCAGCTCTGTCAGGAGGAATGGGCCAAAATTCGCCCAACTTATTGTGGAAAGCTTGTGGAAGGCTACCTGCAATGTTTGACCCAAGTTAAACAATTTAAAAGGCAATGCTACCAAATACTAATTGAGTGTATGTAAACTTCTGACCCACTGGGAATGTGATGAAAGAAATAAAAGCTGAAATAAATCACTCTACTATTATTCTGACATTTCACGTTCTTAAAATAAAGTGGTGATCCTAACTGACCTAAGACAGGGACTTTTTACTAGGATTAAATGTCAGGAATTGTGAAAAACAGAGTTTAAATGTATTTGGCTAAGGTGTATGTAAACTTCCGACTTCAACTGTAAGCCTGGGATATCAACGATTTAAAGTTGCCCTTAGTGGGCGTGACCATAGAATTCTATGGGATTGACCTACTGAGTAAAGTACACTACATGGCCAAAAGTGCAGTATGTGGAAACCCCTTCAAATTAGTGCATTCAGCTATTTCAGCCACACCCGTTGCTGACTGGTGTATAAAATCGAGCACACAACCATTGGCAGTAGAATGGCCCGTACTGAGCTCAGTGACTTTCAACATGGCACCGTCATAGGATGCCACCTTTCCAACAAGTCAGTTCGTCAAATTTCTGCCCTGCTAGAGCTGCCCCGGTCAACTGTAAGTGCTGTTATTGTGAAGTGGAAACGTCTAGGAGCAACAACGGCTCAGCCGCGAAGTGGTAGGCCACACAAGCTCACAAAACGGGACCACCGAGTGCTGAAGCGCGTAAAAATCGTCTGTCCTCGGTTGTAACACTCACTAGAGACTGCCTCTAGAAGCAACATCAGCACAAGAACTGTTCGTCGGGAGCTTCATGAAATAGGTTTCCATGGCCGAGCAGCCGCACATTAAGCCTAAGCTCACCATGCGCAATGCCAAGCGTCGGCTGGAGTGGTGTAAAGCTCGCCGCCATTGGACTATGGAGCAGTGGAAACGCGTTCTCTGGAGTGATGAATCACGCTTCACCATCTGCCAGTCCGGCGGATGCCAGAAGAACGCTACCTGCCCCAATGCATAGTGCCAACTGTAAAGTTTAGTGGAGGAGGACTAATGGTCTGGGGCTGTTTTTCATGGTTCGGGCAAGGCCCCTTAGTTCCAGTGAAGGGAAATCTTAACGCTACAGCATAAAATTACATTCTAGACCAGGGGTAATCAACTCTTCCCCTACGAGGTCCAGAGCCTGCTGGTTTTCTGTTCTACCTGATAATTAATTGCACACCCCTGGTGTCCCAGGTCTAAATCATTGATCAGAGGAGAACAATGAAAACATCCAGTGGAACTGGTTTTGAGGTCCAGAGTTGAGTTTGAGGGTTATAGTTGATTCTGTGCTTCCAACTTTGTGGCAACAGTTTGGGGAAGGCCCTTTCCTGTTCCTGCATGACAATGCCCCCGTGCACAAAGCGAGGTCCATACAGAAATGGTTTGTCGAGACTGTTGTGGAAGAACTTGACTGCCCTGCACAGGGCCCTGACCTCAACCCCTTCTAACACCTTTAGGATGAATTGGAACGCCACCTGCGAGCCGGGCCTAATTGCCCAACATCAGTGCCCCGACCTCACTAATGCTCTTGCGGCTGAATGGAAGCAAGTTTGTCAGGCCACAGCCAAAGACATCTGTTGTGCAGATCTAGCTATGTGCCTCAATCTAAAATGAATGGTAAAGATAGACACAGCACAGTCTTATTCCTGATTTGATACCCATCTTTCATATTCATTAGGGATTGAGGCACATAATTGGATCTAGACAACAGATATCATACATATCCTGGTAGTTTGTATCCTGGTAGTTGGTTAGCATTATAGTAGGTGTATAGTTAGATCTCCAGATTATTCTGGACCAAGCTTCTCCCTCCCGTCCCACAGACAGAACTCACACATTTTGAGACTGAGGCCGATCAGACAGAACTCACCCAGTTTGAGACTGAGGCCGACCTTGGGGCGGAACTCTTCCTGGGGCAGGGCCTCGTGAGGGGGCGGGGCCCCGTGAGGGGGAGAGTTCTCGTGAGGGATGATGATACCGCATGGTGACTCGTCCCCGGGCGTGTTGGGGGTGGCACCCCCGCTGGCCGACGACACAGAGGGGGCCGCCGTGATTGGCCGCAGCGTGGGCTTCAGGCAGGGCTTGGAGCCTGATTGGTCGTTGTCGTCAAACTCCTCCCCCTCTTCCACATCGTCATCTGAGTGTGGTTGGTGATGGTGCTCCCCTCTGTCTCTCTCTCTTTCCCGGTCCCCTCTCTCTCTTTCCCGGTCCCCTCTCTCCCCTTCCCGGCCCCCTCTCTCCCCTTCCCGGTCCCCTCTCTCTCTATCCCGGTCCCCTCTCTCTCTATCCCGGTCCCCTCCATCTCTTTCCCGGTCCCCTCTCTCTCTTTCCCGGTCCCCTCTCTCTCTTTCCCGGTCCCCTCTCTCTCTTTCCCGGTCCCCTCTCTCTCTTTCCCGGTCTCCTCGGCGATCCCGGTCCTCCCGTGGGGCCTTGTGCACCCGCTCCTCCTCGGGATCTGGATCCAGCTTCACTGGGGGCTGGCGCAGACGCTCCGCCTCCTCCTCCATCTGGACCAATCCGAGAAGAGAAGCAGTGTGAGACGAGGGGCATATACAGTCAGGAATGTGGATACACTCACACACACCCAATGGTCATGACAGCCAGATAAATAGAGTCCATTTACAACACAGACATACAGACAATGAGCTCTTAGGAGTAAATGACCTTGAGGCATACACACAGTCAGACAGATACACTCGCTCTCTCTCACCCTGCGCATCTCGGCCTCGGGGTCTGGATGTCCCTCGGCCAGCAGTCTCTGTCTGATCTCCTCAAGCTCCTCCTCCTCTCTCTTCCTGTCGCGCTCGTCCACCTCAGTCTCCTTCTCCCGGTCTCGCAGACGCTTCTGCAGCGCGCTGCCCCTATGGGTGGCACACGGAACAACACCTTGTATAACAGTGGCCCTGACACGTCACTGCATGTCTTCAAAATGTTGGAAGTAGGAATGTTTATTTTAGTTATCTTCCTAAATGTCATATAGAAAAACGTGTAATAATGTTGACGTGTCAGGCCTTCATCTTGACTTTTTACAGTATCAACTCCATTATATCTATGCCTATAATACCCTCCAGTCCCTCGACTTCTTGGCGCTGACGGAAACATGGATTACCACTGAAAACACTGCTACTCCTACTGCTCTCTCCTCGTCTGACCATTTGTTCTCGCATACCCCAAGAGCATCTGGTCAGCGGGGTGGTGACACAGGAATCCTCATCTCTCCCAAGTGGACATTCTCTATTTTTCCCCTGACCCATCTGTCTATCTCCTCATTTGAAATATATGCTGTCACAGTCACTAGCCCATTTAAGCTTAACATCCTTGTCATTTATCGCCCTCCAGGTTCCCTTGGAGAGTTCATCAATGAGCTTGACGCCTTGATAAATTCCTTTCCTGAGGATGGCTCACCCCTCACAGTTCTGGGGGACTTCAACCTCCCTACGTCTACCTTTGACTCATTTCTCTCTGCCTCAATCTTTCCACTCCTCTCCTCTTTTGACCTCACCCTCTCACCGTCCCCCCCTACTCACAAGGCAGGCAATACGCTTGACCTCATCTTTACTAGATGCTGTTCTTCTACTAATCTCACTGCAACTCTCCTCCATGTCTCCGACCACTACTTTGTATCCTTTTATCTCTCGCTCTCCTCCAACACTACTCACTCTGCCCCTACTCAGATGGTAATGCGCCGTCGCAACCTTCGCTCTCTCTCCCGCTACTCTCTCCTCTTCCATCCTATCATCTCTTCCCTCTGCTCAATCCTTCTCCCTCCAATCTCCTGATTCTGCCTCCTCAACCCTCCTCTCCTTCCTTTCTGCATCCTTTGACTCTATATGTCCCCTATCCTCCCGGCCGGCTCGGTCCTCCCCTCCTGCTCTGTGGCTTGATGACTCATTGCGAGCTCACAGAACAGGGCTCCGGGCAGCCGAGCAGAAATGGAGGAAAACTAGACTCCCTGCGGACCTGGCATCTTTTCACTCCCTCCTCTCTACATTTTCTTCATCTGTTTCTGCTGCTAAGGCCACTTTCTACCACTCTAAATTCCAAGCATCTGCCTCTAACCCTAGGAAGCTCTTTGCCACCTTCTCCTCCCTGCTGAATCCTCCTCCCCCTCCCCCCCTCCTCCCTCTCTGTGGATGACTTCGTCAACCATTTTGAAAAGAAGGTTGACGACATCCGATCCTCGTTTGTTAAGTCAAATGACACTGCTGGTCCTGCTCACACTGCCCTACCCTATGCTTTGACTTCTTTCTCCCCTCTCTCTCCAGATAAAATCTTGCGACTTGTGATGGCCGGCCGCCCAACAACCTGCCCGCTTGACCCTATCCCCTCCTCTCTTCTCCAGACCATCTCCGGTGACCTTCTCCCTTACCTCACCTCGCTGATCAACTCATCCTTGACCGCTGGCTATGTCCCTTCCATCTTCAAGAGAGCGAGAGTTGCACCCCTTCTCAAAAAACCAACACTCGATCCCTCTGATGTCAACAACTACAGACCAGTATCCCTTCTTTCTTTTCTCTCCAAAACTCTTGAGCGTGCCGTCTTTAGCCAACTCTCTTGCTATCTCTCTCAGAATGACCTTCTTGATCCAAACCAGTCAGGTTTCAAGACTGGTCATTCAACTGAGACTGCTCTTCTCTGTGTCACGGAGGCTCTCCGCACTGCTAAAGCTAACTCTCTCTCCTCTGCTCTTGTCCTTCTAGACCTGTCTGCTGCCTTTGATACTGTGAACCATCAGATCCTCCTCTCCACCCTCTCCGAGCTGGGCATCTCCGGCGCGGCTCACTCTTGGATTGCGTCCTACCTGACCGGTCGCTCCTACCAAGTGGCGTGGCGAGAAGCTGTCTCCGCACCACGTGCTCTCACCACTGGTGTCCCCCAGGGCTCAGTTCTAGGCCCTCTCCTATTCTCGCTATACACCAAGTCACTTGGCTCCGTCATATCCTCACATGGCCTCTCCTATCATTGCTATGCAGACGACACACAACTCATCTTCTCCTTTCCCCCTTCTGATAACCAGGTGGCGAATCGCATCTCTGCATGTCTGGCAGACATATCAGTATGGATGACGGATCACCACCTCAAGCTGAACCTTGGCAAGACGGAGCTGCTCTTCCTCCCGGGGAAGGACTGCCCGTTCCATGATCTCGCCATCATGGTTGACAACTCCGTTGTGTCCTCCTCCCAGAGTGCGAAGAGCCTTGGCGTGACCCTGGACAACACCCTGTCGTTCTCCGCTAACATCAAGGCGGTGACCCGATCCTGTAGGTTCATGCTCTACAACATTCGGAGAGTACGACCCTGCCTTACACAGGAAGCGGCACAGGTCCTAATCCAGGCACTTGTCATCTCCCGTCTGGATTACTGCAACTCGCTGTTGGCTGGGCTCCCTGCCTGTGCCATTAAACCCCTACAACTCATCCAGAATGCCGCAGCCAGTCTGGTGTTCAACCTTCCCAAATTCTCTCACGTCACCCCGCTCCTCCGCACACTCCACTGGCTTCCAGTTGAAGCTCGCATCTGCTACAAGACCATGGTGCTTGCCTACGGAGCTGTGAGGGGAACGGCACCTCCGTACCTTCAGGCTCTGATCAGTCCCTACACCCAAACGAGGGCATTGCGTTCATCCACCTCTGGCCTGCTGGCTCCCCTACCTTTACGGAAGCACAGTTCCCGCTTAGCCCAGTCAAAACTGTTCGCTGCTCTGGCACCCCAATGGTGGAACAAGCTCCCTCACGACGCCAGGACAGCGGAGTCACTCACCACCTTCCGGAGACATTTGAAACCCCACCTCTTTAAGGAATACCTGGGATAGGATAAAGTAATCCTTCTACCCCCCCCCCAAAAAAAAAACTAAAAAACATTGTAAAAGTGGTTATCCCACTGGCTATAAGGTGAATGCACCAATTTGTAAGTCGCTCTGGATAAGAGCGTCTGCTAAATGACGTAAATGTAAATATCTCCTTTTCAGATTTTGTTTCTATAGTATATAAACCAGCATCCACTGTGCAGCATTCAACTTCATCATTTTCTCCCTAAATGTCTCAGCTAAGACAGTGAGTGAGGTCACCTGTAGTACTTAGGGTCATCCCTGTCGTCATCATAGTCCTCCAGGAACTCCTTCAGCCGTTTGCCTTCTTTAGTCTGTAGGACACAAGGAGATATGGAAACGCATGACTAGATGAAGACAAGACACCTGATCCTTGGTGTATTTTAATAACGTCTTAGCCCACACATTAAAGGCTTTAACTTTCAAACCCACATGTGCTTGGATTCTTAATGCCATTTAGCACCTATCTGTGGTCATTTTTACTTTTGCTTTTCACATGTGAATACGTCTATGGTTTTCACATGTGAATACGTCTATGGTTTTCACATGTGAATACGTCTATGGTTGGACCCTTCAAACAAAGGACATAATATCAGGCACGGCTCAGTGGTAAACCTGGGTCCTGTTCGGTAGGGCACAGCGTAGCAAAACCTTTTGCTACGGACAATGAACATTGGCGTTCCTATTAGACAAGTTCAGGTAGTACCCCCCAGTTTCAAAACGTTTTCTCCCAACAGAACACGACCCAGGAGAGCTATGTGAGAACAGGGTTTGTTCCTACCATCTCTCTCCTGCGCTCCTCCTCCCTGTCAGACTCCTTGGAGTAGTCTCGAGCTTTCTTCCTCTCGCGGATCTCCCAGTTCTTCAAACGCTTCAGACAGACACGAGACATTTAGTAACATTTCACAGCCAACACACCCACTATCATGTTCACACTCCACTGTCAGCACTAAGTGGTTGTGTGTGTGGGGTTGTGTGTGAACCCACCTCTTGATAGGCTGCCTCCTTGTCTCTGAGCTTTCTCTCCAGCCTTCTCCTCTCATAGACCTCCTCCTCATCCTCCTGGTCACGCTTCTTGTCCTTGTCTCTGTCGCGACTCACCTCTCTGTCTCTGCAACATCACCAACCTAGTTACATACCAATCATTCCTTTACAAGGTGATTTACAACTTTATTTTAAAACACACACCTGGAGTGGCTGCGGTCTTTGCTCATGTCACGGCTCCTCTCCCTCTCCCGTTCTCTCTCTTTCGTCCGGTTGCGGTCATGATCACGATCTCTGTCTCTGTCACCTCTGTCCCGTTCGCGGTCTCTCTCGCGCTCCCTCTCCTTCTCCCGCTCGCGGTCCCGTCGCTCCCTCTCGCGCTCCCTCTCCTTGTCCCTCTCCCGTCGCTCGCGCTCAAACTCTGCACGCTCCTTCTCCTTCTTGTCCTTCTCCTCCTCCAGTTTCTGCAAAAAGAACAGAGGAGGTTGATAAGTTGGAGGCTATGGGAGGACAGCCATGCAACAGAACAGGAGCACAGTGAGGCTGGCTCACACATCTCTATAAATGCACAGAAGTGGATCTAGAAGTGGCTTCCAGGCTCTGGGGGGCGGAGGGGACTACAGGATGAAGTAGTTGATTGTTAGATAGTGTGACGATTTGACACAACAGGCGCGCTATGGCCGGGCTAAGAGTTTCTATGGGAAAAGAAAAACAAGCTGCCCCTTGTCACAAGACACAGCACTCCTCTGTCCATGTACACACACTTTTGTAATTTATTTTTTACAGAGACTACCTTGGGGGCAGATTTGGCCAGTAGGCTGCCAGTTGCAGACCTCTGATAGAATCAATATAGTACAATAATTGTTTAGCAGGGTGACTTATAAGCTAACTCGAGACACCGGAAACCACTTTGAGGTCAGAGAAGACATCTTGTTGGCCATGTCAAACATCACAGGCATTCAAAACTAGAAAAAGACCCTGCTTGATAGACAATGCTTTTTCTCCCCTAAGTCAGTGTCCTTATTACAAGAGAAACAGAAAAAAAGGCGTCATTCCTTTTGTTTAACTAGTTGTTGGTGACTTACAGGTGTCGAACTACGGATTTCAGCTCTTCGCTGCCCCTACAAGCCTATACCAGTTAGGCCTGGGAGGAAAAGCAGGTTAAACGGTCCACAGGGGAAAACATCATGAGATTCTCTCACTTTCTTTCAAGCAAATCATCAAAAACAACCGTTAACTTCAAATGGGGTACAGTGCTAAAAACAGAAAGCCGTGAAACATCCTGCTACATCTTTTCACATACTGTAGTTTTATCACATTTTTTTGTACAGGTAAATTAAAATTGTAGAGACTCTTACCCCTGCTTCAATCTTCGGTAGTTCTCCCGTGACTCACTTTCCCAGACACACTCAGAGACAGCTCTCCCTCCAAGCAACTACACCCATGGCTCCCCATGTACTCTGAACTGATTTACTGCTACAATTACAAACCATGCATTCTGAATGCATTGTGTTGCTCATGTATGTGTCGGGTTGAGACCACAGGTTTCCCATGGGCTTTCAGCTAAAAGCAGTTCATTAGTCCATAATGAACAACAGAAGGTTGTCCTCCTGGACTGACCAGAACTACAGAGCCACGGGTCTAGTGCAACTTAAGACCAAGAGCAAGAAAACAGGCAGAAAAGTAGAGAAGAGAGAGATGGGGGGGGGGGAGAATGGGAAGAGAGAGATGGGGGAACGGAGAAGAGAGAGATGGGGGAACGGAGAAGAGAGAGATGGGGGAACGGAGAAGAGAGAGATGGGGGAACGGAGAAGAGAGAGATGGGGGAACGGAGAAGAGAGGAAGGCGGTAAAGGAGAAGAGAGGATGGGGGCACGGAGAAGGAAGGAGAGAGATGGGGGAACGGGAGCAGAGAGAGAGAGAGATGGGGGCACGGCGAAGGAGAGAGAGGGGGAAGGAGAAGAGGAGACGGGGGACGGAGAAGAAGAGAGAGACGGGGAGGGGAACGGAGAAGAGAGAGAGGGGGAGGGAAACGGAGAAGCGAGAGACTGGGAACGGAGGACGAGAGCGACGGGGGAACGGGAAGAAGAGAGAGACGGGGGGGAACGAGAAGAGAGGAGAGGGGGCACGGAGAAGAGAGAGACGGGGGAACGGAGCAGAGAGAGATGGGGGAACGGAGAAGAGAGAGCACAGGTACTATGGACATGGGTGGAAAGGAGATTAGAGTCTTAATCCATCTTGTTCATGGGATGAAGCAGGACTTGTTCCTAGATCTAATCGGTTAGACTGTCTTCCTACTTTAACTTACCTTGCTCTGTGTTCTACTGGTAACAGCTTGGGCATAGAGTAACTGCAGGTAGGCCATAGCCTCTACATTACTTTCCCCTCTTATATATTAACCATAGGCCTTACCATTCACGCTTGAGACAAGATCTCATTGTGTATTAGGAGCTCCTTTATTGCAAGTCTACTGCTGTAGATCATGAACTATGAATCATTTACTGCAAGTCTACTGCTGTAGATCATGAACTATGAAGACAACTCAAATAATGGGCAAATGAAGAGGGTGAATGGCAATTCAAATCAGATAGAAAAGGAGACAGACAAGTTAAACAAGGGAGAAAGAAAGAGCTAAAGTGACAGACAGGAGAGAGACACAGAGAGAGAGACACAGAGAGAGAGACAGACAGAGAGAGAGACAGACAGAGAGAGAGAGAGAGAGAAGCCCTAACACACACTCATCCACAGGGTGGGTTGGGACTTACCCGACTAGTCTTCAGAACACAGAGTGCTGTGGAGGGGCGCCCCCCCCTGCTATAACAGTGGTTATTAAGTCTCAGTGACTTGACTTTCACACACATTATGTAGAATAAACATTATTTACAGAGGACTCACACAGGTTCACTGGCCTCTCCGGCTTGGGGACAACATGATAAATTGTTGGAAATCGAATCCGCATGGTTCTCTGTCCCCATATGGTAAATGGGAGCAAGACCAATATCATGTTGACATGTATCTAATGGAAACGGTTGGCTGTGTATTGTTTAGAGCCTGTTCCTGGAGAGCTACCAGCCTGTAGGTTTTCACTCCAACCCTAATCTAGCACACCTGATTCTAATAATTAGCTGGTTGATAAGCTGAAACAGGTTAGTTACAACTGGGGTTGTAGCGAAAACCTCCAGGAGGGTAGCTCAACCAGGAACTGGGTTGGAGAGCCCTGGTTTAGAGGTCCTCGTTAGGTTCCACAACCTCAGTCACCACCATATGCCAGAGTGCCTGTGCAGTTGCCCCTATGCGAGTCCTCGAGAGGGGGGCGCCCAGTATATGTACAAAATAAAGGAAAGCTCATACTTACATCCTATCCTCGACAACTTTTTCCAAAGCTCTGAGATTCATCTTGCTTTAGTCACCATATGATGTCTATCATAATGGTTGGGTTTAATGAATAGATTAGCTTTAAGGTAACTTTACATTGTCACCATGCATTTTCTTTGTGTGTGATGTATGAGTTATGGATCTAGCTATCTATACTGTCACACCTAAATATCCTAATATATACAAAATAAACGTCCCGCCATCACACGAGTCAAGTTAGGTTTGAAAACGGTGACTAGAAATCGGACAACTATTTGTGTTGGAACAGACACTGTGGATAACATTGAAATGATATGGTAAAAATCCAGATCATATTTATAAAATTTCAGAGATTGCCAATTAAAATCAGATTTTAGAGCAATATTTTGGTGTAAAAATGTTGATATTCTCCCACCTTATATTTAGAGTACAATCATGAAAGGGTCCTTGTGCAAGTGTCCAAGTATGAAAACTAAAAAAGGAGTGTACTACTAGTGTGTGTAGCTTATTTTCCAAAACCTGCAACGTGAGAGAGATGAATAATGTACTGTACCTTGTGGGTGTCGCGGAATTTACTGATCTCTCTGGAAATCAGGTCTCTCTTGTCATCCTCCAATCCGTCAATTGCGTTGATATCCTCCTAAAGGGACAATGGGATGCAGGCAGATGGGACATTGTTCAGGGTCGTGCTGTCAACTGGGGACCAGACTGATTTGCTCAGCATTTCCTAGCATAGTGTTGCCATTTACACGGATCACACAACCTGAAGAAACACCTAGAGCCGTGAAGCAGTTTCCCCAGACCTATTCTTGGACTGAAAAGCATGCTCCAGGGAGAATCTACATTGAAATAGCTTTTAAATCCAGGACTAGACTTAATCCCTGTCCAGAGCTTTGTGTATCAGCAAATATATAAAATGTGCCCAAATACAATATCACCACCCCAACCAATGCATATCAGGTAACAGAGAAAGGATCCCCAGAGTGATAACAGAGAAAGGATCCCCAGAGTGATAACAGAGAAAGGATCCCCAGAGTGATAACAGAGAAAGGATCCCCACGTACCTCTTCTTTTTTCTCTTTCCTTTTCCTGCGTTGCTGGGATTCATCATCATTCAAGGGAGCTTTGAGATCGCTGGCGTACTCTCGGATCAGACCGTCGATGGTGCCCTTGACGATCTGGTCCCGCCTCTTGGTGTCCTCGTCGATCACCTCCTCCTCTTTTCCATCCTCTTCTTTCGCCTTCAATCACACAAAGAGAGAGAGAACGAGAGGAGAGAGATAAGGGAGAAAGAAGGCAAAGAGAGAGGAAGAGGAAGAGAGAGGTGACAGGCAGCTTAGTATTATAATAAGTATTATAAGTCAAACTCAGCCTAACTAGTTGAAATTTAATTATAAGGGAATATTTTGTTCCAGGCCTTTTGGCACAGTTACCCATTCGTTTAGGCAGCCCTGCTTCCTAGAGCTGGGTCCACCTTAGTCACCACTAGATTACACTGTCATTCAGATTGCAAGCAACGTTCCCCTCTCTCCTCCGTGTGTGTTCATTCATTGTCGATATCATAGAAATAGAATGAATGGGGAAGCCCTTTCTATTCATTGTATTTCAATGGTCGATATATTCCGTCTGTACATTATGCTTATGATCTATATTCTGTCTGTTGATTCTGTTTACTGTGGCAGCACCATTTCACCAAATCTAATTCTGGGTATATGTAAATGTGCTTGGCGAATAAAGGTGATTCTGATTCCAGCGTGTCCCCACTCCCCACCTCGTTGCCGTTGGTGCTACTCTTCTTCTTGGCCTTCCACTCGTCCAGCTGGGCCTTGGTCTTGGCGTCCACCTTCACCAGCAGCTTCTTCTCCCCGATCTGCAGCTCGTGGAGCAGCCGCAGGGCCCGCAGCGTTGACTCTGGTTCCTTGTACTCACAGAACCCAAAAGCTAGAGAGAATAGAGGAGACAGGAGGTTTATATCACAGCCATGGCGGAGTCATGACCAGGAATCAGTGACGTGCGGTCAGTGTAGTAGGCAGGGCCTACCCTGTAAAAATGAAGGGAGAAAAAAAAACGAATGAAAAATAAATGTTGTCAATAATCATTGTCATCTTCATGTCATCTTTTCTGCATGACAAAATCGATTTCTGAACTAGTACTTACTTCCCAAATGTGCAGTAATCTGGTAGAAAACGCACAAGCCTTGCTGTGTACCTTTCTCCTGTCCTTCGAACTCAATACAAGGCATTGACTTGCGCATGTTTCTACCCCACACACAGCGAAACGCAGGCCGAGAGCTTCGCTGCCTTTCATGTGTCAGTATGTCCCATTCATTTTCATTGCATTCAAATAATAAATGCGTTTTGGCGTGAAAAAAAAAAAAAAGCTACGGGCTAGGCAGGAAGATAGGCAGAGCTCCGCCCCTGCCTCTGGACATCACATGTCATCTGCCGCCTTTTGGCGGTTACGTTCGTTTTACTGCTAGCTAAAATAAGCTGATCAGGATGGCTAACATATTGCATCCAAAACAGTTTTCAAAGTTGGATTTTCTAGCAAAACGGGGTGATAAGGGATGGAAGACCAACACCTGAGCTCAGAGACCTACATCAAAGGAAGGGACAGAAAATAACATGAGTGGTATCAACAGAAAGACTGGCTCTGTGGCTGCGCTGCTAGCAGCCTACTGCTTCCAATGCCTGCTGTTCTCCACCAGTGACAGCGTGAGGACAAGAGCCGGTTACTGCGACTTGAACAACTTGCCTATAGCACTCAACAAGCATGAGAAATCTAAATCTCACATCCAAAGCCAGATAGCTCTAAAGACATTAGGCAGCTCACGGATAGATCTGGCATTGAATGAACAACGGAGAACATCAGCATGCACAATGCAAAGGTAAAAGAACCGTGATATATTATTTTTTCCTCCCAAATTTTGTGATATCCAATTGGTAGTTACAGTCTTGTCCCATCGCTGCAACTCCCGTACGGACTCGGGAGAGGCGAAGGTCGAGAGCCATGCGTCCTACGAAACACGACCCTGCCAAGCTGCACTGCTTCTTGACACACTGCTCGCTTAACCAGGAAGCCAGCCGCAATGTGTCAAAGGAAACACTGTACAACTGGCGACCGAAGTCAGCTTGCAGGCGCCCGGCCCGCCACAAGGAGTTGCTAGAGCGCGCCATGTTTGCTTGTTGTTCATGGCCTATGATGGAATTTTCAATGGAACTGATGCGCTGCTCCGGGTTCTGCAGAACAAAGTGATGGATATGTGTGTCTGCCGTACCCATAGCAGCGACACAATGAAAGCACTGCAACAGTAGTGACAAGACGTTGATAGTTTCTATGAGCGATTCGAGCATAAATGCAATGAACTGGGCCTGGTAGAAAGCGAAACTTGTAGCAAACACCAGATCAGAGCAGAGAGAGGGCGAATCTACTACAACATACTGGACAATATCAATGTTCAGATGAGAGCCAGGTTTGACCACTTTGGTGAACTTCATTTCCTTGGCTAAGTGGACTTCACAAAATAAAATGCCTGTTAAAATACTGCAAGTACTTCGATTTCGTTAGGCTGATCTTGTCGGATTGTACAGTTCACAAATGACACGAGACAAATTAACTGGACAGCCCCTCAGCTTCTTGTTCCAGCATGACCTGACACAGACGGTCCCTGAGGTGACAAAGTTACTGCAGCTGGTCCTCACTATACCAGCCACAACAGCGTCCATTGAGAGGACATTTCTGCGCTACAACGGATAAAGACATACAGTCGAAACCGGACCGATCAAGGACGACTCTCATCCCTTTCCATCATCTCCATCGTATCAAGACTTTTAAAAACTGACGGCCAACTGTGTGTTCGTGCCGTGGGAGGAGGGGTTGCTTCGTTGTCTGAAAGCAATGGCTAGCTAGTATGCTAACTATTCTAGCTAACTAACTGGCGACGGACTCGCTCAAGCTGTCGGGACTAACCCACAACGTTAGACACGGACACGAATGATCTGCTTGGCGTGTTGACACACTGGTGGTTTGTTGTGGCCGAGTATTGGTGCTAAACCGTGTTGTTGGAGTCCGGCATGCTAGTTGGCTGTGGCGTCATATGACTAGGTGCCCTGGACGATTTTCACGGAAGAATACTGTACCAAGTTAGCTAGCTGAATAAACGAAGTTAGTCTATTCCTAGAAAACATTGAACCGCTGTAGTTTACAACAAGTATAGTTTCTGAGGTGGAAGTTGGGAGAGTTTTATATTTGGGTGTTTCAGTGAAACGTAAGTGAGGGAGGCCCCGCTCTCTCCTTTCCCAGATGTTTAGTTCATTTCATTCCGATCTCCTTTGCATTATTGTAGCCATTTTCTGTAGCCTGTCAACTATGCCTCTGTCTATCCCTGTTCTCTCCTCTCCGCACAGGCTATACAAACGCCTCACACCGCGTGGCTGCTGCCTCTCTAACCTGGTGGTCCCTGCACGCACCACCCACGTAGAGTTCCAGGTCTCAGGCAGCCTCTGGAACTGCCGTTCTGCTGCCAACAAGGCAGAGTTCATCTCAGCCTATGCTACCCTCCAGTCCCTCGACTTCTTGGCGCTGACGGAAACATGGATTACCACTGAAAACACTGCTACTCCTACTGCTCTCTCCTCGTCTGACCATGTGTTCTCGCATACCCCGAGAGCATCAGGTCAGCGGGGTGGTGGCACAGGAATCCTCATCTCTCCCAAGTGGACATTCTCTATTTTTCCCCTGACCCATCTGTCTATCTCCTCATTTGAATTCCATGCTGTCACTAGCCCATTTAAGCTTAACATCCTTGTCATTTATCGCCCTCCAGGTTCCCTTGGAGAGTTCATCAATGAGCTTGACGCCTTGATAAATTCCTTTCCTGAGGATGGCTCACCCCTCACAGTTCTGGGTGACTTCAACCTCCCTACGTCTACCTTTGACTAATTTCTCTCTGCCTCATTCTTTCCACTCCTCTCCTCTTTTGACCTCACCCTCTCACCGTCCCCCCTACTCACAAGGCAGGCAATACGCTTGACCTCATCTTTACTAGATGCTGTTCTTCTACTAATCTCACTGCAAATCCCCTCCATGTCTCCGACCACTACTTTGTATAATTTTCTCTCTCGCTCTCCTCCAACACTACTCACTCTGCCCCTACTCAGATGGTAATGCGCCGTCGCAACCTTCGCTCTCTCTCTCCCGCTACTCTCTCCTCTTCCATCCTATCATCTCTTCCCTCTGCTCAATCCTTCTCCCTCCAATCTCCTGACTCTGCCTCCTCAACCCTCCTCTCCTCCCTTTCTGCATCCTTTGACTCTCTATGTCCCCTATCCTCCCGGCCTGCTCGGTCCTCCCCTCCTGCTCCGTGGCTTGATGACTCATTGCGAGCTCACAGAACAGGGCTCCGGGCAGCCGAGTGGAAATGGAGGAAAACAAGACTCCCTGCGGACCTGGCATCTTTTCACTCCCTCCTCTCTAAATTTTCTTCATCTGTTTCTGTGACCATGGTGCTTGCCTACGGAGCTGTGAGGGGAACGGCACCTCCGTACCTTCAGGCTCTGATCAGTCCCTACACCCAAACGAGGGCATTGCGTTCATCCACCTCTGGCCTGCTGGCCCCCCTACATCTGCGGAAGCACAGTTCCCGCTCAGCCCAGTCAAAACTGTTCGCTGCTCTGGCACCCCAATGGTGGAACAAGCTCCCTCACGACGCCAGGACAGCGGAGACACTTGAAACCCCACCTCTTTAAGGAATACCTGGGATAGGATAAAGTAATCCTTCTACCCCCCCCTTACCCGACCCCCCCCCCAAAAAAAACATATTGTAAAGTGGTTATCCCACTGGCTATAAGGTGAATGCACCAATTTGTAAGTCGCTCTGGATAAGAGCGTCTGCTAAATGACGTAAATGTAAATGTAAACAGAGAGGAGATTTACATTTCAGTCACTGATGTCTTTACCCAGAAGGATAGACGGACGGATTTTGTTTACAAGTGTAAGTGTTTATTTACAGTAGCACCATCTACTATGATTACATGTCTGTTGTGTTAGTATACATCTCAAATCAGTAGCGCTGACTACTAGGCATTTTGTGTCTGTAGAGCTGTTTACAAGTAGGTCTACTCGCTGGCAATTGGGTCGCTGTCTGTAGTGCTGAAAGTCGCCTATTCGTGCAGGGCAGGCAGTTGAGAGGGGCACAAGCCTGTGAATGTTTCTAATGGTTGGCCACCTACCTGCTGCTGTTTGTTGGTTGGGGTTGTTTGATGGTTATCTTTGTGATCGTGTCATACCGATAAACACCGTAGCAAAAATACGCTTTGTGTGTGAGTGAGTGAGTGAGTGAGTGAGTGACCGGTGGAATTAAGGAATAGATTTGTCAGGGTCGTGTTCATTAGGGCTTGGAATAGAAAATTAAAATGAGTGTTTATCGGGCAAGTCCATGTAGTCACACCCAGTTTCAGTCTGTTTCCTTATGATTAGTGCCTAATCAACAGGACCATGCTAATGGTTTCACTAAATAGTAGTTGCTTCAGATTGAGAAAGCATGCCAGGGTGACATTGGACTTACATGGTGGTAGAATATTTTACAAATGTTGTACCTTGAAGTTTTCCAGAGGCTCCTTGGACTCGCTTCCAGCTTAGGACCAGGCCACATTTCTGAAGAGGGATAAATTGCTTGCTTTACGACATGGACCTACTAAAGCAGATGGTTTACATCTGTATCAGGTGAAAACCAGAAAACAATGGAAATAAAATATTTGGCCAAAAGAGAAACAGCTTTTACAAACCAGTTGCACCCCAAAGGCTAACTGAACCTTCATACACATACTGAAAACGGAATAAAAACTCTCAAAACAACTATCCTGGCTCAGGTAAGGTGATTTTAATAGTCTATTCGAGAGCTGTACTGTACTAATATGATGTATGACTAAAGACATTGGCCGTGTCCGAATACCCATACTAGCGTCCTAAATAGTAGGCCGTTTGAGTATGCGGAAAAATAATGTTTTATAGTATGTGACATTTCGAGTATGCTTTAAATGCGCAGATGTCATACTAATTTTGGCTTTTCATGTAGTATGAATGAATTGTAAACTTTTCGGGAAATTTCACACTCACAATCCATTCAAACCGGATAATAGGAGGGCTTCGAGACTTGATATTTCTTTGAAAGTAAAAAAATTAAAATAAATAATTGAAGATGGCAAAGAAGAGCAAAGAGTCTCCTGCAGTTCAAATGTAAGTTGTTTTTTGTTGTTCTTAAAAGAATGATGACTATTTAATCGTACATCTTTGAAAACAGATTATTTGCAGCCTGCCGTGCCTTTAGTTTAGCTAAATAGTAGGGGTGTAACGATCCATCTACTACATCGATGTATCGATTTATATTCATATGATCCAACTACATCGATCTGTGCTCGGCGAGTTGGCCTTTTGGACAACATATATCGATCTAACATCGTTTTAAAATGTAATAAATCGATTGTATCGATACTAGGAAATAACCCATTGGATTTAAGCACGTCAGACTTTATATGCAGGGGTGCACATAACTGGTACGCAGATACGCAAGCGCGACAAAAATCAGGAATGCGTAATGCCACTTGTGTTACTACGCGCCTTTGCGTACTTGACCGATCTTCTCATCTAACCTTACACATGACATGTTGCTTGTCAACTACTGTCAGGGATGTCCAAAAAGCAACAGACATTAAGCAGCTTCTTTGGCGTTTTGCCACCTACAAAGAAACGCCAACTGGAGCCAGAGCCGAAGAAAATACTTTTTTCGGAAAAGTGGCTCCAAGATGTGCAGTGGCTTGAAGCTAACGATGAGCGCACTGAAATGTGGTGCAAGATTTGCCGCTCAAATCCACATCTAGCAGACAAAACAGGTGCATTTTATAAAGGCTCAAAGAATTTCAACCATCCTTTATTTGACAAACATGAAAAGAGCAAGGAGCACACGAATGTGGCGCAAGCCATTGCTAAAAGCTAGCCGATAATAAATGTCCAGTCGCCCACTTGCCAGATGGCGAGACAAGCTGAATGAAGAACAGCGGCAAGCTCTGTTTAATATTTTTCTCTTTCCATAAAGCTAAACACGCACGTCCCATGTCTTCCTATTCTGAGGATGTTCGTTTACTGAAGCGGCTAGGAGTAAATGTCGGAGGTGCATATCATTCACGTGAAGGGGGCACACGGATCATGCAGAGCATCGCTCACACCATCAGCGGGGAGTTACGAGCCAAGTTGCAGTCTGCTGAATTTTGGGGGCTGCTTTTTGATGGATCTGAGGACATCACAAAAACTGAGCAGGAAATAGTTTACATTGTGTCTGTGTCCAGCAACGGAGAGTTTACTTCGGACTTTATTGGACTGATTGAATTGGGTGCTGACCGAACCGCACAGGCCATACCAGACGGACTTGTGAGACTTTTCCAGGACACAGGCTTGGATGACTGGACAACAAAGTTGGTCGCTGTGTGCACAGACGGGGCTGCTGTCAACGTAGGTATCTACAACGGCGTTGTGCCAAAACTCCGGCAACATGCTGCGGTTGGAGACTCCCTTGTGCACATTCTGTGCACCGCACACACACTGGAGAATTGCGCGAAATCAGCTGATCGCAACGTTCCTTACTGTGAGACATTTCATCGCTCTGTGGTCAAGCTGCTGCAGTTTTATTTACAAAAAGGTGGAGCAAAAAAAACTGCTGCACTGAATAAAGCTATGTGAAGAAAATGGGATCTCCTTTGTGGAACTGGGTAAGTTTCATAATACCAGATGGTCTGCATGGAGGCATGAAACACTGTTAAAAATATCAAGACTATTGCCAGCCATTAAAATGCAACTGGTTACCAGGTATTTATTTCAGTCACACTGGTTGAATTTTTGGCTAAAAGGTTACTGAATCGATTTCAAGTCACTGAATCGTTTCGGATCGTATCGTTCTAAATGAACCAATATCGTCCTTGAATCGTATCGACAACCACGAATCGTGATACAAATCGAATCGTTGTTAAAATGAATCGTTACACCCCTACTAAATAGCTAACGTTAGCTACGTGCTTTAGTAGGACTTGAAGTTAGCTGGATACCTGATAAGCTTGCTGTTGTTTATAAACTGAGTGTACAAAACATTAAGGACCCCTGCTCATTCCAAGATCCCTTATTGATGTCACTTGTTAAATCCACTTCAAACAGTGTAGATGAAGGTGAGGAGACAGGTTAAAGAAGGATTTTTAAGCCTTTGAGACATATTATTATTATTAAGCCATTTAGCAGACGCTTTTATCCAAAGCGACTTACAGTCATGTGCGCATACATTTTTACGTATGGGTGGTCCCGGGGATCGAACCCACTACCCTGGCGTTACAAGCGCCGTGCTCTACCAATTGAGCTACAGAGGACCACATGGATTGTGTGTGTGCCATTCAGAGGGTGAATGGGCAAGACAAAAGATTGAAGTGCCTTTGAACGGGGTATGGTAGTAGGTGCCAGGAGCACCGGTTTGTATCAAGAATTGCACTGCTGCTGGGTTTTTCACGCTCAACAGTTTCCCGTGTGTATCAAGAATGGTCCATCACCGAAAGGATATCCAGCCAACTTGACACAACTGTGGGAAGCATTGGAGTCAACATGGGCCAGCATCCCTGTGGAACGCTTGACACATCGTAGAGTCCATGCCCTGACAATTTCAGGCTTCTAAACAATTAAAAACTTGTTACATATTCTAGTTTTGGAAACAGAAAACTCTATGGAGATCAAATGTTTCATCGATGAGAAAGTGTGCAGAACGTCAGCCCAAATCCATCTCGCTCCATTTTCTCCCACTGGGCTTCCTCTCATCACCATATTTGGTAGTGAGTGGAAACAGCAACCGGATGCTTCACTTTTATACATCCGATGAAATATCTGGCTCATTGTTCTAGCTGTGGTAGTACGCTATGGCCGTGGCATACTGCATACTTCTTACTAAACCTTACGTCATATATAGTATGCGACGATGAGTACATGCTATGCAGTTTTAGTATGTAGTGCGCTAGTATGGGTATTGGGACATGTCACCGTCACCGTCTATAGCCTAAATAAAGGTTGATGTCTCTTTCCAATACGACTGCATGCAAGTTCCCCTTCCTCACCGCTAGCAACTTTCGAATCAGCATGTCCGAGGCCTTCTCCGAGATGTTCCCTACAAACACTGTGGTGGTGGGGCCGCTGTTCTCGTCCGTCTCCTTGGCCCTCACCGGGGGTACCTCCTTCCTGGGGGCCGCGGGCTTACTGATCACGGGCATGGAGGTGGGTACCAGGACCGTGGGGGTCTGGGTCATGATGCCCATGTGGACTGGTATCATTGGGGTACCTAGAAAAGTGATAAACCGGATAACGTATACAAAATATACTTGGATTAAAGGAAAGTTCCACTCAAAAACAATCTGTAGGTATTGGTTTCATTAGTCCACTGTTGATACAGTCCTGAAATGTTTTGCATGTCAGCAATCAAGTTTACAAGATATACAGTGGGGGGGAAAAAGTATTGAGTCAGCCACCAATTGTGCAAGTTCTCCCACTTAAAAAGATGAGGCCTGTAATCTTCATCATAGGTACACGTCAACTATGACAGACAAAATGAGATTTTTTTTTCTCCAGAAAATCACATTGTAGGATTTGTAATGAATTTATTTGCAAATTATGGTGGAAAATAAGTATTTGGTCAATAACAAAAGTTTCTCAATACTTTGTTATATACCCTTTGTTGGCAATGACACAGGTCAAACGTTTTCTGTAAGTCTTCACAAGGTTTTCACACACTGTTGCTGGTATTTTGGCCCATTCCTCCATGCAGATCTCCTCTAGAGCAGTGATGTTTTGGGGCTGTCGCTGGGCAACACAGACTTTCAACTCCCTCCAAAGATTTTCTATGGGGTTGAGATCTGGAGACTGGCTAGGCCACTCCAGGACCTTGAAATGCTTCTTACGAAGCCACTCCTTCGTTGCCCGGGCGGTGTGTTTGGGATCATTGTCATGCTGAAAGACCCAGCCACGTTTCATCTTCAATGCCCTTGCTGATGGAAGGAGGTTTCACTCAAAATCTCACGATACATGGCCCCATTCATTCTTTCCTTTACACGGATCAGTCGTCTTGGTCCCTTTGCAGAAAAACAGCCCCAAAGCATGATGTTTCCACCCCCATGCTTCACAGTAGGTATGGTGTTCTTTGGATGCAACTCAGCATTCTTTGTCCTCCAAACACGACGAGTTGAGTTTTTACCAAAAAGTTCTATTTTGGTTTCATCTGACCATATGACATTCTCCCAATCCTCTTCTGGATCATCCAAATGCACTCTAGCAAACTTCAGACAGGCCTGGACATGTACTGGCTTAAGCAGGGGGACACGTCTGGCACTGCAGGATTTGAGTCTCTGGCGGCGTAGTGTGTTACTGATGGTAGGCTTTGTTACTTTGGTCCCAGCTCTCTGCAGGTCATTCACTAGGTCCCCCCCGTGTGGTTCTGGGATTTTTGCTCACCGTTCTTGTGATCATTTTGACCCCACGGGGTGAGATCTTGCGTGGAGCCCCAGATCGAGGGAGATTATCAGTGGTCTTGTATGTCTTCCATTTCCTAATAATTGCTCCCACAGTTGATTTCTTCAAACCAAGCTGCTTACCTATTGCAGATTCAGTCTTCCCAGCCTGGTGCAGGTCTACAATTTTGTTTCTGGTGTCCTTTGACAGCTCTTTGGTCTTGGCCATAGTGGAGTTTGGAGTGTGACTGTTTGAGGTTGTGGACAGGTGTCTTTTATACTGATAACAAGTTCAAACAGGTGCCATTAATACAGGTAACGAGTGGAGGACAGAGGAGCCTCTTAAAGAAGAAGTTACAGGTCTGTGAGAGCCAGAAATCTTGCTTGTTTGTAGGTGACCAAATACTTATTTTCCACCATAATTTGCAAATAAATTCATAAAAAATCCTACAATGTGATTTTCTGGAATTTTTTTCTCTCAATTTGTCTGTCATAGTTGACGTTGTACCTATGAGGAAAATTACAGGCCTCTCTCATCTTTTTAAGTGGGAGAACTTGCACAATTGGTGGCTGACTAAATACTTTTTTTCCCCACTGTAGAACTTTCAAAATACAGGAAGTGTCACAGTATTGCTGCATTCGTAACCAAGTGATAAGTGAGAATGTATTGCCATAGAGTTAGATAGAGAACTGAGAGAGATAGATTAAAGAGATTTAAGAGGGATTAAAACCAGTTTTGGCATGGACATTACCAAAGGGCTTCACCATTTTAAAGTAGTCAACTGGGTGGGACTTCCTATGGGTGAAGGAAGGATCACATGATTCCATCCAGGTCATCAGGAGGGATCAGCCAATGAATTACAGTGCCTTCAGGAAGTATTCACACCTTCACTTTTTCCACATTTTGTTGTGTTACAAAGTGGGATTAAAATGGATTTGACATTTTTTTGGTCAACGATCTACACAAAACTAATGTCAAAGCGGAAGAAAAATTCTAACATTTGTAAACAATTAATGAAAAATACAACGTTAATATAAAAAACCCCGAGTCAATACATGTTAGAATCACCTTTGGCAGTGATTACAGCTGTGAGTCTTCCTGGGTAAGTCTCTAAGAGCGTTCCACACCTGGATTGTGCAACATTTGCCCATTATTCTTTTCAAACATCTTCAAGCTCTGTAAAATTGGTTGTTGATCATTGCTTGACAACCATTTTCAGGTATTACCATAGATTTTCAAGCAGATTTTAGTAAAAACTAGCAACATTCACTGTCTTCTTGGTAAGCAACTCCAGTGTAGATTTGGCCTTGTGTTTTAGGTTATTGTCCTGCTGAAAAGTGAATTCATCTTCCAGTGTCTGGTGGAAAGCAGACTGAACCAGGTTTCCTCTAGGATTTTGCCTGTGCTTAACTCCATTCTGTTTACTTTTATCCTGAAAAACTCCCCTGTCCTTAACGATTACAAGCATACCGTAACATGATGCAGCCACCACTTTGCTTAAAAATATGCTGAGTGGTACTCAATAATGGGGATTTGCCCCAAACATAACACTTTGTATTCAGGACAAAAAGTGAATTGCTTTGCCACATTTTTTGCAGTATTACTTTAGTGCCTTGTTGCAAACAGGATGCATGTTTTGGAATATGTTTTACTCTGTACAGGCTTCCTTCTTTTCACTCTGTCAATTAGGTTAGTATTGTGGAGTAACTACAATGTTGTTGATCCATCCTCAGTTTTCTCCTATCACAGCCATTAAACTCTGTAACTGTTTTAAAGTCACCATTGGCCTCATGGTGAAATCCCTGAGCGGTTTCCTTCCTCTCAGGCCGGTTTCCTTCCTCTCTGGCAACTGAGTTAGGAAGGACATCTGTATCTTTGTATTGACTGGGTGTATTGATACACCATCAAAAGTGTGATTAATAACTTCACCATGCTCAAAGGAATATTCAATGTCTGTTTGTTTTTTTACCCATCTACCAATAGTTGCCCTTCTTTGCGAGGCGTTGGAAAACCTCCTTGGTCTTTGTGGTTGAATCTGTATTTGAAATTCACTGCTCGACTGAGGGACCTGACAGATAATTGTATGTGTGGGGTACAGAGATGAGGTAGTCATTCAAAAATCATGTTAAACACTATTATTGCACACAGAGTGAGTCCAAGCAATGTATTATGGGACTTGTTAAGTAGATTTTCACTCTGGAACATATTTAGGCTTGCCATAACAAAGGGGTTGAACACTTATTGCCCTAAGACATTTCAGCTTTTCATTTTTAATTAATTAGTAAACATTTCTAAAACACATAATTATGGTATTGTGTTTCGGCCAGTGACAAATCTCAATTTAATCTATTTTAAATTCAGGCTGTAACACAACAAAATGTGGAAAAAGTAAAGGGGTGTGAATACTTTCTGAAGGCACTGTATACTCGTGAGCAAACATTCCATAACTGTAGGTGGCAGTAAATTGCCATACTTGGCTTTATACCTGTTCAAACAACACACTCTAGATGGCAGTATGCACCCTTTCGGGTTTGTTTGCCAACTCAGAAGTATTGGAAGAAGAAAATGTACTACTTCAAAATGGAGATGGCTTCGATGGCGCTGGCCGTGCGATCAGATGCCATACTGGGACATATACAGTTGATGTCGGAAGTTTACATACACCTTAGCCAAATACATTTAAACTCTGTTTTTCACAATTCCTGACATTTAATCCTAGTGAAAGGTCCCCGTTTTAGGTCAGTTAGGATCACCACTATTTTTAGAATGTGAAATCTCAGAATAATAGTAGAGAGAATGATTTATTTCAGCTTTTATTTCTTTCATCACATTCCCAGTGGGTCAGAAGTTTACATACACTCAATTAGTATTTGGTAGCATTGCCTTTCAATTGTTTAACTTGGGTCAAACGTTTCGGGTAGCCTTCCACAAGCTTCCCACAATAAGTTGGGTGAATTTTGGCCCATTCCTCCTGACAGAGCTGGTGTAACTGAGTCAGGTTTGTAGGCCTCCTTGCTCGCACACGCCTTTTCAGTTCTGCCCACAAATGTTCTATAGGGTTGAGGTCAGGGCTTAGTGATGGCCACTCCAATACCTTGACTTTGTTGTCCTTAAGCCATTTTGCCACAACTATGGAAGTATGCTTGGGGTCATTGTCCATTTGGAAGACCCATTTGCGACCAAGCTTTAACTTCCTGACTGATGTCTTGAGATGTTGCTTCAATATATCCACATTATTTTCCTTCCTCATGATGCCATCTATTTTGTGAAGTGCACCAGTCCCTCCTGCAGCAAAGCACCCCCACAGCATGATGCTGCCACCCCCGTTCTTCACGGTTGGGATGGTGTTCTTCGGCTTTCAAGCCTTCCCCTTTTTCCTCCAAACATAACGATGGTCATTATGGCCAAACAATTATATTTTTGTTTCATCAGACCAGAGGACATTTCTCCAAAAAGTACGATCTTTGTCCCCATGTGTAGTTGCAAACCGTAGTCTGCCTTTTTTATGGCGGTTTTGGAGCAGTGGCTTCTTCCTTGCTGAGCGGCCTTTCAGGTTATGTCGATATAGGACTTGTTTTATTGTGGATGTAGATACTTTTATACCTGTTTCCTCCAGCATCTTTACAAGGTCTTTTGCTGTTGTTCTGGGATTTATTTGCACTTTTCTCACCAAAGTATGTTCATCTCTAGGAGACAGAACGCGTCTCCTTCCTGAGCGGTATGACGGCTGCGTGGTCCCATGGTGTTTATACTTGCGTACTATTGTTTGTACAGATGAAATTGCTCCCAAGGATGAACCAGACTTTTGGAGGTCTACAATTTTCTTCTGAGGTCTTGGCTGATTTCTTTCGATTTTCCCATGATGTCAAGCAAAGAGGCACTGAGTTTGAAGGTAGGCCTTGAAATACATCCACAGGTACACCTCCAATTGACTCAAATGATGTCAATTAGCCTATCAGAAGCTTCTAAAGCCATGACATCATTTTCTGGAATTTTCCAAGCTGTTTAAAGGCACAGTCAACTTAGTGTATGTAAACTTCTGACCCACTGGAATTGTGATACAGTGAATTATAAGTGAAATAATCTGTCTGTAAACAATTGTTGGAAAAATGACTTGTGTCATGCACAAAGTAGATGTCCTAACCGACTTGTTTGTTAACAAGAAATTTGTGGAGTGGTTGAAAAACGGGTTTTAATGACTCCAACCTAAGTGTATGTAAACTTCCGACTTCAACTGTATAAAGATGATATCTCTATCATTCTCTATGTTTACCACATACGACTGGGAAAAATCAATTTGAACAGCCCTCCAACTGGTAATTACTAGTGGGAAACTCATCCATTATCCTTTAAATGAATGTTTCTCTCTCAATACAAGGTTTGCAGAGTTTTATATATCCTTTACAAATCAAAGTCATGTTCACAATCTACTAAGTAGCTGTATAATTTACATAGACAGACCCATAGGATAGGAACTCTGTCTGTGATGACTCACCTGAAGGAAAACCAGCGAACTGTGGAGGGGGGATGCCCGGGGGCAACAGGGGTCGGTTGAGATGAGGAGGGAACGACATCTTGTGGAAATCACCCACCTAAACATTGGACCAAAGAAAACAGTCAGAACTGTCATAAGAGAGCAGTAGACACAACAGTAATGAACTCTCCAGTCCAAATAGGATGACTGGTATAGCAAGTGATTCAGGCCTAAATAAAAGCCTAACGAAGCTACTGATACTTCTCACCAAGTCACCCAACGTCTTCCTAGCGCCATAAGATACCGCCATGAATTAACATGGACTGTCAATGGACTGTTTTTTTCCCCCCCAAGGCATCAAACTGCCGACGCGTTCACGTCACGTTCACGTCACGTGACACGCACAAGTAATGTACATAGAGACAGGTTTCTTCTCCTTTCTTTGCCCAGCAAAAACGTGGCCATAGGCCTATATAAAACCCAATTTCTAGCCTACTACATTTTATATGACTTGAGACATTAGCAGAATACTTTTAATACGACAAAAAATGCAAGGTAGCCTGCCACTGACAGTCCACGCACTGCCACCTACAGGTCTGTGGGCTCATTGTATGAATTAATACATTTCTCTACGTGTTTTACATTTCTCTGCGTGTTTTTTTTTGCAAGGAATCAGCGCAGCAACGTATCAATTTGGCCAATGTGATCGCATCACACCAGAGCTCCACGTCGCTCTCGCCATTCAAACTTCCCCGCCAGTTTATTGCCAACACTGTAGCGTATTTTATAGCATTTCAGCAAGCAAGAGGGTTGATCGACGCTTCTCTTCTAGCCCAGGCCTATTCTTTCTTTTTGATTTATTTTTGCTCAAAATAAGTTTCGAACTATATCGCTGTTCATTGTCTATATATAGGCTACTCGTTTAAGAGCTAGAGAGAGGGGGAAGAGATAGGCCAGTTATCAGAGGAGATGGGTGAATTACAAGAAGGGAACAGTGAAATATCTGTTTAGGCTATCCTTATCAATAAGTGGTTGCACAGATTTAAATAAAGTACTCAGTCAAATGAAAATGTAGGCCTAGAGTCAACATAACCAGGCCTAGAGTCAACATAACCACCCATTGCTTCACTAAAAGGTATCAACGGCTGATACGTTATGGACAGGTTGTGTGCATGTGTTTCTATGTTCTAATGGTTGTCAGTTTCATCTTCATATAGCCTAGGCCTATATCACAGCTGTGTCTATCTTCACATTCACTTTCCTTGTCAATTGATATGATGGACTACATTGATTTAGCGTTCTCTTATAATGTAGACTAGTTTTAGATATCCTACAGAAAGGATTTGAAGCTAAGGCAAGGTTTTTAATCAGTTTTTTGGGGGAAAGGAGAAGTGTGATTTTCTTATGTATCTGAGTGGGATGCGCTGCAGGCGGCTTTCATTGATGGGTCCTTTTAGGTGGGTGGGCTATTTCTCTCTATGTCCATTCAGAAAGTTTCCTAAAATAGGCCTACCCTGTCTGGACTTCATCTCTTTAAATCAGATAGAAAGAAAACTGTAGGCAGCAAGCGTCATGGTGGTCGGCATGTGCGATCGAGGAATGAAGACAGGTGCCAGTTTTGCGTTTCCTCTCTTATTAAAATTGGTGCAAAGAATGAAAAGTGGCCAAGCTCCTTTCATGATTCATCATATAGGATGAATATCCACATTTTTTCAGTAGCATATTATTTTTTCTGTAGGCCTATGATTTCTCTCTCATTACTGCGTCCTCTAGCCACTGAACAAGAATGGCCGCAGCAACCTATAGCCTACTTTGCGAGTGGCTGACCGCTGACGCATTCTATTTTTTTAAATTTTATTTTAGGGCGGGGGGCTGGCGAACTCCGAACTTGCGGGGGTCCAGAGAAACTACGCCATGCCAGTGATAATGGGGTAATATTTACATAACCAATGTTCTAGTAATAGTCTGTTCCAAATAGGGCTTATGACACAAATTTCTATCAGGTAACAGTAGGCTATAACCGCTTGATCAATCGATTCAAGTTGGTATTTCAGCAATATAATAGACTAATGAAGACGTTGATTTGACAAGTGGGAAAGATTACAGCTACAGTGGGGAGAACAAGTATTTGATACACTGCCGATTTTGCAGGTTTTCCTACTTACAAAGCATGTAGGTCTGTAATTAATGTAACACTTCAACTGTGAGAGACGGAATCTAAAACAAAAATCCAGAAAATCACATTGTATGATTTTTAAGTAATTAATTTGCATTTTATTGCATGACATAAGTATTTGATCACCTACCAACCAGTAAGAATTCCGGCTCTCACAGACCTGTTAGTTTTTCTTTAAGAAGCCCTCCTGTTCTCCACTCATTACCTGTATTAACTGCACTTGTTTGAACTCGTTACCTGTATAAAAGACACCTGTCCACACACTCAATCAAACAGACTCCAACCTCTCCACAATGGCCAAGACCAGAGAGCTGTGTAAGGACATCAGGGATAAAATTGTAGACCTGCACAAGGCTGGGGTGGGCTACAGGACAATAGGCAAGCAGCTTGGTGAGAAGGCAACAACTGTTGGCGCAATTATTAGAAAATGGAAGAAGTTCAAGATGACGGTCAATCACCCTCGGTCTGGGGCTCCATGCAAGATCTCACCTCGTGGGGCATCAATGATCATGAGGAAGGTGAGGGATCAGCCCAGAACTACATGGCAGGACCTGGTCAATGACCTGAAGAGAGCTGGGACCACAGTCTCAAAGAAAACCATTAGTAACACACTACGCCGTCATGGATTAAAATCCTGCAGCGCACGCAAGGTCCCCCTGCTCAAGCCAGCGCATGTCCAGGCCGATCTGAAGTTTGCCAATGACCATCTGGATGATCCAGAGGAGGAATGGGAGAAGGTCATGTGGTCTGATGAGACAAAAATAGAGCTTTTTGGTCTAAACTCCACTCGCCGTGTTTGGAGGAAGAAGAAGGATGAGTACAACCCCAAGAACACCATCCCAACTGTGAAGCATGCACCGTATTGAGGGGAGGATGTGGTTCTCTGTAGCTCAGCTGGTAGAGCACGGCGCTTGTAACGCCAAGGTAGTGGGTTCGATCCCCGGGACCACCCATACACAAAAAAAAAATAATGTATGCACGCATGACTGTAAGTCGCTTTGGATAAAAGCGTCTGCTAAATGGCATATTATATTATTATATATATTATAGGATGGATGGGGCCATGTATCGCGAGATCTTGGCCAACAACCTCCTTCCCTCAGTAAGAGCATTGAAGATGAGTCGTGGCTGGGTCTTCCAGCACGACAACGACCCGAAACACACAGCCAGGGCAACTAAGGAGTGGCTCTGTAAGAAGCATCACAAGGTCCTGGAGTGGCCTAGCCAGTCTCCAGACCTGAACCCAATAGAAAATCTTTGGAGGGACCTGAAAGTCTGTATTGCCCAGCGACAGCCCCGAAACCTGAAGGATCTGGAGAAGGTCTGTATGGAGGAGTGGGCCAAAATCCCTGCTGCAGTGTGTGCAAACCTGCTCAAGACCTACAGGAAACGTATGATCTCTGTAATTGCAAACAAAGATTTCTGTACCAAATATTAAGTTCTGCTTTTCTGATGTATCAAATACTTATGTCATGCAATAAAATGCAAATTAATTACTTAAAAATCATACAATGTGATTTTCTGGATTTTTGTTTTAGATTCCGTCTCTCACAGTTGAAGTGTACCTATGATAAAAATTACAGACCTCTACATGCTTTGTAAGTAGGAAAACCTGCAAAATCGGCAGTGTATCAAATACTTGTTCTCCCCACTGTATATATAGGCTACAGTGGATTGATGCATGTTGCATATAATTACTATTGGAGTGCATATTGCCATGGTGTTGGATGCTGAATATAGGCTTCAGTTGCCAGCAGTAGGCGTTTCTTTTGTACCGAAAATAAAGAAAATCTAATCAAAATTGTATGAGTAGACCATCCCGCAGTTGAGAGGCTTATGGTATTATAATAGCCTGTAGATGAACAATATAGCTCAATGCTAGTTTTTAAGAAGCAGGTGTCACGCACACGTTAGTCAGGCATTGGTATCACGACATGTCAGTCAGACTTTCAATGGTAGGCGACGGCATAGGATGCAGGCGTCATGCAGAAGTTAGTCAGACGTTCAATGGTAGGCTACAGCAGCTCATTCGGCTTATTATTGGCTCTTTTCACCCACGATAGACTGGGACCCTGTCCATCTCTCAACACAAGATTACAACACACGTGTTCAGTTGGCTTTAATTATAATATAATATATAATATAATAATATGCCATTTAGCAGACGCTTTTATCCAAAGCGACTTACAGTCATGCTTGCATACATTTTTATTTATTTTTTGTGTATGGGTGGTCGCGGGGATCGAACCCACTACCTTGGCGTTACAAGCGCTGTGCTCTACCAGCTGAGCTACAGAGGACCACAATTATTTTGTCTGTTATTTTTGGGTTTTTAAACAACTATTTGACTGACTTCGGTTCAAGTATTTGAATTCGATTTCATTTAAAAAAAAATCCAGTGAGCTCAATGCGCACATTGCACAATTTCTCTAGAGATAAATCAGTAGTAGGGAGTTGTTGTTTTCAACAGGCCAATACTCAGTCTATCGCAGAAAACGTGGTAATCATCTACAATGACCATAATCCATTGAGCGCCTACTTCTCAGGTCTGTTTATTTTACGACTGCTATGTTAGGTTAGTGTGGAGCAGACAGAGAGAACCTGAAAATACATGATTTAAGTGACTGATAGTTGGTATTCAGCAGTCAAAAGTATGCCTTATTGACTTTGAAGAACTACTAATGATTTTGTCAGACAGCAACTCTATAGAGATGAGATGGCTTGGAATGAAGTAATAAAGTCATCAAATAAAACTAATATAATATGCACAACTGAAATATTTTACTTAAGTAATGTTAATAAAATGTTAGTTTAGTGATAACCAGTAATGGACAGTCATGGGACTTTTATTAATTGTTTTATTATATGTTGCTACAGCATTCAACCCACATAATGTATAGTGCATTTAATGTGTAAAAAAATTATCGAAACCAGTGATTATTTTGTAATAATCGAACCGACCTCAAAAAGCACTAATAGCTCAGCACAATATGTCAGCTGACAGCTATTAACATCTAAAATCCCCACCAGGTCGTGAGTTTGATCTGTGTGGTTGAAAAGCCAGGCCTGGTGCTAGTATGCTGGCTAACTAGTTGGCTGGCTAGTTCCTTATGAAAGAGAAATCACCTTCACGTTGGCATTGGTCATATTGTCGTTAGGGTCAGCTACAGCCAACGTACCCTAATTATAATCGCTAGTTAGGCAAGAAATGTTAGAGGTTTTGCCCTCCACAACCGAACAAACCTGACAAGGTTAGCTGCGGCTGTAGTTAGCACTACGCTAGCTAACTACCGGGAAACCATTCGCACAGTTTGAGTTAGCTAGCTACCTACGGTTGATAAAACTCAGACAATATGGTGAAAAACTAGCTACCTAATCAGATTTTACGTACCCCAAACACGTCGGTTTATCGGTTATTACGGGCGACTCTTCACTTCTGTGTCGCTACCTCCGGTTAGGTGCACCGATGTATGGTTATGTGGCTAGCTAACTGCGATACATCAACATCAATCGTCAATGTCGTCACTAGTTACCACAGCCACAAAGTCATAAACCCCGCCTATTCTTATTTTTTTACAATGTATCTTCTTAAAATTTGATTTTAAACCTAACTTGAACCACATTACTAACCTTAAATTAAGACCAAAAAGCAAATGATTGTTTCCAATTTTGACTTTGTGGCTATGCTATCTAGTGGAAACCACAACAGAGATGTACATTTTTAATAAATTAATATTTGATTCGTCGATTCGGTAGCCATGTTTTCAACGTCCAGTTCACAGATAGAACAATGAGACAGATATTTCACCGGATGTATAAATGTGAAGCACCCGTTTGGCGTTTCCACTCACTACCAAATATGGTAGTGAGCGGAAGCCCAGTGGCCTGCAGTGGGATAAAATAGAACGAGATTAATTTTGGCCGACATTCTGCAAAATTTGTCATCGATGAAACATTTGATCTCAATACAGTTTTCTGTTTTCAAAACTAAAATGTGTTATGAACATAGTTGACTAAGTTTAGTAGACTTTACCCTTTGCCAAAGTTTTTAAAAATCGCGTTGTTTAGGAGCGCAAAGGCGAATTTAGTTACTGCACACGCGCACTTCACAAAGTAGGCGTTCCCTAACGGAAATATGCAAATATATGATAGAACGTGCCAATAGGATCTCGCAAGCTTGTGCTTGGCTCGACCCCATCTCCTTGCTTGTTCGGCCCACTATGACTCATTTGTTCCCATTGGAAACGACAGGCTGTGGTCTATCTTGGATTAGTTAGCTAGTTGTTTAGCCGTCGTCGTTTTTATTGATAAAACACTGTAATTTTGACACAATTTATGTCGCCGACCTATCATCTGTAATTTCATAAGTGCACGCTCGCGAAAAGAAAGAAAGCAACCACGAAGATATGGAGGTTGATTTTCCCGAGCAAGACGCTAGCAGCACGGACGAAGAAGACACTATCAGCTCTTCTGTATCTGAAGATGGAGACAGCTCGGGTAATGAATACAGTAAATGTAGCTAGCTAGATTTAATTAGGCCAAATGCAGCTTGCTGTTATGTTTTGCGTGTGTGTTAGTACAGTATGCATGGCGATTTTGATGATGATCTCCTTTATGACCAAAGTGATGCTGCGTGGCCAAGTTGCTAGCTAACTGCCTCTAGTGTGTTTACTGTGTGGGGGTTGTCTGACAGTTAGCATGTTTATTTTGCCATCAGAGATGGACGATGAGGACTGCGAGAGGAGACGAATTGAATGCATGGACGAGATGACTACCCTCGAGAAGCAATTCGGCGACTTGAAAGAACAGTAAAAACGCTACTGGCTACTTTCCAAATTGAATCACTCCTACCAGATTGTTTTCTTTCTGATCCATGTTTACGTGCATGGTTAAGCCAAGTCAACTAGCTACTGATGATGCTGCTGTATTGGCTCACCCCTGTCTATCTCATTATGACTAGGCTGTACAAGGAGAGGCTCTGTCAGTTGGACATAAAGCTACAGGAGGTCATAGCAGGCTGTGCCCAAGAGTATCTGGAACCACTTGCCAACCTACAGGAGAATATGCAGATCAGGACTAAAGTGGGCGGTGAGTTTCCATGTCACTTTGCCTACACTAGATTGGATACTAACGTCCCACTTTGCATTGTAACTTTAGTTGTGACAGGCGGCTGATGTCAACGTCAGGAAGATCAGTGCTTTTCTAAAATGTTTGTTGTGTGTCCCTCAGATGACCTACCTACCACCGGGTCCCTGGGTAGGCTACGTCCAAATATAACAAAGCAAACATTTGTTTATATATGTTGTCTATAGTCTCAGAAGGCTGGATCGATCATCGGCACCCACCAGGACAATCTAGAGGCCATCCTGGATATGCAGATCCTCAAAAAGCTTAGGAGTATAGAGGCCAACACTAGCCACCCCCTCCACAGTACCTGCCTGGAGCGTCGCAGTGCGATGGCAGACAGATTTATTTTAGCCAGTTCTAAAACATAAAGTTTCCGCAGATCCTTTTTTTACCATATGCTATGAGGCTTTTTAACACAAACACTTAGTTTTTATGTTTATTGATGATGTGTGGCTTTTAATGTCTGTGTGTCCTTGTTGTGTTTTAATGGCGTATTTATTGGTAATATATGTATTGGTTGGTGCAATTAAAGGTCCCCTCTGGGAGATTAATAAAGTACTATCTTATCTTATATACAATGTACTGTTACAACAATGTTACAATGTAGATATATGGCTCTGTTCTCAGTGACGTCAAACCTTCTGAAGGGTGCCAAGAGTAAAGAGATGTTTTCCTTGTCTTGTATCTTCTCCAGGAATCTACAGAGAGCTGTGTCTGGAGTCTGTGAAGAACAAGTACGACTGTGAGATCCAGGCTGCCTGCCAACACTGGGAGGTCGGGTCAATTCAATACGATACAACTTTATTGATCCCCAAGGGGCAATTTTTGGGCCAGTGAGTAATGTGACAGTGATCAAGCGTGGAATTAAATCATTGTTTGTCTCTGGCCCTGTCTGAGGTTTCGGGCTGTAGAAAGCAGTTGGTTTGAATCCTTGCTTTCCCTTGTCTAGTCACATACAGATCACCAATATGGCTACCTCAAGGAAGAGAGGAATGAAGGATGCATGGCAAACTACTGGAAAATTACGTAGAATGCTTTTGCAGTTATGCATCAGAAAAGTTGCATTTTTGTATGTATTTAACCAGGGTCCCTCTCCATGGCTTTGGTAATACTACAGTACTCATCCATGTTCTGTGTTTCCTCCCAGAGTGAAAAGCTGTTGCTGTTTGACACGGTGCAGAGTGAGTTAGAGGAGAAGATCAGACGCCTGGAGGAGGACAGACACAGTATCGACATCACCTCAGGTATAGTAGGCAATACACAGGCTATATGCAGGACTCTGATCCTGTGAACTCTATACAGAGGACCTTGAGGAAGGGCTATTACTGTACAGTTGATATTAGTTGGAAATGACTTTAAAGCCTATTAGTTTAAGTGAAGTCTACTACTGACACACCCGATTGAACTAATGAAGGTCATGGAGGAGAGTTGATGGGTTGAATTAGGTGTTTAAATGCAGGGCTGGAAAAAAAGCCTGCACACCGTACAGTCTCAGGTATACCAGCTCGGGTTCAAAGTGCCTTCACAAAGTATTCATACCCCTTGACTTATTCCACATTTGGTTGTGAATACTTATGAAATGCACATTGTTATATTTGATAACAATTGCTTATTTTTCCTCGACTCCAACCCCATTCGATGCGCATTGAACGGATGTGGGTGGAGCAATGTCTACATAAGGGTGCAAATTATAAACACACACAAAAGCTCTGACAAAGGCCTTGAGGCCGATACGTAAAGATTATTAAAGAGCAGTGATACTAGCAAGAGCAGTGATACTAGCAAGAGCAGTGATACTAGCAAGAGCAGTGATACTATCAAGAGCAGTGATACTATCAAGAGCAGTGATACTATCAAGAGCAGTGATACTATCAAGAGCAGTGATACTAGCAAGAGCAGTGATACTATCAAGAGTAGTGTGCAGGTTTCTTCTTCTTCCTCATCTTGTGTTAGACTGAATTCAAAATATATTTTTTAGTATATAGTATCCCATAATGACAAAGTGAAAACAGTTGTGTGTCTTTCTGGGTAAGTCTCTTAAGAGCTTTCCACTCCTGGATTGTGCAACATTTGCCCAAAATTCTTTTCAAAATTATTCTTCAAGCTCTGTCAAATTGATTGTTGATCACTACTAGACAACCATTTTCAGGTCTTGCCATAGATTTTCAAGCAGATGTAAGTCAAAACTGTAACTCGGCCACTCAGGAACATTCACTGTCTTCTTGGTAAGCAACTCTAGTGTAGATTTGGCCTTGTGTTTTAGGTTATTGTCCTGCTGAAAGGTGAATTCATCTCCCAGTGTCTAGTGGAAAGCAGACTGATCCAGGTTTTCCTCTAGGATTTTGCCTGTGCTTAGCTCCATTCCGTTTCTTTTTTATCCTGATAACTCCCCAGTCCTTAACGACTACAAGCACACCCATAATATGATGCAGCCACCACTATGCTTGAAAATATGGAGAGTAGTACTCAGTAATGTGTTGTATTGGATTTGACCCAAACATAACACTTTTTTATTCAGGACAAAAAGTTAATTGCTTTGCCACATTTTTTGCATTTTTACTTTAATGCCTTGTTGCATGTGTTAGAATATGTTTGTTCTGTACATGCATCCTTCTTTTCACTCTGTCAATTATGTTAGTATTGTGGAGTAACTACAATGTTGTTGATCCATCCTCAGTTTTCTCCTATCACAGCCATTCAACTCTAACTGTTTTAAAGTCACCATTGGCCTCATGGTGAAATACCTGAGCGGTTTCCTTCCTCTCCGGCAACTGAGTTAGGAAGGACGCTTGTATATTTGTATTGACTGGGTGTATTGATACACTATCCAAAGTGTAATTAATAACTTCACCATGCTCAAAGGGATATTCAATGTCTGCTTTTTATTTTTACCCATCTACCAATAGGTGGCTTTCTTTGTGAAGCATTGGAAAACCTCCCTGGTCTTTGTGGTTGAATCTGTGTTTGAAATTCACTGCTCGACTGAGGGACCTGACAGATAATTGTATATGTGGGGGTCATTCAAAAATCATGTTAAACATTATTATTGCACTCAGAGTGAGTCCATGCAACTTATTATGTGACTTGTTAAGCACATTTGTACTCCTAAACTTATTTAGGCGTGCCATAACAAAGTGGTTGAATACTTATTGACTCAAGACATTTCACCTTTTCATTTTTAATTAATTTGTAAAAATGTCTAAACATAATTCCACTTTGACATTATGGGTTATTGTGTGTGTGTGTGTGTGTAGGCCAGTGACCAAAAATCTCAATTTAATCAATTTTAAATTCATGGTGTAACACAACATAATATAGAACTAGTCAAGGGGTGGGAACACTTTCTGAAGGCACTGTAACTGACTTGAGATACTGCATAGACCGCAAGTAGCTTTTCTCTCTTTTTGATCTGCATTCCAGAACTATGGAATGATGGTTTACATTCACGGAAGAACAAGAAGAAGGATCCCTTCTGCCCTGCCAAGATAAAGAAGCCTGTGGTCGTCTCAGATATCCTTTCTTTGTACCGGTCCTCCTCTCTCCATCCTGTGTTACATCTACTGTATTAGGTACAGATACTGGACTGTCAGTGCTAATATCAATGAAGAACTTGAGCTTTTTACTTAACCCCTTCTCACGTCCATATATTATTTATATGTTGCAAGACCTCGATATACTTGAAGACTGGACAGCAATACGAAAGGTATTTGAGTTAACCAAATGTAAGTCTTTGTTGTAATTTTCTTAGGGTTGGAATTTAACTTTTCGATCTTGTTCTGTATGCACCACAGGCGCTGGCGACGTTCGGGCCGCACAGGGTCAAGGTTGATGGTAAGAGTCTCTGATTTCTGTTTGTTACAGTATCTGGTCCCACATTATATTAAGAGCAGGGATGACAATAGATTCCATTTCTTACCTATACGGTACCTTCTATGTGTACACTTTTATTTATTTATTTTTTGGGGGGGGGGGTTGGGCTAAAAATAGAATTACCGTAATTTTCGGACTATAAGCCGCGCCTTTTTTCCAATTTTTCGACCCTGCGGCTTATATAACGGTGCGGCTAATCTATGGATTTTTACAGCTAACGGCCACTAGAAGACCTCCTAAATCTATGGATTTTACAGGTTACAGTCCACCAACTTTAACTCTATGGGCTCTATGACCGGTCCGCGCCCCCCACCTTTAAGCGGCGGGCTCCGGCAGGAAAAGCTGGAGGCCGGAAAAGAGTGAGGTAGCGCACAAAAGTAAAAGTGGAACCAAGAGTGGTACGAGAGACAGAACGAGAGACAGAACGACAGCAAGACAGACAGACATTATGAGAGCGAGACAGTTTGTCTCTTTCCCGACAATCCCCTCTGTGCACGAACCCTTACATATGGTAATTAAACATTAAAACACCTGCGGCTTATAGTCCAGTGCGGCTTATATATGTACGCATCATTCAATATCATTCAATTTAGCTGCTGCGGCTTATACTCCGGTGCGCCTTATAGTGCGGAAAATACGGTACATATAGAATCCCTATTCGTTTTAATAGAATTACACATAGAATCCCTATTCGTTTTAATAGAATTACATATAGAATCCCTATTCGTTTAATATAATTACATATAGAATCCCTATTCGTTTTATAGAATTACATATAGAATCCCTATTCGTTTTAATAGAATTACATATAGAATCCCTATTCATTTAATAGAATTACACAGACTCCCTATTCATTTAATATAATTACACCGAATCCCTATTCATTTAATAGAATTACACAGACTCCCTATTCATTTAATATAATTACACCGAATCCCTATTCATTTAATAGAATTACACAGACTCCCTATTCATTTAATAGAATTACACATATAATCCCTATTCATTTAATAGAATTACACAGACTCCCTATTCATTTAATGGAATTACACATAGAATCCCTATTCATTTAATATAATTACATATAGAATCCTATTCATTTAATAGAATTACATATAGAATCCCTATTCATTTAATAGAATTACACAGACTCCCTATTCATGTAATAGAATTACACATAGAATCCCTATTCATTTAATAGAATTACACATAGAATCCCTATTCATTTAATAGAATTACATATAGAATCCCTATTCGTTTAATAGAATTACACATAGAATCCCTATTCGTTTAATATAATTACACAGACTCCCTATTCATTTAATAGAATTACACATAGAATCCCTATTAATTTAATAGAATTACATATAGAATCCCTATTCATTTAATAGAATTACACATAGAATCCCTATTCATTTAATAGAATTACACAGACTCCCTATTCATTTAATAGAATCACAGACTCCCTATTCATTTCATAGAATTACATATAGAATCCCTATTAATGTAATAGAATTACACAGACTCCCTATTCATTTAATAGAATTACATATATAATCCCTATTCATTTAATAGAATTACACATAGAATCCCTATTCGTTTAATAGAATTACACATAGAATCCCTATTCGTTTAATAGAATTACACATAGAATCCCTATTCGTTTAATAGAATTACACAGACTCCCTATTTGTTTAATATAATTACACATAGAATCCCTATTCATTTAATATAATTACATAGAATCCCTATTCATTTAATAGAATTACAGGCTCCCTATTCATTTAATAGAATTACACATAGAATCCCTATTCATTTAATAGAATTACACTTAGAATCCCTATTCATTTAATAGAATTACACAGACTCCCTATTCATTTAATAGAATTACACAGACTCCCTATTCATTTAATAGGATCTCTGTGGGCCTAATAGTAAAGATTTGTCATTCAACTTTTAAAATGTATTATCTTTGAATGTGTCATTAACACAACTAGTCATGATGTTTTCATCTGATTGTCAAACAATCACTTCAGAAGGCTCCTGTAAGCCTGGCTACCTGCGTACATTCGTCCACTCTAAAATAATTCCTGTTTCCATACATTTGATGAATGGAAAGAGACGTCTGTACAAAAAATAAAATAAAAATGTAATGAATGGCAATGTCCCCGCACGTCGCTGTCTCGGCCACTCATCTCTGTCCGCGCACGTCGCTGTCTCGGCCACTCATCTCTGTCCGCGCACGTCGCTGTCTCGGCCACTCATCTCTGTCCGCGCACGTCGCTGTCTCGGCCACTCATCTCTGTCCGCGCACGTCGCTGTCTCGGCCACTCATCTCTGTCCGCGCACGTCGCGGGGTCGCGGTCTCGGCCACTCATCTCTGCCTTCGCAAAAATCCGCTGTTATCATCAAAAGCATTTTGGAGCGTATTCTACAGGTTTTAAGTCCATTTGCAAACGTTTCATGTAGGTGACATGCTGTAGTGATTCAATTATAGTGTAATACCCTACAGTTTCCTTGGCATCTTTGTGTTAATTATTGTGATTGGCTCTTGTTCAACCGGTATGGCGTATCCCCAATGATTATTTTGCCGGTACTCCGTCCCGGATCGTACCAGCTTACTTTCACCCGTGATTAAGACTCTCTGAATGTATGTATTTAGATAGTGTAACTGACGTACGGGTACGTGTTAATACATAGTGCTCACAACTGTTGTACCTTCGTCATGACATGTTTGTGGTGTGTGTGTGTGTGTGTGTGTGTGTGTGTGTAGTCCCTACCAAGGCTGACAGACACCACCATGTGGCGAGGTCTGAGGAGGGCAGACTGTTCTATGACAGCCAGTGGTACTGCAGAGGACAGGCCTTGTGTATCAATAAGAAGGACGAACACCCTACCAGGTGTGTATCATGGTGTCTGTATAGGAAATGTATGTTTTCAAATGGTGTGTGCGTATGTTGATGTCCTTGAGGTAAGTGTGTTGTGTGTATGTGTGTGCCTTTGTGTATTTCTGTATGTACAGTGGGGGGAAAAAAGTATTTAGTCAGCCACCAATTGTGCAAGTTCTCCCACTTAAAAAGATGAGAGAGGCCTGTAATTTTCATCATAGGTACACGTCAACTATGACAGACAAAATGAGGAAAAAAAATCCAGAAAATCACATTGTAGGATTTTTAATGAATTTATTTGCTAATTATGGTGGAAAATAAGTATTTGGTCAATAACAAAAGTTTCTCAATACTTTGTTATATACCCTTTGTTGGCAATGACACAGGTCAAACGTTTTCTGTAAGTCTTCACAAGGTTTTCACACACTGTTGCTGGTATTTTGGCCCATTCCTCCATGCAGATCTCCTCTAGAGCAGTGATGTTTTGGGGCTGTCGCTGGGCAACACGGACTTTCAACTCCCTCCAAAGATTTTCTATGGGGTTGAGATCTGGAGACTGGCTAGGCCACTCCAGGACCTTGAAATGCTTCTTACGAAGCCACTCCTTCGTTGCCCGGGCGGTGTGTTTGGGATCATTGTCATGCTGAAAGACCCAGCCATGTTTCATCTTCAATGCCCTTGCTGATGGAAGGAGGTTTTCACTCAAAATCTCACGATACATGGCCCCATTCATTCTTTCCTTTACACGGATCAGTCGTCCTGGTCCCTTTGCAGAAAAACAGCCCCAAAGCATGATGTTTCCACCCCCATGCTTCACAGTAGGTATGGTGTTCTTTGGATGCAACTCAGAATTCTTTGTCCTCCAAACACGACGAGTCGAGTTTTTACCAAAAAGTTCTAGTTTGGTTTCATCTGACCAAATGACATTCTCCCAATCCTCTTCTGGATCATCCAAATGCACTCTAGCAAACTTCAGACGGGCCTGGACATGTACTGGCTTAAGCAGGGGGACACGTCTGGCACTGCAGGATTTGAGTCCCTGGCGGCGTAGTGTGTTACTGATGGTAGGCTTTGTTACTTTGGTCCCAGCTCTCTGCAGGTCATTCACTAGGTCCCCCCGTGTGGTTCTGGGATTTTTGCTCACCGTTCTTGTGATCATTTTGACCCCACGGGGTGAGATCTTGCGTGGAGCCCCAGATCGAGGGAGATTATCAGTGGTCTTGTATGTCTTCCATTTCCTAATAATTGCTCCTACAGTTGATTTCTTCAAACCAAGCTGCTTACCTATTGCAGATTCAGTCTTCCCAGCCTGGTGCAGGTCTACAATTTTGTTTCTGGTGTCCTTTGACAGCTCTTTGGTCTTGGCCATAGTGGAGTTTGGAGTGTGACTGTTTGAGGTTGTGTGTGGACAGGTGTCTTTTATACTGATAACAAGTTCAAACAGGTGCCATTAATACAGGTAACGAGTGGAGGACAGAGGAGCCTCTTAAAGAAGAAGTTACAGGTCTGTGAGAGCCAGAAATCTTGCTTGTTTGTAGGTGACCAAATACTTATTTTCCACCATAATTTGCAAATAAATTCATTAAAAATCCTACAATGTGATTTTCTGGAGAAAAAAAATCTCAATTTGTCTGTCATAGTTGACGTGTACCTATGATGAAAATTACAGGCCTCTCTCATCTTTTTAAGTGGGAGAACTTGCAAAATTTTTGGCTGACTAAATACTTTTTTCCCCCACTGTATATTTGCATGTGATGCATTTGAGCGTGGAAGCATGACCTTGTGTGCTGTGGCAGATCAGGGGGTTGGGTCAAAACGTTTACACAGATCAGACACGGACAGAGTATGATTAGCTCGGTTTCATCGGTGAGGGGGGAAGCTATAGCCGCAAAGTTGGGGATAAACCAGCTATAGTATCCTGCCAGTCTCAGGAAGGACTTGACCTGTGTCTTGGTGCGTGGAACGGGCCAGTCACGTACCGCGTGAACCTTCCTCTCCTGGGGCTTGACGTTATCCCGTCCGATCAAATGCCCGCGTTCTCCACCACTTGTGGCAGATCAGGCGATTGGGTCAAGTCGTTTACACAGATCAGACACGGACAAAGTATGATTAGCTCAGTTTCAATGCTGTTTATTAATAAAATAATCAAAAGAAAAGGTTAGGTCTCCCCCATGAGATCCTCTCCAGGATACCGTCTCCAACTACACGGAAGTTACCTTACTTTCCCCAGTCCTCCCCCATGCGCTGCCCTTCTGGCAGCTTTATGGGCCTTGCACAGCTGGTGAGCAATCTGCCCTTAATTACTCACCAGCTCCCAATCAGCCCCAATTAGTCCTGTCCGGGGAGCCCGTCGAGACCTGGCACGTCCAGCAGATGAAGCCACCGCCTCGTGATGTATACTCCATCTGTTACCAGGCCTCGACCTGGTGGCTGACCTGCTGTACGCCACAGTGCATATACTGTTGAGGTTCATACACTAGATTCAAGTGTTGTTGTAAGTGAATTGGTTTAAGGAGACATATAGGTGTATGTAATTTATATTTTATTATCCAATCCTCTTCCATCTCTCCGCACAGTGCCATAATAACCACCATAAACCATGACGAGGTGTGGTTCAAACGGCTTGACGGCAGCAAGTCCAAACTCTACATCTCTCAGCTGCAGAAAGGCAAATACACCATCAAACACTCCTAATGTCCCTAACAGCCTGCCATACTCTCTCACCTTGGATAACAGATGATGAACTCCAGTGCCATAAAAGATCCTCTCCCTTATGTCAGTGGACTTAACCAACCCTGGTCATGTAGAGCTACAGGTCAGGGTGTGTAGGGTTGGTGACTAACTAATGCTCTCTGTAAGTATGTATGTTAATAATATCTGCGAAGCCAGCAAGTGTCATTACTTCTCTCTAAACTGGAAGCGAGAGGAGCAAGTGCTGCTACAAAAGGGCTAAGTTGCTGGTTGTGAGCGGTGGTGTTGTGGTGTGCCTTTTTAACAAGACGATGCCTACAGTCTTGAACTAACTCAATGCAGTAAGGCCTTAGCTCCTCTGGCCGGTGAGAACAGGACGAGACGAGGATCAAGTCAAAGCGTTGGTTGTGACTGGATGGATGGAGAAAAAAACCTTGCCCTAATTATGTGTTTTCTTCACTGTGAGTCCCCCGCCTCTTGTAGTATTCCCTCTAAAGTCTCTCTGTGTCATCTTCCATTTATTTGTTACTATTCTGAGAAACACAGCTCTCTCTTTCTTCTCTTTCTCCCTGCCCTCAAGGGGACATGATACCATTTTCACCTAACCAATGCTGTCAGATATGTTATCAGTTCAAGGAAGGAAAGATTGATGTTTACTATATTTTAGCATGGCCAATGTCAGGAGAGATGGGTCAAAATGTCCATGCAATCCCACTCTTTTGCACATTATTGGATATCGTGGGAAAACGTTTCTTTGTCTGTGTATATAAGTACCAACTGCCAACAGTTTTGCATTTTAAAGGATTCTCAACATGATATTATGAATTGTGTAGATGTTACTGTATATGTTGGGAGCATTTGCTGGGGTTTTTTTCGCAGCCAATGAAGAATTCTACTTTGGTCCGTCTGAGTACGATCAGACCAAATGTTTCAGTGCCATCAATTGAAATGTAGTCCTGTTGTTGTCTTGAGTTTTTATTTGTAAAGTTTGGATTTTTATTTGGTGTTTTTTTTTTTTTTTGTAGAAAATAAACGCTCAGCCTCTACATTACCTTTTATTTTCATATCATGCGGGAGGAACACATGAATAAAATGTCATAGTCCCTGTTATCATGTACAGCAAATTAAATATGTCATTTTGTAGTAAACATGTCACTTGCCTTAGTTTGTAAAGATTGTAGACCCTTGAAGCAATCCTATAGAAAGAACTGGATTTACAGCCTTTGATTAAAGCAAAATAGTCTGGGTGGAATAGCAGGCCATATCATCATTCCTTTTTACATTGTCAGTCAGTAAAGCTGACAGCATGTCTAGTGATGGCTAAATCAACTTGCTCAGCACAAGCCATTCCTTCCTGCTCTCTGTCGAGTTCTAGAACAATCTATGTGAAATGAAACAGCTTATTACCTCTCATTGCTAAGCAGGTTTCATATTGGATTTAAACTGCATGCAAAACCATTAGATATCTATATAGCTTTGTTGTGGAGACAACTGCCTGGCAATGCTGAACCCAAAGTCAATCCCAAGGTTTAGGCCAATTCAACCCCACCCTCCCCCTTCATATGAAAAGTGGCTTATTTGTAAAATGCTGTGCGTGGCTTGTTTGATAATGGCCGAAGTCTGCTGTGCTGTTCAACTGTTTAGCCAGGGTTTTCAGCCAGTGGGGCACTCACTAGATTAACACACTGTATTGGGATCGATGCAGGATCCACTCAAATATCTCAATTATCCCCCTCTGTCCATTCGCTACCTAACTCCTATACTGAGCAAAAACTAACTAATTCATTAAGTAGCCTTCTGGGTAGAAGTTTACCTTGAGCACAGATCTAGGATCGGCTTATCCTAGCCCCAATCCTAACCTAAACCATTAGAGGTATGAAAGATATCTGACCCTGTATCAGTGGGTAGGGGCAACTTCAATCATACCACTCCAAAAAGCACTGTATATACTGTAAATCCCCTATAGTCATCAGTGCGTCAATATAAGTAACAAAATAAAGAAAAAATCCCCATCGAAATCTGTCAATTTAAGCTAGAGATATCTGGCTGTCTCAATCTACCGCATCCGCCTATGGCAGCCTTCCGCATCTGCAGTGGAAGGTGGCAGAGCTACAGCGGTGTTTGTCAGCGAGAGACATCCCGAAAATCGGTCTTCTCGTGAAAACAGCTGTAGCGTCTGAACGGTTTGGCCTCTCCGTTTTGCTCTACAAGCCCCACGGGACTAATCTGAAGTCGATCCCATTGATGTGCCAATTTATTTTTTGTAGCGTCCGAACCGTTTGGGCTACAAACTAACCCCACTGTGGAAAGGGGTGATTCTCACGAGCCCGATGGCATTCTCCGTTTTGCTCTACGACCCCCACAAGTGTAATGGGACTCGTCTGAAGGTAACTGGTACCTGTTAAAAAAAAAATGTATGGATGTAGTTTTGTGCCTACCCAAAAAAAGGGGTTAAATACAGTGCATTCGGAAAGTATTTCCATATTTTGTTACCTTACAGCCTTATTCTAAAATTGATTTAAATCGTTTTTAAGTATTCAGACCCTTTACTCAGTACTTTGTTGAAGCACCTTTGGCAGCGATACCAGCCTCAAGTCTTCTTGGGTATGACTACAAGCTTGGCACACCTGTATTTGGGGAGTTTCTCCCATTCTTCTCTGCAGATCCTCTCAAGCTCTTTCAGGTTCGATGGGGAGCGTCGCTGCACAGCTATTTTCAGATATCTCCAGAGATGTTCGATTTGGTTCAAGTCCAGGCTCTGGCTGGGCCACTCAAGGATGTTCAGAGACTTGTCCCAAAGCCACTCCTGCGTTGTCTTGGCTGTGTGCTTAGGGTCGTTGTCCTGTTGTAAGGTGAACCTTCGCCCCAGTCTGAGGTCCTGAGCGCTCTGGAGCAGGTTTTCATCAAGGATCTCTCTGTACTTTACTCCGTTCATCTTTCCCTCGATCTTGACTAGTCTCCCAGTCCCTGCCGCTGAAAAACATCCCCACAGCATGATGCTGCCACCACCATGCTTCACCGTAGGGATGGTGCCAGGTTTCCTCCAGACGTGACGCTTGGCATTCAGGCCAAAGTGTTCAATCTTGGTTTCATCAGACCAGAGAATCTTGTTTCTTATGGTCTGGGATTCCTTTAGGTACCTTTTGGCAAACTCCAAGCGGGCTGTCATGTGCCTTTTACTGAAGAGTGGCTTCCGTCTGACCACTCTACCACAAAGGCCTGATTGGTGGAGGGCTGCAGAGATGGTGGTCCTTCTGGAAGGTTCTCCCATCTCCACAGAGGAACTCTGGAGCGCTGTCAGAGTGACCATTGGGTTCTTGGTCACCTCCCTGACCAAGGCCCTTCTCCCCGATTGCTAGGCGGCAGGTAGCTTAGTGGGTAAGAGCGTTGTGCCAGTAACCGAAAGGTCGCTGGTTCTAATCCCTGAGCCGACTAGGTGAAAAATCTGTAGATGTGCCCTTTAAGCAAGGCACTTAACCCTAATTGCTCCTGTAAGTCGCTCTGGATAAGAGCGTTTGCTAAATGACTGAAATGTAAATGTAATGCTAAGTTTGGCCAGGCGGCCAGCTCTAGGAAGAGTCTTGGTGGTTCCAAACTTCTTCCATTTAAGAATGATGGACGCCACTGTGTTCTTGGGGACCTTCAATGCTGCAGACATTTTTTGGTACACTTCCCCAGATCTGTGCCTCAACACAACCCTGTCTTGGAGCTCTACAGACAATTCCTTCGAACTCATGGCTTGGTTTTTGCTCTGACATACACTTGGTTAAGGGCTTGTAAGTAAGCATTTCACTGTAATGTCTACACCTGTTTGTATTCGGTGCATGTGGCAAAGAACATTTTATTTTGAACTGTGGGACCTTATATAGACCGGTGTGTGCCTTTCCAAATAATGTCCAATCAATTGAATTTACCATAGGTGGACTCTAATCTCAAGGATGATCAATGGAAACAGGATGCACCTGAGCTAGATTTCGAGTCTCATAGTGAAGGGTCTGAATACTTATGTAAATAAGGTATTTCTGTTTTTTTTATTTGCGAAAATGTCATAAAGCCTGTTTTCGCTTTGTCATTATGGGGTATTGTGTGCGGATTGATGAGAAAAAATAAATAATTTTATCAATTTTAGAATAAGTCTGTAACGTAACAAAATGTGGGAAAAGTCAAGGGGTCTGAATACTTTCCGAATGCCCTGTATGTGTCAAAGATATATATTTCCTGAGCTTTGTTATATCTCCTAGATATAGGACAGACACTTCAAATTTATTTTTTGACTGTCTTTTTTGCCATTTATGAATTTGTTATTCAATGTGTTTCTATGGGATTTGGTACTCAATATTTTATCGAATCATTTTTTGTGTGTGTTTTTTAACTAAAGGGGTCCTAAAATTCGAAATCAAACAGCTAACTGATCCATGGTATGACCATCTTAAAACAATGCCATATGTCATATCTCCCGAGTGGCGCAGTGGTCTAAGGCACTGCATCGCAGTGCTAGCTGTGCCACTAGAGATCCTGGTCCGAATCCAGGCTCTGTCGTAGCCGGCCGCGACCGGGAGACCCATGGGGCGGCGCACAATTGGCCCAGCGTCATCCAGGGTAGAGGAGGGAATGGCCGGCAGGGATGTAGCTCAGTTGGTAGAGCATGGCGTTTGCTACGCCAGGGTTGTGGGTTCGTTTCCCACGGGGGGCCAGTATGAAAAAATAAAATAATGTATGCCCTCACTAACTGTAAGTCGCTCTGGATAAGAGCGTCTGCTAAATGACTAAAAATGTAAATGTAAAATGTCAGTTTATAACCCGCCCAACGTCTTAGACTAGATAGATAATATTGCAGTAATACCAGTACTCCGTTCTGACCAGTTGGTGTCAGCAAAGCTCCATTGTGGTGGTGTTGCAGCGCTGCACTAGATCAAATTAAACGTTGTTTGTCATTCTTTGTAAACAACAGGTGTCGACTAACAGTGAAATGCCCTATGTCTGCCCTTTAAAACAACACATTTCACTGCGCCTATCTGGTGTAATAAAACATATATTTTTTTGTTGTTTCAAAAATGCAGAGAGAATTTTCAATAGAAAAATGATAACACTATGAATAAATGCACAATGAGTAATGATAACTTGGCAATATACACAGGGTACCAGTACCAAGTCGATGTGCAGGGGTATGAGGTAATCAAGGTAGATATGTATACTGAACAAAAATATAAACGCAACAATGATTTTACTGAGTTACAGTTCATATAAGTAAATCAGTCAATTGAAATTCATTAGGCCCTAATCTATGGATTTCACATGACTGGGCAGGGGCCCAGCCATGGTTGTGCCTGGGAGGGCATACACCCACCCACATGGGAGCCAGGCCCACCCACTGGGGAGCCAAGCCCAGCAAATCAGAATGAGTTTTTTTCCCCCACAAAAGGGCTTTATTAAAGACAGAAATACTCCTCCGTTTCATCAGTTGTCCAGGTGGCTTGTCGCAGAAGCCGGATGTGGAGGTCCTGGGCTGGCGTGGTTACATGTGGTCTGCGGTTGTGAGGCCCGTTGGACGTACTGCCAAATTCTCTAAAATGACGTTGGAGGTGGCTTATGGTAGAGAAATTAACATTCAATTCTCTGGCAACAACTCTGGTGGACATTCATGCAGTCAGCATGCCAATTGCACGCTCCCTCAAAACTTGAGACATCTGTGGCATTGCTGCACATTTTAGAGTGGCCTTTTATTGTCCCCAGCACAAGGTGCACCTGTGTAATGATCATACTGTTTAATCAGCTTCTTGATATGCCACACCTGTCAGGTGAATGAATTATCTTGGCAAAGGAGAAATGCTCACTAACAGGGATATAATCAAATTTGTGGAGAAAATTTGAAAGAAATAAGCTTTTTCTGCGTATGGAAAGTTTCTGGGATCTTTTATTTCAGCTCATGAAACATGGGACAAAAACTTGCATTTATATTTTTGTTCAGTAGACGTATAGCATTGGAGGCTGCTGAGGGGAGGACAG